AGCGGAAACATAGCAGAAAGAAGGATGTGACTGTTACCAACGTGGCTGCAGAATCCAACTCGCCGGAAAGATCAGGATACTTTTCAGCTGATGTTTTCCCATTTGTCGTACACTTAGGTTTCATGGCAGCCACAGCGTTCTTCATCATGCATGTTCAGGTTACAAAATCTCTTTGAGAATATATAGAACTTTACATGGAATTAAGGTTTCAATGTTGTTCATTGTCCCTCACGTATGTTGTTGTTCTTGTTATTACAGGTTGCGACACGGTTCTTGTCAGCGAGCCCTCCTCTTTACTGGTTTGCCTCGTATTTGAAACAGAGGAAATGGAGATACTTGATATGGTCATATTGTGCAGCCTACATCCTTCTTGGCTCTCTTCTCTTCTCAAACTTTTATCCCTTCACATGATCAATGGTTTCTCAGCAGTGTTTTACCAGAGTATCGTGACGTGGATTTACCTTCCTTGTCGTGAATCATGTACAAGCAGAGACCAACCGGTTTTGGTGTCTCTGCAGGATTTTAGCCAATTAGTCTTCGTTTTTTGCTCAGTGTGATATTATCTGGCAAGACGTTGATATGTTCTCTTTGGATGTTTTGTAAAAGAATTAACATAACAAAATATTATGAAAAGATTACTGTTAGATTTGATTTGATTTTTTTTTTTTTTAAATGTTAGTATTGAAAAGAATAACAACATTTACCTTTATCTTTATTATTGAATCAAAGAACACATAAGTTCATCGCATCATTCCTTTTGAGAATGTTGTAAACATGTACTTAAAAATTACATCAACGAGAAGAAAAATATTAATAATGAAGATATGATGGGTAGTAGAAGACTTCTACTGTACACTGCATGATGGGTAGTAGAAGACTTCTATTGTTCCCTTACAAAGTTAGATGAAAAATGTGCTTAAACGTTAATTTATTTACTTAATCCTCTTACTCGTACTTCTAAAATTGACATCTGCTTTTAACTTGTTTTAGTTTATGTTTCAGACCAAGTGCACAAAAAACGCTCAATCATCCTTTTTTGGGATTTGAAGAGGAAAAAATAGTTTCTATTGAAGATAGGATCACGAATTCAGAATGGATTGTGGGAGAAGACAAACTTTCCCAGTTTCATTCGAAATACCATGAGTCACTGGGAATGCCTTCCAACAACACCAAAGAACATAAATGTTTAGTTTTCTATCACTTGTTAATATTTCAAATTATCTTTTCTTTTTTCTTGTGATCAGAATTTGATAGGAGATAAATGTCAATACTCTGATAATCAATTCTCGGAAGTGAAGTTGGGATTCGGAGTAATTCATGGTGATTTGTTTTAAAATGACGAATCTATAGTTATTCAAATTATTTGTTCTAAAATCCCATATAAAATCCAGTGTTATTAAACTTGTGATTTTAAAATCCACTTTCAAATCCATTGTTACTAGAAAACAATAAAAGTATATTTTAAAATATAGATTTGATTTTAGAGTTATTTGATAAGATTTTTATGATTTACACAAAATCATCTAAAAACTCACTAAAAATCAAATCACCCTAAATCATTCCAAATCCCTAGTTTAGTCTAATAAAAACTTGTGCCATCGAGAAGCATTTGTCGTCGATTTATATCTTAATTGCTTTCTCAGATTTCCCGTTCGGTCTCTTTCAGCTGAGAAATCGAAATGTAAACATTTCCCATTTTCATTATTATTGAATCATAGAAGACCATAATCTCAGCATGTAAACTGTATAATGTGTAATAAAACCTCAAAATCATGAGTTACAACAAGACTTGCAAAGAGCTAACCATAAAAAAACTATCTGAGCTTGGGTTTAATGAGTTCAATGCCTCCCATGAAAGGCCTGAGGGGCTCAGGGATCACAACGGATCCATCTTCTTGCTGGTAATTCTCCAGCAAACACACCATCATCCTCGGGATGGCACATGCCGTTGCATTTAGAGTGTGCACAAACTTAGTAGCCGGAAGATTCGTTTTGCCTTTCTTAGGACTCGTCTGAAGAGGCTCAGATGGGCGGTAACGGATTCCCAGTCTCCGGCTTTGGTAGTCCGTGCAGTTCGATGCGCTTGATATCTAGCTCACAAGTTAAAACAGCAAAAAGCTCAAATAAGAAACTAAGATTCGGATTCTAGTGGTCTGACACAAAAAAAAAGCAAGGTGTTAGTTTTGTTTACCTCGCCAAACTTTCCTAAACCAGGCATCCATGCTTCAATGTCAAACTTGCGGTAAGCTGGAGCGCCTAAATCCGCTGTGGCCATATCCAATGTTCTGCAAACTCAAAGTTAGATCTCTGGAAGAGAAAAGCTCTGGTGAGAAAACATTAAATTCGGATTCAGTTGCTTACTTGAAGTGTAATCCTAAAGAAGTGAACAGATCTTCTTCAATCTGAATGAGTTCGCCGTGGAAGGATTCACTTTCCTCAGGTCGACATATGATGAACATTTCTGCTTTGCTGAACTGATGTACTCGGTAAAGACCTCTACTCGAAATCAAGAAACATACAGATTTTAAGTATGACCTATGTGTATATTGAAGAAGCCAAGAACACGCAAATGCTACAAGGACTAACTATGCTACAGACTTACTTTGTGGCGGCGCCTGCAGCACCTGCTTCAGTACGGAAGCAATGAGAGAAGGCTATATATTTCAAAGGTAATGCTGATTCAAGAAGAATAGAATCCATGTGGATTCCTCCTACGGGAATTTCAGCGGTACCAATGAGACATTGCTCAGTTCCTTCTATCGAATAAACCTATCCAGAAGAAGAGAAACACGATTGGCAACAAACACAGACGTTGACTTATCAAACAGAGCAAACAAAAAAGGCATTGCAGAAACCTGAGTGTTATCTCCACGAGGTTGGAAACCGCATTTCTCAACGATAGATGATCTCACGATTTCAGGGGTTGTCAGGGGAGTAAAACCTTTCTTCATGACTTCTGATAATGTCCAGTTAAGGAGGGCCATCTCCAATAACACTGCCTCATTCTTCAAATAGAAGAACTTTGAACCACTTACCTGCAAAAATGTGAAAGAATTGCTTTACCTTATCTTTTTGATACAGGACAACTAAAAATTCAGTCATCATTCTAATGCTACGTACAATGAAATGATCATTCACCCACTAAAGTGAACTGTACAAGTTCAAACTCAAAATGTTCAAGTCAAGCTTAAAGCTACAATACTGGACAACCTAAAAACATGACACTTTTAAATGGAAAAAGTGTATATACCTCGGAAGCAGAGTCGAAATCAATGAGATCTAGATCCTTCCCAAGCTGAAGATGATCCTTGATTGGAAAACTAAACTCACGTCGGCTACCAACCTACAAAGAAAGTAACAATGTTTTCCTACAAAGTCCTTTCATAACTATTCAACAAAATGGCATAGTCAATGCAAGCAGTTCTGGAGAAATACCTCCTTTCTAATTGCCGATGAATCCTCTCCTCCAATAGGAACATCAGGGTGAGTCATATTTGGTATAGACTGAGCTACATGTTGAAGCTCATCTCTAAGCTTCACGAGGTCTTCTTCCAGAGTCCCAAGACTTTCCTTAAGAGTTTTACCTGAAGACCAAAACGCTCTATTATCTTTAAATAAAGAACACAGACAGACAAACAAACAAAAAACGAATTCCTTGTTTAACCTTCTTCTACTAGTCTCTCACGTTCTGATGGTTCCAGCTTCCCTTTCATCTTCTTCGCAACATTGTTTCTTTCCTCACGAAGCCCCTCAACTTCCTGCTATCTGCAATCATTGATTAGCTGAACCGAGAGGAAAAAGAAAACACTTTAATTCAATCTCTCAAAATCTAGCCTTACAAACCAATGTCACTAACTATCCAGAAACTAACAAAACAACAAGCGTTTGCAACTTTGACATGTTTATAAGAAGTCTCGTCAGAATCCTGTGACAGAGAGTTTCTTCCTCAAAGCAGCTGACTTTACATGTTTGCAGTACTAAAAATCCCAAATTTGAATTGAGCTAATTGCCAACAGAGGAAATGAGCTCACACCAGTGGAGCAGAGTAGAAGATTAGATAACCTTTTGGAGATTGACCATGTTCTCATAGAGCTCGAGCACTGATTCCAAATTAGCATTGGAATTTCTGTTGTTGATATTGATTTCGACTGCTTCCTTATTATCCCTTATCCACTTGAAATCAATAGCCGCCTTCCACTGAGGCTTCCCAGCTAAAAACTCGCAACAGAAACCAATCAGATAACATTCAAAAAACAATCTCGAATTTTCTACCGAGTAATCAGGATTACCAGAGGAATCCGAAGCCTGCGTAGCCGGAATGTCTTGTACGGCGGCGGAAGCGGAGAAGGCCCTGACCAGGAAATGCTTACGCGGTTGAACATGGCGGGAAAACAAACCTAGGGTGAGAAGAGTATTGGGAAACGGTTTGAGGAAGAGGCGAGAAGAAAATGTAGAGAAGGTCATAGGAACGGTAGCGAGTCTCAATGTGTGTAAACCCATCGCCGGAGCTTCTCTGCTGAGAAAGAAGACACGACGACTTATCAGCGTTATTGTTGATTGATTTTGGAACGCCGTCGTTTTGATCTGTGAGAAATTCCAAACAAGTTTTACACTCGCCGTAGTATATAGAGAGAGAGGCGGAGGAGCTATTTGACGGCGGAGAGGTGACGTGTCAACGGAGGTCTTTGGGCTTTATTAATCCGCTACACGAAGGTCTACTTGTTAGCTTTTGACTTGACACGTGTATTGTTTCTATTCGTATTAACGTTCCTCAGTGTGTGAATGAAACTGCACCGTTTCGATTGTTTGAGCTACGTGGCCGTCAAAGAAGACCGACGGTGTATGATGATTATTCCGTTTTTTTGGAGAAGTTTTTTTCTTTTCCATTTCACTGTGTGTTCTTTTGTCCTTGTGACACAACAATACTTAAAATTCGCAGAATCCGGAACCAAATCCGGTGATTTCTTGTGATTTTGCTCCGTTGTTGAGCTGAAAGAGCCATGGTGATTTGGTCGATCGTTCGGAGAAAGGTCGTTAATGGCGGTAACTCGTCTGCTTCTTCGGTGAGTTTAAATTTTCCGTTGTCATCCAAAATATTCTCCAGAGTTCCTCGTTCATTTTGGTCAATTCGTGTCTTTTTAGCTCAACCGAGAGTAAATCCGTTTAGCTTGGTTTTTTTAAGCTATGGAGTCTGAAATGATCCGTTTGTTGTGCAGATTGTAGGACATTCGTGGAAGAGTAGGCGTGCTACGGCTTCTCATCCTCGGTACTATGGAGCTCTTGCAAAAGAGGTAGATTTTACTAATTACCTCCATACTTTTTTGATATCTTTGTTTAAATTGTTCTTTTTTTATTTCCCGATCGAGTTTGTCTTGAAAATGAATTAGTCTTTTGGTGTTCTTATAAGCTATGATGAATCTACTGTTGTGAGAAAAATTGTTCCTTTCTTGTACATTGTGATGTTAAGATATGTCAATGGATTTTTTTATTCATCTTCTTTTCCCTTAAACACCTGATTACAGACTTCACTTGTCGCAAGAGGATCACAAATGGTGAATTCCGTCGGTCTTCGTTCTTATCTAGGTACTACCACACGGTCAACATTTTAGAAAAGACAGATCATTTTACTTGTTTCATCTCCATTTTTCTTTTTCTTGATTTGTAGGTTCTCATTTGAGCTCAAAGGCTATGAGGTGAGTAAATGCTGTTGCATTGTATATCCTTACGCAGAAAGAATGACAAATAAACAATGAAGAGAGCTTTGCTCTGACTGTTTTTCTGTGTACCATTACTGTTCAGGGTACCTGTGCCATGCATCCAAACATTCAACACTGGAATCAGGTTGTTTTCGTCGGATAACGGTATGATCTACTCTTAATTTCCATGTCATTCCAAATCAGTATATTGATATGGTTTTGATTATTGATGATGAAATACATTTTTGATGATGAAAGGTGGGTCTGTGGATGCTGTTGTTCCATTCATGGGAGAATCCATTACTGATGGCACTTTAGCCACTTTCTTAAAGAGTAAGTAGAAAAGTTGATAAATTTGCGTATCTACGATTTGCCACTGGCTGGAGGCAAATGAAAACAGAACTTATATGTACAACCTCTATTTACTTGGATTAGAACCTGGAGACCATGTGGAAGCTGATGAGCCCATTGCTCAGATAGAAACTGATAAGGTACTTATTGGCGGTTCTTTCTTTTCTTGATGCTTCCTCAATTGCACTAATACCTCTGCGGTTAATTAAACAGGTTACCATCGATGTTGCTAGTCCTATTGCCGGAACTATTGAGAAGGTAGAGTACCAGCATTTTGATCCAATCTCTCTTCAATATTATAATAGTTTTCAATCTGTTCTGATGCATTTTGATCCAATCTCTCGTTTTGCAGTTCGTTGCGAAAGAAGGTGATACAGTGGAGCCTGGTTTCAAGATTGCAGTGATATCCAAATCTAGAGGAGCTACAACTCAGGTTAATGAAGCAGAGAAGAAGCCTGAGGAGACTAAACCAGAGAAAAAAGAAGACAAGCCAAAACCTGTAAAAGAAGCTCCTGCTTCGCCAAAAGTGGAAACTTCACCTCCTAAAGAGAAGTCTAGAGCTCCTCCTCCTCCACCTTCTTCAGGACAGTCACCAAGAGAGCCCCAACTTCCTCCAAAGGACCGGGAAAGAAGGGTACATACTAGAAGAGTTTTCATGCTTGATTCAGAAAATCCTGCTTCTTGTAGATGTGCTTAGTTCTTTTGAGTTTATACAAGCAGGTTCCAATGACAAGACTCAGGAAACGTGTTGCTACACGATTGAAGGACTCTCAGAACACCTTTGCGCTACTTACTACTTTCAATGAAGTTGACATGTAAGATTCAAAATTTTCTCGTGACAGTCCATTGATTTAAACAATGGTCAAAGTCACTTGTATTATGAGCCATTTTTCTGACTCTTACCTCTATATTTTTAACTTCTCTGAATCAGGACAAATCTGATGAAACTGCGTTCGGAGTACAAAGACGCGTTTCTTGAAAAGCATGGTGTCAAACTAGGATTGATGTCAGGTTTTATAAAGGTATACAACTTTACTAGTCCCCATCATCAAATCATTGTGTATCTATCTTCCAGAGAATGAAACCTTCATGGTTTTTTTTTTGTTGTTGTTCCAGGGAGCCATCAGTGCGCTCCAAAATCAACCAGTCGTGAACGCTGTTATCGATGGAGACGACATTATCTACAGAGATTACGTTGACATCAGCATTGCTGTTGGTACACCTAAGGTACCATTTTTCATCTCCTCTGAATAAATTTCTGCTGAATCTGAAGTTGCAAAGCTTTAAAAAAATATCAATTTATTCCAATGTGTTCATATATCTGTAGGGACTAGTTGTTCCAGTGCTTCGGAACGTAGAGCAGATGAACTTTGCAGAGATTGAGAAAGAGATCAACAAACTTGCTAAAAAAGCAACAGCTGGAACAATCTCTATCGATGAAATGGCTGGAGGCACATTCACTATCTCCAATGGTGGTGTTTATGGAAGCCTGTTGAGTACTCCAATCATTAACCCTCCTCAGGTTCGAATTCTCTCCCACTTTTCTTGTTCATTGCTGTTTGATTCAATCTAATGACTTCTTCTTACTTGCTTGTTTACAGTCAGCTATTCTTGGGATGCACTCGATAGTGAACCGCCCGATGGTTGTGGGAGGAGAAGTTTTGTCAAGGCCAATGATGTTCATCGCTCTGACTTATGACCACCGTCTGATAGATGGAAGAGAGGCCGTTCTTTTCCTCCGTCGCATCAAAGACGTTGTTGAGGATCCTCGTAGGCTTCTTCTCGACATCTAGACCTTGATTCTGTGATAATTTTCAATACCCACAAAACAAATAAAAATAAATGGCTTTGTATGGATCATTCTCTTCTTCTCATGATCAACCAAGAACTTGTAGATGTTGGAAATATGTGAAAACAAAACGCTTTTATTCTGCTCTTTGATGTGTTAAAGTTCATTTCAACAAAAGTGAAATTAAATAAGCAATGCCCTCTTGGCAAAGGAACGTACATTTGATAGGCCAAATCAGAACAAAAGAAAAGCAGAAGTCATTTGAGAAAGAGAAAGCAGGAGACAAAGTCATAGACGAGGAAGAAGAAGACACACAGATTATGATGGCTTGTAGTATTTGGTGGCGACGAACGGCATCTTGGTGATGTTGCCTTCGTAAGGTTTCCCACGGACCAAGATCTTCACTTTGGTCCCATTCTTGTGCTGACCAGACTTCACGTACCCCATGGCTATGTTCTTCTTCAGGTTCGGGCTAAACCCTCCGCTCGTGATCTCTCCAATCTTGTTCCCACTCTCATCATGGACCTCGCTATGCGACCTTGCTGGTGGTCCTGAGGAGAAGAAACCGACTCTTCTGATCGTAGGTCCGTCCTGAAGCTGCTTGAGGATCACATCCGCACCAAGGAAACCGCCTTCGGCTCTTCTACGTTTCCCTATGGCCCATGTGAGGCCAGCTTCAACAGGGGAAATGTGCTGCTCCATGTCGTTTCCATATAGACAAAGCCCTGCTTCTAGCCTGAGACTGTCTCTTGCTCCTAGACCAGTAAGCCTTACCTTCCCCTCGGATTTCTCCAAGATTGCTTTGGCTAAGTCAGTAGCGTGCTCGGATGGGACTGAGATCTCAAAACCATCTTCTCCGGTATACCTGAAAACCAAAACAGACACATTCATTACCTGTGAGATCTTCAAGAAATCTTCTTCTAAACCAAAGCAGACAGTGAAACATTTTACCCGGTCCTGGTAAGGAAGCATGTGGAGCCATTAATGTCCAGAATCTGGAATTGGCCAAAGTAGAGCTTGCTCAAGTCTTCTTTAGTCAGGTGTTGAAGCACAGGAGCAGCCAAAGGACCCTACACCACAAGGTTCAACATCACAAATGTTACTATAAATACAGCAATCACAAAGGGACAATCTTTGGTTAAATCAAAATAGCCAAACCTGAAGAGCAAGAAGAGATCTCTCGTCATGGATATGCCACGAGACATCACCACCTTTGGCCTTAAAAGCCTTCATGTGTTCCTCAATGTGAGCCAAATCTTTATCTCTACAACCAGCATTCACCACCAGATAGATATGATCATCTGTCACTTTGGTAATCACCGAGTCATCAATGGCACCTCCTTTCTCGTTCGTGAACACGGTTAAGCTCCCGGTTCCAGGAGCAAGACCGGCCACATCAGCAACCACGAGTGTCTCGAGGAAAGGAACACAATCTTTGCCCTTAAGGCTCAAACCACACATGTGTGCAACATCAAACAAACTCCCATTGACCCTGCAGTTAACCGTTGAGTCCATGATCGAGTCTTTGTACTGAATCGGCATACTCCAACCAGCGAAAGGAACCATCTTTCCGCCGTGGGCGACATGGAAGTCGTAAAGAGCTGTCTTTTTCAGGTCAGCTTCAGAAGCGAAGTAGCGGCGTGACACAGCTTTCTTGTCAGATTGAGCAAGACGACGGGTTATGGATTGCCCTAGCTGCCATAGACTCCCACCTCTCATCTTCTCCTCAAGCTGTAATAACAGTTTGATCCAAGAATAAATCAGAATCAAATACCATGAATACAGATTTAGATTACGCATTCTTCATCCATAGTGATATCCAGTGGATTGACATTGATAAATTCATATCAAAGCAATACAATCTATAGCAAAAAGAAGACATTTTTAATTCATATAGCTCAAACTACGATTCGGATTCATCATTAAAACATCTGAAACAATCTGGTGAAACTCAATAAATCGCAATGAGATCGATCGAACTTTCATTTTCACAGAGAAGAAGCAGAACAAAAATAATCAACAATTGTTGTCTTCAATCAGAATAATCAGCGATTCTTTGAGGAAGAAACAATCACAGAAACGGAAAAATCGAAAAGGGTCGCGTAGGAATCTTACAAATATAGAGTCTTTGTCTCTGGAGCTTCTTCCAGATTCCTGATACTACTTTGCAGTGTTATCTGCAGTTAACTGGAGATTTCGCAAATAAATAAATATATATGGGTATCAATGCAAAAGGACTTTATATATTGGATTTAAAATTGAATTAAAATAGAGATTGGGGAATTAAAAATTGGACGAAAAAATAAGGAGTTGGTGGTGGTGGAGAAATCATCAACCAAACGAAGAATAGGCCAAAGCAACCACATCCCCATTGAGTGGTAAGTGTTGTTCTCTATTTATCTTCTTCTTTTTAAAATTTGTAAAATCAAAAATAAACATATACATTTTCTTTATACAGTAAGTATTGCAAATCACACTAGAATAAAATATATTGGTTGATCTTTGTATTATTTTCTGATACAACTCTCTTGTTGAAACTTAATTCTGAATTTGTAGACATTCCTTATATGGTAGCATTTTATCAGTTAATATTCAAAAAGTGTCAGCACCTTATAACTTCTATGAACATAACACTTATTAAGCTTTGGATACGTGAAATAGGCATATTCTTTCTTTTTAAGTTTTACATGGATTCAAATTAACACTTCTTTTGTCAAGGTTTGATTAAATTTATCATTTTTGTAAGAGATATATTACCTAACTTCATTTAGAAACTTTTTTTTTTTTTAAAAAGAAGAAGAAATGCATAATTTACTATGGTAATATGATACAATCATACTTATTACTGTTACTCGTTGTTTAGTTATATCTGACTTGGCATTATGCTGATCAAGATCTTGTATCGCCTATACAGCCGGCAATCATGTGATCATAGGCTTCCGAATATGTAGTCATAGCACAATTTTTTTTTTTTTTTTTTTTTTTTGCGGTAGGAGAATCTCACATTTGAAATAAAATGGAACATAAATGGGTATATAGAAGACATTAACTAATTTAACTATTCACAACCAATTAATTTTGAATTAGAAGCAAATGAAAATTTGATTGTTTCTGTAATTTGATTTTATTCTTGCAACTTTTCTTTGGCCAATAGCTTACCTATGTCAATTTTATGTCTTCGTTGCTGTTGTAGTAGTAACTATAGCTATAGTAAGTGTGACCATATTTAATTTCTCGATGAAATTATAGGTTTAAAAAAAAAAAATTAGCTCGACTTTGTAGTAAATAAGAGAACGAAAAAGTAAAATAAAATAAATGAGAAAGGTAACGTTTATTAATAAAATGAACCGGCAGTCATTCTAGTTAGGAACATTTTCCGATTAAAATTCAAAATATTGAAGTTTCAATAAAAGCTGAAATGTGATTCAAATTAAATCTTTAAACTTATTATGACAATGACGATGACTTATTTAGTGTAATAATCTGAGAATGAGCTCACACACATACAAACACTTGATTATACGTTCAAGGGAGACCAACACCACCACCGGCTCCTCCAACAAAGCCTCCACCGAGGAGTCCACCACCGCCTCCAAGTCCAGCACCACCCCCGCCACCTCCACCTAACCCTAGTCCAGCTCCGGCTCCTATCCCAGCCGTAATCCCAAGCCCACCAAGACCAGCTCCTCCGTCAAGGCCAAGCCCTAGACCACCACCGCTTCCGCCAAGGAAGGATTTTTCATCCTTAAACTGGATATCTCCGGATATAAGTTTCCGAGCACCGACATTGGCACAAACAAGTGCAATGAGGAGAAGCACAAGAAAGTAAGTGAAAGTGGCTTTCATGTTTTGCTTTGTTGGTAGAGATTCTTTTGCTTATGGTGAGGTTTGTTACCAGAACATCTACTGTATATAATACACACATATCTAATTTGGGTGTGAAATAAATGCGTATAGATTTGCATTAATCTATTAGGCATGTATCATGAGTACAATGTGCCTTCTATTAATTTGTCTAAAACTATGTCAACCGAAGTATGTTTTAATACAAAGAGGTTAAACATATCATCAATCAAATTTCTAGATCTTGAAACGTGAAACATTCTTTAACATGAAAATATTTAACATTAGTGAATAGAGATGCCGTGAATGTTAGGTAAATAAGAACATAAAAAGACCCACGACTCCACCGCTAATCTATGGATACATTAATTGGGAGGCCAAAGAAATACACATGATCCTTGAGACCGGTGGAGCATGAAGATAGGGTCCGGGTTATCCTAACCAAACCGTTTGATGTTAGGTTTAACTAATGATCTTCTATCCAATTCGATCAGTAAAACAATACAGCATCTGTTTAAGTGATTGATTAGGTGATTTGAAAGTTTTAAAAAACAAACATGAGCTAAGAATCATTTCAATGATTTAGTTCACGTTATTAATATTTTTATGTTTAATTTTCAATTCCTTTTTCGTCAAGTAGGATTAATGCACATTGCATTAAAAGATTACCATTATCAAAATAAAGTTTCATCAAGAATAGACTCAACCAAAACAAGTTTCTCAAAAGTGTATTTGTCCTGCTCATCATCCAATTATCATTTTCTTCATATTCAACAAATATATATATGTCAAATCGTGAAATATCTAGTTTGATTACAAGCCCAAAAACTTTTTACACAAATTTGGGTATGTGTTCTCTACAGAAGAGACATAAAAAATTACTGAATGCGATTGACATTATGTACAAAATTTGAACAAACTTTCTTCCACCTCAATTATTTTTCTGCATACTGAAATTCAACGTACGAGTGACGAGGCTGAGTGGGAAAAGGAAAAGAATGAAGAGCATACAAGTTATTTTATTTTTTATTTTTTTTGACATCTTAAAAATGTGCTTAAAGAATTAAAAATAGAATTAAAAATGTGCTTAAAGAAGTGGCTGATTTGCATGAAAATGCAATAGTTCACCGATATATGAATCTAAGAAATGTAATGATTCTACCTAACATAGGTAGAAGACAGGGTGTGATAGATACATGCTAAGATTGAAAATTTTAGATTTGCTAAAAATCTTTCGAAACCAGATAGAGAGTACATTTTCATTCCCTTGTTAGACCCTAAAATCATCTCCATTGGTAAAACCCAATTTTAGATTTTTAGAAATTTTTTAATTATAAGTTTCTATCACTTTATGTTAATTTTATTGGATCTTAATTTTTTTCCTACTACATTGGTAAAACCTTTTAAAGAGTTCTTAAAGTTCTTAACAACTATTTTTAGTGTTGCCTCCAAGTTCATAAACACTCTTTGCCTCCATGTCTTTAGTTGTAGCATCATTTGCTGAAGAACCTGAAGAGACAACAGAGAAATGGTTCATAGTAATATTCTTAAGAACAACAGGTTTACATTAAAACTCGTAGTGATACATGAACAACACAAAAGAGCACTCATGAAAAGCAAAATTGATCATTGAGCCCAAAGCCAAGTGTATGAAGAAATAAATTGGACTAATAAGTTTTTACAAAAACCAAATTTTGAATTTAGTAAAAACTTATATGTCCAATTTTTTTCTTAAAGAAAAATTTGTAAACCATTTACTACCTAAAAAGTATATGTGTATCTACTATCTACCCACCAATAAAGAAAGTATGTGTATCCTGAGGATACTATCTATCCTCACGAGAGCATGTTGTTCTAAAATTATCAAGAAAAAGAGTATTCCGAGCTTAATTTAATGTGAATGTTATATTCTAAACGAACCCGTAACAAATTGGGTCAAAAAATTGGTAACGACTTTTATTCATGGTTCAGAGTTGTAGCTCATAAACAAAAGAAACGCACACAGACACACACATTGAACATCATCTTATTTTAAGGATAGATAGATAAAAAAAAACTAGAGTTTCCCTTTATTTCATGACCCACATACAATATTTTTATTCTCATGGATCTTTTTCTTCTTCACGGCGTAACGACTCAAGCCTCATTCAAGTTCCTTGAGAAAATCTTTGTTGTCTACCAGAACCTGTCATTTTAACAAACCAAACCTATTAACAAGCAAAGCCAAAACACTGTAGCTTACGAAATCTATGAAGTTGTACTAACCGTTTTCCAGCTATCTGGATCGAGGAATGAGACGATCTTGGTGCCGAGTCCAGGAAGAGGTCCGGCTTCTCTAGTGATCTTCCCTCCAAGCTCTTTGTTGACTATCTTCACAACTTCTCCGCTTTTGTACACATCATCGGTGCCTATTGCAATCTGCGTTCATCACATTCAACCATTACATCATCAAAAAAAGCAATGAAAGAAAAACACAAAAGACTAAAAAAAAAGAAACAATAGCAACAGAGACATGTCTTAAGCTCAGACCTGCGCATATGCATTTCCCTTTGTGTACTCAGTCACGCCGTAGTTATAGGTCAGCTCCAAAACTACCGACTCGTACTCCTCAGCATATCCCATCATCCCTATAGTGTACTGTTTCATCCAACAACAAAAACACTCGGTAAGTCACAAAAGTAGCTTCAAAAACAGGTTAACATCAGCATCACGAGTACTTCACCTTGTATTCAGGTCTCTCGATCTTTCTCAAGAGTCTCATCCCAAGGGCCTGCATGGAATCAATTAGAAGTGAATTAAACACTGTTAACAAATATTTAACAAAAGGCACAACCTTTTTATCGTATCATTTACCTTTTCATAGAACTTGATGGATCGGTCGAGATCACCAACACGAAGCATGACTTGGCAGAGTGGTTCAGGGGTTGGACCTCTCTGGATGAGCTCGAAAGCGTAACCATCAGGGTCCTTCACAAAGGCAATGACACTGCCTCCACCTTTCACTGGACCTGGCTCCCTAGTCACATTCCCGCCCTTGGCACGGACTGTCTCAACCATTTTCGAAACCTAAAAAACAAAAACCGTTCAGAGCCTGACATGCATATATATATACTGATTCTTGAGATCTAAAATCAAAGTAGGACCGACTTACATCTTGAGTTGAGATGGCGAAATGCCCAAATCCAGTTCCAATATCATACGAGCTAACACCATAATCTGTAACACAAAAACAATGCTAAGACTCATTCAAACCTAAGAACCTAAGTCAGAGAGTAAAGAGAACATACTATATGTCAGCTCCACAACGAAGTTGGATGTCTCAGGTCCAAAACCAAGGAAAGCATTAGAATACTTCTCCTCCGGGACATCTCTTTTCCTCAACAGCTTCATACCAAAGCACTCAGTGTAAAACCTGGTGAGTAATTAAGTAAGTGACTCAGTGATATAAAAAATGAAGAACAGTGTAAGACTGAAACAGAGAAAAAGAAAGAAAGAAAGAAAGACATACTCAATGGTGCGATCAAGATCACCAACACGGTACACAACATGGAGGAAACGACGCTTGTCCTTCTTTGCCCATTCCAACAACTCAGCGTTTGAAGCTTCTGCCATTTTTCCTATAAAACAGACCAAAACCTTACAAAACAACATTTTCCTCATTTCCATATATGCATTTAGTATCAAACAAAAATTTAAATCTTTACATGAAACCTATAGTTACGAAATGCCTACCATCATCATACCAATTGAAATTGAGGCAAGCATCGTTTTACACTTTCGAAATCAACTAGCACCTAATTGCAACAAAAATGATCCACGAAGACGAAACCAAAATTAAATTCATTGAGTGAATACTTAGATTCCATGATACCCAGACGATTACTCAAATGATGATTCACAATTTTAATCAGCTTCTCAAACAAAACAAAACCAAAAAAAAAATCAGATCCGGAAAACATCAGATTGCAATAACAAAATTCCTCAAATTGATTCGAAAATTTCATATCAAATAAGAACGCGATCAAATGAGAACACGATGATAATCGAAATGTTAAAAACTATATCATCTGCAACAGTGGCTCACCTGAGAGGAGATGACGAGACGAGCAGATACCACTGGGCTTGGGATAATAATTTCGGTAGAAAGCAATGGTCGTCAATTTAAATTAGAAGTTTCCAAGTGACCCACAACTTCTCTGCTACTGCCTGTGATATAGTGTGATCATCACAGACGCATTGCAGCCGTTGGATTGACTTATTTTGGAACGACGGTGAGGTTAAAGGTTCACTCTAACAGCCATGTGATACACGTGTGCGATCGTATAGAATTATTTAGCTTTTTTTAGTCGGCAGATACTACAATAATGCTTCTGTCTAGTCCTTACTTTTTCGTTTTCAATTATTTCACCGCTTTGCCAAACCTTATACAAATATCTCTAAAATGTGTTTTTTTTTTGTATGAATCTCAGTCTCTTACAATGTGTTGTTATCAACAGCATGTGACAACTTCAAAATTACTACTTCATACACTAAAGAACAGTATTATCTTAATGTCGGAAAAGTATGAGCTATTAGACTTGTATAAATTTAATGTGGATTACGCTTATCATATAATCTTTTAGACCTTTCTACTTTTTATTTTGTTTTAATAGCATTTGGAATCATGGAAAACGTTAGTGATTACATCTAAACCGACTTAGAGAGAACAAAATTTGGTATGAGATACTATACCCACCCACTCCTAATGATGCAAGGCTGCAATCTTGTGTCTTCTCTTTTGGAAGAAATATATAACAGCACAAGTAATTGCGAGAGAAACAGACAAAGGAGTGTCACGGTTCATTGTCTTTTATTCTTGGGTCTATTTTCATTTAAGCGTTTGGAAAGTGTTAGTAATACTGTATTCAAAGCGTCTGCAGCACTATGCAGTCATGCACCCAATTTGCTAAACATCAATTAAGAGCTCCGTTTTGCAATAATTACGGATTATAAGTACACTATTCACCAACATTCGGCTACTTTAAAATTAGTTTCAAGCTGAGTTTGAGTTTGGCCTATTTTGAATTTTTGAACGATCACAATTATATTCAACATCATGCAGCGTGCCGAGAATAAAAAAAATCAACATATCTTGTAGCGGTGAAACTTTAATCAGTTACTACTTACTACTGTCTGTGGACTGTATTAAACAATCTGTTACAATCTTTTTTTTGGAAAAGAAACTCTGTTTATTTTATTTCTTATCCTTAGAAAAACATTGTTTCAGACTCTTTACCAAAAAAGATAAATACAATATTTCAGGAAATGTGCTTATGTATTATATAGTGACGTGTGATTTCACGAATCGCGACTGAAGGAATATTTGTTCTTATGACCTGAGTAAGATATAGTTTCAAGTCAAAAGGAGGAAATCTCATTTTAAGATGTTTTAAAATTTAAATATTAAGCTCCCTGGAAAGCTTTCCTCTTTTTCGGAGTCTGCTGTTTTTGCTTGCTTTTATCTATTATCTTAAGAGTTGCAGATGGATCTCTATGTTAGTATGTTGTACAAATAAGTTTTGTCGAGTTGCTGTTTTGTATATTATAATCCACCACTATATTCCCCTAGATCAGGATTTAACATTTTGTTACTTACTTACAAACAATGTGTCACAAATATGACTTGTTTAGTTTTCTAAGAGCATTTATTGGCTGAGATGAGAAAATGTATTGTCAAGTATCAACAAATAAATAAAGTGGGCACTTCTCTATTAAATGTAATCTTCTAGCTACACAACAACACAAAGTATGGGGTTGTATTCTCTCTTTTCTCCCAATTTGCATATTTCAAATTTTCAATGTTTTTGACGGATATTTCAATAATCATAGACCCTCACGTAGAATTCCACTAAAGAGCAATGCTATCTTCTTCTTTCATCTGTCCACTTTTGGCATGCGGTCAAGTGTCGACACCAACATTCCAAGCCTTTTTCCCTTTTCATTCTTTTTCCTTTTTTCCTCACCAACATTCCAAGCAAATCCGCTAGAGCCAAAAAATATCCAAGAATAAAATTGATTTTTGTATATAATAATATGAAAAATGTTTAGAGTAATCTGAAAAATTCTTATCCCTTTTAAATTTAACCGTCTTAAACAATATTTTTTCTTTTCTTCTCTGTCTGAAAATGGACTAGCGTGGAAGGGCATTATAGTAGTTTTACTCTCTGTCTGAAAACCAAACAAGTTGTGTGGGGAGGAGGAGCGAGCAGAGTTTATTCACGTGGAAGCACAGAGACATAAATCTTCAGCCTAAAACCCCTAAAAATTATGTCTAATCTCTCTTCTCCTTCTTCTCCGATCCTCTTAGCCTATCTCAACCAGACAGCAAGAAACCCAGAGAAATCTGTTGAAGGAGGAGAAAGATAATGCGAGGATCTGTAGCTGAGTCTGAATCAGAAGGGGAAGAGTTTCATAATAAATCCAACGTCAAGCTCCTCTTCAATGGCTCTCACTAGCATGGTCTCCACCGTTCCTCTTCTCTCCTTCTTATTCATTCTAATCCTCAATCTTTTAATTTCTAGTAAGTTCACTTTTCAGTTCCACATTTAGTTCAATTTCAAATTCCCCCAAATTGGTCTATTTTTCTCAACTAGTAGTATGTCGGACCTTGTGCAGCAAATTCGTCGTCTTTATCGCATAATATCAAGATTCAGGAACAAGACAAAGATCCATTTGTCGGATTCAACATCGGAACCGATGTCTCCAATCTGCTCACTCCGACGGAGCTCGTCAAATTCCTACAAACCCAGAAAGTAAACCACGTCCGTCTATACGACGCCGATCCGGATTTGCTCAAGGCATTGTCCAAAACCAAAATCCGGGTCATAATCAGCGTACCAAACAACCAGCTCCTCGCAATCGGATCCTCCAACAGCACCGCCGCGTCGTGGATCGGTCGAAACGTCGTCGCTTACTACCCCGAAACCTTAATCACAGCCATCTCCGTCGGAGACGAGGTCTTAACCACAGTGCCTTCCTCAGCTCCTCTGCTTTTACCCGCGATCGAGTCTCTCTACAACGCTCTCGTCGCTTCCAATCTCCACACTCAGATCAAAGTCTCTACTCCCCACGCAGCTTCGATCATGCTCGACACGTTCCCTCCTTCTCAAGCTTACTTCAACCAGACATGGCACTCGATTCTGGTCCCTCTGCTTCAGTTCCTGTCCAAAACGAGCTCTCCTCTGATGATGAATCTGTACCCTTACTACGTCTACATGCAGAACAAAGGCGTCGTTCCGCTAGACAACTGCTTGTTCGAGCCGTTGACTCCGTCTAAAGAAATGGTTGACCCAAACACTCTGTTGCATTACACGAACGTCCTCGACGCTATGGTCGACGCTGCGTACGTCTCGATGAAGAACCTGAACGTCTCTGACGTCGTCGTGCTCGTGACCGAAACCGGTTGGCCTTCGAAAGGAGATGCGAAAGAGCCTTACGCTACTCTCGACAATGCTGACACGTACAACTCGAATCTGATCAAGCATATATTCGACCGATCCGGGACTCCGTTGCATCCCGAGATGACTTCGAGTGTGTACATTTACGAACTGTTCAACGAGGATTTGAGAGCGCCTCCGGTTAGTGAAGCGAGCTGGGGGTTGTTCTATGGGAACTCTACGCCGGTTTATTTGCTTCATGTGTCTGGAAGTGGGACTTTCTTGGCGAACGATACGACGAACCAGACGTATTGTATTGTGATGGATGGTGTGGATGTGAAGACGCTTCAGGCTGCGTTGGATTGGGCTTGTGGACCGGGGAGGGCTAATTGTAGCGAGATTCAACCTGGGGAGAGTTGTTATCAGCCGAATAATGTGAAGGGGCATGCTTCGTTTGCTTTCAATAGTTATTACCAGAAGGAAGGAAGAGCTTCTGGTTCTTGTGACTTCAAAGGTGTGGCTATGATCACTACTACTGATCCAAGTAAGCTCTTTTCTTCTTCTTTTTCTCATGTTACTGTTTACAGTTTTGAAGATCAAGAAACATTATCCTAGTTTGTTAGGATTTAGTTCTGTAGGAGCTAGTCTTGGTGAATTATATAAGCTAAAACTTGAGTGACCTTATAATAACATTTATATTCCCTGTTCCTCTTTGATGTAAGCATGTAATATGTCCAAAAACTATAGCATATAAGTTCTTAGAAGTTCAAAACTTTTGTATTAACTATATAGATTCAAGCATTCGCCTTTATAGCGGTTTTCATTTTGGAAGTTTCTAAATCGGTAAAATGTGCATGTTTCAGGTCATGGAAGCTGCATTTTCCCAGGAAGGTATGCAAATTTTTCGTGTTGGAAACTCGTTATCCATATTCTTAGATGTTACATTTTCTTACGCTTACTTTATTTTGTGCAGCAAGAAGGTCGGAAACAGGACACAGACGGTGGTGAATTCGACTGAAGTCGCTGCAAGTGAAGCAGCCTCAAGGAGTCTCTCAAGAGGCTTCTGCGTCAGTTTTATGATTCTTGTAACTTCTCTTTTCTTACCCTTCTAGTGATTTTTATTTTTCCACGCTGAGTTACTTACTATTTTAGATTCATCAACATTGTATTTGATCAAAATTTTGTAATTTGTTCTGTTATTTGTAGACTCTTGTATCTTTGTTGCTACAATATTTTGTAAAAGAAAATATGTCTTCTTAAATGTTGTTGGTTCAATTCGGTTTTAGTATACCAAGAGTTCGGTTCACCTTTCAATTTTAAACTTTGAATTTTAGTTTTCTTTTATTCGGAAAATATGCGACGGCGTCGTAAGCCGTTAAATTGAAATCGATGACGATAAGTCAAAATTAGGGCATATGTCAAGAATCCGATTTCTGAGAGTCGTCACAAGTTTTGCGATGTCGTCATCGTCTTCCTCCTGGTCCTGCACCAAATGCACTTTCCTCAATTCTCCGTCTCGGAAACTCAATTGCATGGTCTGCTTGACTCCTGTACCTCTCCCTTCTTCTTCGTCTCCGACTCCTCTCTCCGTTTCCTCGAACGATGAGCCCAAATGGGCTTGCAAAGGCTGCACTTTTCTGAACACGTACAAGAACTCAGCCTGCGACATATGCGGAACGCGATCGCCGACGTTGTCTTCTCTCCTGAGCTTTGACGATTTGACCGATTCGGGTCTCGAGAGTAGCAGCAACCCTGATCGCTCGGTCGGGTCGGTTTTCTTTCCTCTGCGGCGGTGTAGCAAGCGCAAGGCCATGGATGATGACGTCGTCGAGGTTGATGGAGGTTCTGTTGTTAGTTCCGAATCGCTGGGTTTCGTTAAGAAGAAGAACAAAGAGATTGAAACGAAAGGTCGGTTTTTTTCCCTTAACTTTCTAGGATTTTTAGGTCTTTTGAGTCTGTGATTATTTGGGATTCTCGGATTAATTGATCAAGATTGTGGCTCATACTTAGAGATATCAGTTTAAGAGACGAGTTTGTGTTACTCTGTGATGTGTGTTTTCATGAAAACTTAGCTTGAAATGGCCTCTTGAGTGTTTGTTGAACTTGATGGTGTATAATCGTTAATGGTTGTTTTATATTCTTCCTCAGATGCAAAAGTCTTTACTTTGCTTTGTCACTCTTAATTTTTGCAGGAGTAGCTTCTGATTCAGGAGCATCTGTCTCTTGCTTGAAGATCTTGAGCTACAATGTTTGGTTCCGTGAAGATCTTGAGTTGAATCTAAGGATGAGAGCGATCGGTCACATTATCCAGCTTCATTCTCCCCATCTCATATGTTTTCAGGTCAGTTTCTTACATTTTTAATCTGCAAACTTTAGAGGCACCTCAGGTTTCTGTTAAGCTGTTTTTGTGTGGTATTGTAGGAAGTTACTCCAGAGATATATGGTATTTTCCGCAAGTCAAACTGGTGGAAAGCGTATTCTTGCTCTGTCTCAGTGGATGCGGCACAATCAAAAGGCTACTTCTGCATGCTGGTAAAGACTGTGAACACTTGTCTTAGGCCTCTTAGCTTCTAACATTTGGCGAATTCATGTGGTTTTGTAACTGAAATCTGGTAATTTGCAGTTGAGCAAGGTGGGGGTGAAATCTTTCAGCTGCAAAAGCTTTAGGAACTCTATAATGGGAAGAGAATTAACCATTGCAGAGGTTGAAGTTCCGGGGAGGAAGCCACTTGTTCTGGCGACAAGCCATCTCGAGAGTCCCTGTCCAGGTCCTCCAAAATGGGACCAAATGTTTAGCCGGGAACGCGTTGAACAAGCCAACGAGGCCGTCGAGATTCTCAGAGCTAACACCAACGTGGTGTTCGGGGGAGACATGAACTGGGACGACAAGCTAGATGGGAGGTTTCCTTTGCCAGACAAATGGGTCGATGTTTGGGAGGTTCTGAAACCAGGTGATTCCGGTTTCACGTACGACACGAAAGCAAACCCGATGTTGTCTGGGAACCGGACGTTGCAGAAAAGGCTAGACCGGATTCTGTGTCGTCTTGATGATTATAAGCTTGGTGGGATTGAGATGGTTGGGAAAGAAGCGATTCCTGGGTTGTCATATGTGAAAGAGAAGAAAGTGAGAGGTGAGATGAAGGAGTTAGAGCTTCCGGTGTTGCCTAGTGATCATTTTGGACTGCTTTTGACCCTTTCGCCGAAGTGAGGTCAAGCTTATCGGACGGAGATGGAAGTTCTGTTTTCCCTTGTAGAACTTCTGTGGCTAGGATAAACTGTATTAGTACAACCAAACTCGTGTGTTGGCTTTCTTGTTAATTCAAAATTGATAAAACGTGAAAAGGTGTTTCGTTTCCAAGTTTTTGGTTTCGGAAAGTTCTGAGATATAGCGATGTCAAACATATCTGAGCACACACTAAAGGAACCCTTAGAACTGCGATCAAGTGACTGAAATAGCTTTAAACAGATCCGAAGCTTTTTTGAGATCCAAGATTGATTAAAAATTTGGCAACACCAGAAAAATCAAGTGATGCAATTCCAGGAATTTTGTTTATAACCTCAACACAAAGTGAAGTATCGACTCTTTTTCTTGTACATAAACCATTGATCTCATCTTTAGTTAGTGCATATGATGAGACAACAAAAAGAAATGAAACTACAATGTGAACCAATGAAACGTTACTTTTGATGTATGCTGCCATATGGTGAAACATATCTTCAAATTTACACTAACAGGTTTTTTAAAGGGCTTTCTTGCATATAGGAAATAAAAATACAAAGTAGTAGAAATAGATTACAAACATAAGTAAAGAGAGAAAATACATTAACAGATTTTATCTAATTTTTTTTTATCATCAATGCTATTGGGTTATATACCACTAGTAGAGTACCCGCACGTTTGTGCGGTGTGACGTTGTTGTTTTGTGTAGAAAATTTAAACCCTAAATCCGAACCCGACAAAAAACCCTAATCAAAAAATTTAAAAACCCAAACTTTTTTAATAGGTCTAAACATGAAAATCCGAAATCAAAAAAATCCCGAAAACCCTGACTGAACAAAAAAAATCTGGAAACTTTTTCACCCGGAACCCGACCCCAATACCTAATCAAAATTTTAAAATACTCAATTTTTTTAATATATCTAAACCCGAAAACCAGAAATCTAAAAAATCCGGAAAACCCTAAACTGAAAAAAAAAATTGAACCTAACCCGAACAGAAATTTTCAAAGAAACCCGAACAATTTCTATATCTCTATAAAATTATGTCTCAGATTTTCACCCAAACCCGAACTTGTCTATAAAAACCCGAAAATCCAAAAAGCATATTCTATTGATTTGGAATTATCGTTAGATTATGTTAAGTTTTCTTTTTTGCAGATTTTTAAGAGATGGAAAACGGAAGTTTTCTAAACCATCGGTTTATTTTAAGTTATTATTCTTGTATCCAAACAATTTTTTCCATTTATTCTTCTATCCAAATAGATTTTTCTCTTATTCTTATATCCAAACAACTTTTGTTTCCATTTATTCTTCTATCCAAATAGATGTTTCTCTAATTCTTGTATCCAAACATTAGAATGTACTTCTCAATTAATAATATAAAGATAATTAAATCTAAATGATTTGAATCGACCATTATTAAATGATTTGAATCGACAGCAGCAATATATACATTTTTTTTCTTCTAATATGTTAGTATAATTATCTTGTAGTATCTATCTATCAATAGAAAAACATACTATAGGAGATGTGTATCAGGAAAATATTTAAAATATAAGAAATATTTGCTTGTTTTTTGCTAAAGTATGTCTAAAGTAATTCTAAATATTTGCTCATTTTTTGCTAAAACATGTCTAAACTAATGCTAAATTTTAGTAAAGAAATAACATGAATAGTAGAAAGTCTTGTTGATGTAAATTACCTAAAGTTGCCGTGTTATGTGTTGAAATATTTTAGATGGAGCGAGATCGGAGGCGGCGGTGATGATCACGTGACTGCGCAGTGATCACGTTGATGTTCCCTTTATGGTTGCGTAACTCAATGTGACAACGTTGAAAGACGGCTGCTGCTCGTCCGAATATGAAGTCGACAGTGCCGGATATATAGCACTCTCTGTAATATTGTCGCTTCTTCTCAGCGTACAACGTGTCCTGGAAGCCTTCTATCCGGCATTTGAAGAAGATTCATATGTGAACATCCTCGTGTTATGGCTAACTTTTCCAAATGCGAGTCATTGTCAAGACTCAAGAGCGTCAATTCATGGTGAGCAACCTTATTAATTATCCAACTTTATCTTTATGTTTTGGTAACGGAGATAAATCATTCGGGCGTTTTAGCCTTGATCTAAATCTTCTACAATAACCAAGTTTGATTGATTGACAAAAAAGATCATGTAGGACAAAGTTAATGATTTGAATTAAATTAACAATGGTAATATGGCAATCAAAAGTACTTCATGTTATGAGTTATGACAATCAATTAATGATTTGGCTCGGTTACGTGGAATGCAACTTTTCGTAAGATTTGAATCGTATTGTTGTAGAAGGATGTGCATAAACTTAGTTAGTTAGGCTACATGGCTATTTGTCTTTTTATCACACTCTTCACAACTGTTTTTCCATTTCAAGTTGTTGTTGCTCTTTGAAACATTTTTGTTGATTTGAGTCAATGTTACTTTTATGAAAATGTCATAATTTCTTTTGATTCATTGACTAATCTTAACCAGGAAAACCTGTTTAATAATATACAAAAAAACATGTTCTTTAAGAAGTTAACATAAACTAAATTGTCTCAGCGAAAAATTATTTAAAAAAATGGTGAAAGGAAGAATCTTGCGGTATACCAAAGCCACGGACGAACAAGGGTTCTTCTGTTTGGGTATATTCACATGGTTTCTGCACGGTATAAGCATGACAATCTATTGGAGATTCTTCTCGGTTATCTGACTAGATCCATTGGATAACAACCGAGGATACGAATGAAACTTGAGAATTCCTGCAAAACCGAAAGCCAATAATCTTTAGAAACCGGTTAGGACTTAAGCTAGTTTGGTGATAAAACTCTCAGAGTTTTGCATGAATTGGGACCTGTAGATGACCAAGGGCGTGCTGAGCACTTGTTTCAGCCATGGAAGCTTCAAAATCTATGTAGAATAAGTAATCAAAGTACCTGTCATCACAAAAACAATCACTCAACTACTTCTCAAAACAAAATGTGTTCATGTTCTTGTGTTAGAAATATACTTACTTTGCACTTCCATTGTTAGAACCGTCAACTACTCTCAGCGGTCTTCTTCTCTGCGGACGACTTTCTATCTAAAAAGATAGCGAAAATCACTGTCATACATAGATTCCTATTTTTCTCAATGAAATGTTATACAAACTTTCCTCGGAGCTTACCTTGGATAAGTTGATGCTTCTCAAAGCAAAAACAGCCAAGGCCTTGAACAGCACACCAGGACCTTCTTCTAGTGAGAACACTATACTCGTCTGAGAGAGAAACACAAGCACTAATTACTATTCGGAAATGTAAGTCTCAGCAGATTTAGGTAGTACATTTACAGATGTGATTTGTTTGAATTACCTTATATGGTCGATCTGTTCTTGGAATCACAGGCTCTCTCGCAAGTATCAGAAAGCGAGTCACATTGTTGGCATCATCCTGAAAATTGATCACATTCCTTCTATGTCATAAAGCACTCAACTTTCTTCCCAATGAAGAGCATTTCCTCGGAAACGAATCTATCAGTAAAGTTGAGGATGGAGAGACTTCACTTACTTGGATGTTCTCAGCAAGAATATCTAAACCATATATATTTGCAGCCCGTACACTAGCGATTGCTCCAATGTCCCTCTTGCCACTTGAAGAAACAGTCTGAAGAAAAAGTTGAATGCTTTGTTATTTCAACGTCTAAAGCCTGAACTGAACTAAAAAGAGGTTATCTTGAGCTAATACCTGAGCAGCAGTAGCAGTGTCTTTTGCAGAAACTCTATGTATGCCTAAATCGTTAAGTGAATTCATACATTGATCAAGCGCCTGGAGGGAAAGAAACAAAAAAAAGAAGAAGACTACTACTCAAAATCAGTGAACTCAGAAGCGCCTAAGGGAAATGAAGGCAGAAAAACAAAAGAACCTGAGGATGGCTTAGAACGCATTTGATATCTTCTTTCCTAACACCAGGCACTCCTAAGAGACAATGATTCACAGGCAACTGGACTTCTTGGACAATGTGAAGCCTATGACGCAGAAGCAAGTCATAATTACGGTGGATACTACCACCTACAGAGTTCTCAATCGGTAATACTGCTTTATCCACCAACCACAGCTCAACAGCCTGAAGAATCAATCATATAGTAAAGCACCATACTTTTTTAATGTGAATATATTAGAGGTGACAGATATATCAAAACCTGGAACGCAGTTTCGAACTGTTCACATGGCACAGTTTCACAGTTTGGATATGCTTTTAGTGCTGCTGTCTCACTGTATGCACCTGGTATGCCCTGCATTTGGAGTGTATGTAAACAACAAGCAAACAAAATACAGATAACACACAGATATGCAGTTAGGTGAGGAAATTGATATTTCACCTGGAACGAAATTCGCATTTTTGAATCATCCCCAGCAGAAGAGTAAAGACTGTTTGCAGTTAGAGGTTCTGTAAATCAACTTTAAATGTTAGGGCTTGCAATGGACAGAGATAGAAGAAAAAGGTATAAGATCCATAATGAGGATATGCTCTAAGGCGTGATGCAAATGACAATGAATGATCTACTAATGAGACTACAGAACAAGAAAGATTAAACCTGAAACATCAAATGCAGCTGAATAATATGGAAGTAAAAAATATTGTACTAACAAAACATGCCAAGTACTTCATTTTCATTGCAGATTCAAATGATCATGATTGATCCATTTATTATGAGAGACACAGAAGATCGAATCTGATACATCAAATGCAGCTACTTATATGGCAAAAGAAGAATCTAGTTTTAACGGAACATATTTAAGTGCTCTATTTTGTAGCAAGCCCTATGTCACAATGCAGATGACAATGATTGATCCAATTACAAGACTACACGACATGAAAGATCGAATCTGAGACATCAAATGCAGGTACCAATATGGCAAAAGAGAATATTCTATCGACAAAACATATTAAGTACTCCATTTTCATCAGTAATGTCAAGGCACAATTTAGCACTCATTTCAATTGTGATCAAATATGACAGAAACTTGCAAAGTATTTCTGTAAAACTGTGCAAGGACATGATCATTATTATCTCTTCTGACAAAATCTAGGCTATTGGTAAAATTGTAAAACAAATATTTTGAATGATCCACAACATTTACGAGCGTATATATAGCTGCAATGATTTCTCATTTGCTTAATCAAAGGATCCCGCAAACCAAAATTCAGCAAATTTCGCCCCTAAATTTTACAAATTTGAAGTGGACGATCGCATAAACACAAACAACCAAATCAACATTTCCACGTGAAACATGAGAAAGGGGAAGAAGAAAGGGACGAGATTACTCACTAGGAAGCATGCTCAAGTCTCTGTGAAAAGTAACAGACTTTGTCTCCTGAGTCAGACCCATTTCATCAGATGTCTTTTTGAGCTCACGTCCGTACGGAGCCTCGCCTTCAATGGCAGTGACGGCTCTCACGGAAGCTGAGGAGGAGCACTCCCACGTGACGAAGAAACGACGGCGTTTAGCGTCCTGGCCCACCAGAGGAGAAGGAAGAGTCGTCTGGGGACAGACCCAAATGGGGAAACACCTCAGAGCCATAGAAAGTTGAGAGATTTTTTTTCTCGTCAGAAGACGAAATCGGGCAATGTGAGAGAGAGAATTGGAGGAATTAGGTCAACAAAAGTGTCAATCGAAAGATGGGTTTGGTAAGAAAGTATAGAGTCATACAAGTCAGAAGAAAAAGTGTGGATTTTTTGCCTTTCTGGAAGGTCTTTTATGAGAAGAGTAAACTCGGAAACTCAGACGGAAAAGGTCCACACTTTGCAAGACGTTACTTACATTCACACACACATATATGGTTTTTTTTTTTTTTTTTTGTTAAAAGTGGTTTTTGTAAAGTTGGCCGACAAATAAAGAAGTAAATCTTTCTTTCCTCTGAAAGAGTAAATAGTTTTGCTGACACGTTGATATTTCTGTTGAATAGAGTCATAGAGATGTACAATGCCAGGTGACAATGCTAAGAAAAGATAAGAAAAAAAATAAGGAGATAAATGTTAATAATTATCATCAAGTGGTCAGTCACTCTGTATGAGTTCGACTCCACCTTCCTCCATGTGGGGTTATTTTCCTCTTTCGGAGGATTATGGGGTCGTGGACTAGTCCGTTGTGGCCCACAAACGATGACAAAAAAAAAAAATATAACATCAAAAAAGACAAAAACATTGAATTTATTACTGTTTTGTAGTATAACTTTTGATATATTTTAAGTATTGCAATGAATTATGTAAGATATCAGTCATTTATACCTGATGAAAATACATCTTTTTACGAAAACTGAAAATTAAAAATTTAAAATCACTGAAAAGTGAAATCTTTAAAAAAAAATTCCATTAAATGATTTTCTGTTTAATTCTATTATTTGGTGAAATTTACGGAAAACCTCTGTTTTTATTGCAAAAAATACGTTTATACCCATTTAAAAATATAACGCTATTTTCGGGTTTCGGGTTTCGGATTCGGATTCGTTAAACGTCGACTGGTGAAGATGTACGAATCAGCGAAAGTCTCCGACGACGCAGATCGCACTGCTTTCCGGCGAGCAGAGAAACAATACAAGCTTTACTACGAGCAGGATTCTAAGTTCTATAGAAAGTAAGCCAATTTCCATCTCCGCTTCACTGCGTTTGTTGTGTATCCTTCTCGCTTTATATCCACTTCAACTCGCAGGAAAAAGCTACCAAAACCGGTTGATTTGTCGGCGCTGCTCGATTTCAATCAGATTCTACATGATTTCAACGAGAATGGTGTTTTGCCAGACGGAATTAGGGCTGCCGCCGGAGCTGATTCCCCGGTTTTCTGCATCGAGAATCGCCCCGGTAAGTTGAAATCCCCAAATTTCAAATCATGTGTTAAATTAGGATCTAAAAGACTTAGCTTTTTGCTTGAAATGTTTGAATGTTGAAACTTATGGAAGTGAGACTATCATTATGATTGTTATACAGGGTTTTACTTTATTCCTGGTGCATTGAGTCTGAAGGAGCAATGCAAATGGATTAAAGAGAGCTTGACGAATTTTCCGCAGCCTCCGAATAGAACAAACCACAATGCAATTTATGGTCCCATTGCTGATTTGTTTGATTCAGCTAAAGCAAACAAGGTCTTGGTTCAGGAAGATCCTACCTCTGAAACTTGTATTGATACCAACAAGTGGAAGTTCTGTGATGATGATGAAGAAGATGTTGCAAAAGCGAAACGAAGAGGTTGCAAATCAGTTTCAGCTTCAGTTCTTCTGAGGAAGCTTCGATGGAGCACACTCGGTCTACAGTTTGATTGGTCCAAGGTCAAAATCTTGCAACTTGTTTTTGATGAAATATTGGAGCCTAAAACTGAATGCTGATTCTTTCTCCTTTTTTTGTTTTCAGCGAAACTATGATGTTTCTCTCCCTCATAATGATATTCCTGATGCGCTCTGTAAACTAGCTAAGACACACGCCGCCATTGCAATGCCTGACGGGGAAGAGTTCCGTCCAGAGGGTGCGATTGTAAACTATTTTGGCTTAGGTACTGTTTGTACTTCTTGGTTTCAAAAGGTTTAATCTTTAAAAGATGTTGTTGAACTTTTGAAAACGTTTTTGGTTAACTCGCTCTTTAGGTGATACACTTGGAGGCCACCTTGATGACATGGAAGCTGACTGGAGCAAACCTATAGTAAGCATAAGGTATGATCTCTTTGCCTTCTTTCTTACCAAAACGTTTGTATTTTGAAGCGCGGTTGAGTAATTATATTTCCCTCTTTACGCAGCCTGGGATGTAAAGCAATATTCCTATTAGGAGGAAAATCAAAAGATGATCCTCCCCATGCTATGTATCTTAGAAGTGGAGATGTTGTACTCATGGCTGGAGAAGCCAGGGAATGCTATCACGGTAACTTACTCAAGAAAGAATCCCAAATTTCCCATATTCTGTCACTGCTTTGTCTCAGATAATATCTGTTGATGTTGCAGGTGTGCCTCGTATCTTTACGGACGAAGAAAATGCTGACATTGGCGCGCTTGAATTAGAGTTGTCCCTTGAGAGTGGAGATTCTTTTGCAGAGTACATCAAAACTTCGAGGATCAATATAAACATCAGGCAAGTTTTCTGAGTTGCCTCATAAGCAGAAGAATCTGTATGACTGTATTAGCATCAAAGCCACAAGATTTTCCCAAGCATCATCCCCTTCTTTTGTTGCACTGTTTTGTTTTCTATCTTCTTAGGGCCATAGAAGCTCTTAACCAGAAATAGAGTCAGATTTATACAATAGCGGATTAATTTCTGCATAAATTTTTGAGGCTGTTGTTGAAAACAATTTGTATAATTATATTACCAAAAAGGTTACATCATTTTTTACATATCATATCGTGTAACATTTACACGTATTGGAAGTAGAAAACAAATCATTTGGCTGTATATGTATGTCTATAAAGTTTATACTTTATAATGTCTATAAAGTTTATACTTTATATAGTTAGTTATATCATAAACAAAACTAAAAATGGTCTAGAATTACTTGCTAGACGTAGGAATGCTCTGTTCATCCCTGAAGAAGTTCTGAGGATCAACGGCAGTCTTCACTTTAACCAACCGATCAAAATTCTCTCCAAAATACTTCCTCCCATAAACCTCTGCCTCTCTGTAACTGTTAGGCCCATGAGTGTTGACCCCAATATCCAAATCCCTGTAGTTGATATACGCATGTCTAGGGTTCTTGGTGACAAAAGGAGCCATGTAGCTGTAGAAGCTTCTCGTCTGCTGCAAGAAACTGCTCTCAGCTTCCGTTCCGGGATCTTTCCAGTTCATCGAGTGCTGCACCTTGTAGAGCGACTTCCTGTGAGGGAACGGCGTATCCGTCGTCTTAATCTCGCTCATCTTCCCTCCGTAAGGGTTAAACACCAAACCGATCTTCCCGACTTCGATCATCTTCTTTATCAAGAAGTCTAACCCTTCTTTGGTGATCTCTTTGTCGACGAAGTCCGATTTACGCTTCAGGAACGACGCCATGTCAGGGTTCCGGTCAAGGAGAATCTCCGGTTTGACCTGCGTGGCGTTCTCGTTGTTGGCCCACCAGAGCACCGACTGGATCCAGGTGAGCTCCGTGCAGTTCTCTTTCACCAAACCGAGCTCAGGGAAGTCTTTGGTTAGCAGAGATAAGACGTCGTTTTGCTTTCCCAAATACAGAGCCACGACGGATGCTCTCACCGTCTGCTGCTTGTTTCTCGTCACCGGCTGTAGCAACAGCCTCATGAAGAGACCTGGATCGGTTTTGGGCGCGACGAATTGCCATTTGTGGACCATTTCGATGGCGTTTTGGTCGAGGTACTTCTCGACTCTGAAGACGGTGACGGTTGGTGGGACGGGGACGAGTGTGATCTTGAAAGCTACGATCACGCCGAAGCTCGCGCCTCCTCCGCCTCTGATCGCCCAGAAGAGATCCTCTCCCATTGATTTCCGATCGAGGAGGCGTCCGTTGACGTCGACGAATTTGGCGTCGGTTACGTAATCGACGGAGAGTCCGTATTTTCGGATCATGTTTCCGTAGCCTCCGCCGCTGATGTGACCTCCGGCGCCGACTGTGGGGCAGACTCCGGCGGGGAATCCGTGGGCTTTGGATTTCTGCCAGATGTTGTAGTAGACCTCGCCGAGGGTAGCGCCGGCTCCGATCCAGGCGGAGTCGCCTTCGACGGTGATGGTGCGGAGGATTGACATGTCGAGGACGAAGAAAGGGACGTGGGAGACGTAGGAGAGCGCTTCGTAGTCATGGCCTCCGCTTCGGGTTCTGAGGTTGATGTTTAGCGATTTGGAGCAGACGACGGCGGCTTGGACGTGAGCGTCGGAACGCGCCACGATTACGATCGCTGGTTTGGGAGTCGCGGTTGTGTTGTAACGCGCGTTTCGGATGTAAGCGCGCAGGGCGGGGGTGAAAGCGGCAGCGGTTTTTGGTAAAACGACGTCGGCTAGGGAGTTAGCAGGAGCTTTTGTATGGTTTGAGAAACATTGGAGGAAGTTTTGGTAGATGGAGTCGGGAGAGTCAACGGTAGCATAAGTACCGGAGACGAAGAACAAGACGACGAAAGCTAAACCAAGGACTTTCATTGTGAACCGAAAGATCTGTTTGTGTTTGTGAATTGAAAAGTTTTTGGTTGATGTATATATAGCTTTGAAATGGAGTCTAATTTTATTCTATGATTCTCATCTTTGGCCATTATTAGGATTTGTTTGTAAATATTCAAGGTTTTTCTTAGTTTTTCTTTTTGGAGAAAGGTTTTTAAATAGTCAAGGTTTTTCTTAGTCCTTTTTGTCCGGGGTGTTGTTCAAATATGGTCAAATTGTAATCTTCTATTATCCGATGGTTGTAATTTTTGTTGTTTTTATAGTGTTTGTTAGATTTTGGTTGACAAAAATGAAAACAAAATAAGTGAGGCGCTACGGATGAATTGAAAAACATGTACACCACGAGTTATAACTTTGAACATGCACAACTCAAACGAAACAGTGGATTTTTCAAATTAAAGAAGTGTATAGGTTCATAGATTTTGTTCACTACTCGAATTATGTTAACGTGAATCAAGATGCATTGTCTCAAGCTGCATGCAGCCATGCACCAATGTATATGCACAAATACATGGAGCAAATGACGTGGAATGATCTACAAAGAGAATAATGAGTAGGCTTTAGCCTTTATCGCACAACGTACAAAGTACAAACGATATTTTAGCTCCACTTTCATGTAACTCTTTTTTTGTTTATTAGATAAAGTGGATTTTACCATTACTTAAAGAAGTGAAAAACCGTGAAACATCTGACGCAGTCTCTCGTATTGCTTTTCGTCTGCCACTCGATCTCCTCTTCTTCCTCTTTCTCTCGCGATTTCAAGTTAATTTGGCCCGGAAATACCAATCTCTATATCACCTTTGATATCATTTCTGTTGTCGGAGAATGTTCCAAAGTCGTCGATCGGCAAAGCCCATCCGACGTTTGTAAGGTTTGGGTCTCACTGTTTATTTTATCTAGATTGCGATGTTTATGTGACTACCTATATTTTTTGTGCTAAAATATGGGTAATCCCCATGCATGTAAAAGTTTAGAATTAGTTTATACGTTTGATTTCACGTTGCATGTTAAGGTTTGAATTTCGAGGTAAGTTATTTTGTTGCGTCACGACCTACTTCGAATGACATGTTTAATTAGCTAGGGTTTAGAAATATGTTTAGTCCACAAGATCTACAAGTTCTGCTAATGTTAGCAATGTCTGCCTCTTGTTCTGCTAATCTATATAAACATATCAATAATCCCCACGAGAAAAAAAACATAGAAACTTGGGATTTAAATGGGTCTGAAACTGCGTTCATCATCTTCTAACGAAGAAACAATAAAAGCATGAAAGAAAGTTATATTTGAATATCATCAAATAGATAGTAAGAATAACTCTTACAAGTAATTATCAAATCAACTAAAAGTATATAATTTACAATTCCGAGGATCACAGATTTTAGTATTTTACATGCCTATGGAACACACAATATTCTAGTAAGAACCTATTGCCAATCGTAAAGCTTCTGAAGTTTAAATTTCACTAAAGTATTGTGATAGATCCCATCATCTTTAGCTATATAATTGTAGGAGCCTCCATGAGGTTTCGTACCGTCCTGTACGTAGGCGTCAAACGTCTTACTTATCTTATAATCAGGTCCTTTGCTTAGGGTGCACCCGAATCGTGTGGTTCCCCAAAAGTTATCGCTGAAATTGAAATGGTAGTCTTTTCCCGGTCCTAGGTATTTGTCACCCAAATTGTCGTCCTTAGACTTACAATGTACCTTGAGCCATTTCTTGTGATCAAGCCCGTTCCTGATTAAGACTGTTGTCTTTAAACCATATGCATTGTCAATCATGCAAAAGACAAAAACAAATAGAATGATTGAGATATTTTTCATTTTTTTTCTTCTTCTTCAATTCTTTCTAAATGTTTAGACTATAAAATTGTATCTTGTTTTCTAGTTTACGGTCTTTAACACATATGCATTGCTATTATTAAATTTGCATTTTCTTCTTGCTCTATTGTAAAAACTTTTCTAATAATAGTTGAGGTATACAAACTTTTTGATCGAAACAATAGGTTTATGGTGGATTAGGAAAAGAAAAAACTGTGGTCTTACCTTTTGGAAGTTATATGCAGGTTCGTTTTAGCAAAACGTTCTAAAACACTTATAATATGGGTACGTACCAAAAGAATATTATATATATGCCCTCCAATAACATGATCGATGTGTACACAGAGAAGCGTTATTCACTTTTTGTTTTTTTACTTTATATCATCTCATGTAGGGCACAACTAAACTAACTGCATGGTTTCAGTATCGTAACCACGAATTTGTTTGAGACTGAACACAGTTGAATTGTAAAACACCACATTACTAATTTGTAGTCTTGAAATCTAGTAATGTACGTTCACTAAAAGTAATCCGTACGTTAATGTTTCTTGACAGATTGTTTCTCAAAAAAAATAAAGAAATTGTTCTTGAGAGATTAACATAAATTACAGGATTCTAATGGATGACTAGCTTCAATGATAATCATTCATAATCTTCTATCGAAATGAATTGAAACAAGAAAAGCATTGGAAAAAGAGAGAGTAAAATCATCAAATAAATAATAATAATAATTTCCATCAATATATCAAATCAATTATATATTTTACATTTCTGAGGATCACGCTTTTGAGTTATATAATCTCCGCGGATCAATCACAAATTTTTAGTAAGAAACAATTAGTTCCAATCGTACACCTTGCGAAGCTTGAAGTTCTTCAAGGTGTTGTGATAGATCCCATCATCTTTAGCTACGTAATGGTACGAAGTCTCATGCTCTTTCCAGCTTTCCTGCTTATAGGCGTCAAAAGTCTTCCTAATCTTATAATCAGGTCCTTTGCTTAGGGTGCACCAGAACAGTGTGCTTCCCGCAACATTAGTATTGAAACTGAAATCGTAGTCATTTGGACTATTTGGTGGTAGAAATTTTTCACCCATATCGTCGTCTCCAGACTTACAGTGTACCTTGAGCCATCTCCCGTGATTAAAGCCGTTCCTGAATAAGAGTGTGGTCTTGTGCCCTCCATATGCTTTGTCAATGAAGCAAAGGGCAAAAACAAATAGAAAGATTGAGATGTTTTTCATATATTCTTTTTTTTTTTTTTTTTTTTTGTTCTTCTTTCTAGATGTTTATTTATTTTTCTCTTGTTTTTCTCGTTCAAGGTCATCCCCACTATATATACACATGTGTATTTGCTATTTTTGAATTTCCGTTTTCTGTCTTGGACTATTTTTATAACTGATTTTCTAAATGCAAGTCGTTTTTCACCATAAATCTATTGCTTTATTAGAGAAGTTACAAAAATAGACTATTTGCTTTGGTGAAAATGATTTGAAAGTCTTTAATAGAAAAAAGTTATAAAAACGATCTGAAACACTTCTTATGTATGTTACCAAAAGAATATTATGTGGCTGTACACACAGAGAAGCGAATGCATGGTTAATTCCTTTATGTAGCCATGTAGGGCACAACTACACTAATTGCATGATTTCATTATGGGTTCATTATCGTATCCAATAATTTGTCGGAGATTGAACTGTAAACTACTGTTATCACATTAACTAATTTTTGGTCGTGTAAACTCGTATATTTCGTGATGATATACATGGAAAATCTAACAAAAATCTAGCCCCTTTTGGTCAAAAAAACAAAAAAAAACTAAACCCGATCCGGTCCGGTTTGTATCAAACCCGATCTTAATTTACAATTCTGATTTGAGACAACCCTGATTTTTAATAAAATGGGCACCGAATTATTAATCAGCGAAATAGAAAGGAAGAAGAAAACAGTGAGGCACAAATCGGCTCTCCGTTCATCTCCGGTAAGTTTCTCCTCCTGTCCTTGCTTTCTCCGACGGTTTCAGACTGATTTTTTTGCTCTGGGGCTTGCATTTTAATCGTTCTAAAATTTCAATTCCCTTTAAGCTACGATTCTAGCCGGTGGATTCTGTTCACGTTCAATTATTTATTCTTACTCCGACTTGGGTTTCCGAAATCAATCGCACATCTGCAATTCTGTTAATTTCCACTCACAAAATGTAACTTCTTAAACAAAATTCTAGCTTCCATTGCAACCGCCTTGAAATTTTAATCCTTTTCATTTTTTTTTCCTGAGATTTTGAAATTTGGGGTTGTAGGGTTTCTCTTGCTTGTTAATTCCTTTTGAAACTTTTTCATAGACAAACGATTGTTTAAATTCAATTCTAATATACTTGGTGTGAGCAGTGTTTTGAAGGAGGAGGATCAAATGGATAACATTGTGGACTCGTTGAACAAAGCATACGAGAAGTTTGTTCTTGCCTCAGCTGATGTTCTCGAGGCCAAAGAGAGTGCGGGCGGGCAAAAATCTTCTCTGACTGATGCTGCGTTGGAGAATTTCAAGGAGAAATGGGAACTGTTCCGTGTGGCTTGTGATCAAGCTGAGGAGTTTGTGGAGTCAGTGAAGCAGAGGATTGGATCCGAGTGTTTAGTCGATGAGGCTACTGGTCTTACTACTGCAACAGGAACCCAAGCAGGAGCAGCTGTCGGTGCTGCCACTAGTTTACCGCCGATTAGCGCAGTGAGGCTCGAACAGATGAGTAGAGCGGTTCGGTGGCTTGTTCTTGAGCTGCAACGTGGCTCTGGTGTAGCTAATGGCTCTCATTCTTCCTCTACCGGGTTTGATGCTAGGTTCGCTGAAGACTCGACTCAATAGCGTTTGGAGCCTACACAAGCTAATACTGCTTCTGCATAACTCTTGAGTCTGTTATGATAGGGAACAGTGACGTAATCAGTGGTGTGTTCTGTTAATCCATGTGATTAAACCAAACCAGAAGCAAAAACTTGACTGCTGATGGGTTTGGTTTTGTAGGATTTTGAGTGTTACCAAATGTTGTAGTTGTGAGTTTAAGTAAAAGTGAGGCTGTTACTTTGTTGTAATTTTTCATGTATTATTAAGCTTTGTTGTTCAGTAATAAGAAAAATAATTGTGATCTTGTACATGGATGTTTTTTCTTCTGTTAATATGTTTTATTTTTTGTATTAACAACTATGAATGATTATCATTCACGAGTTTAAAAGAAACTCAACAAACTCATGATAAAGTGGCAACAAAAGAGAGGTGATTCAAATTGTAACACAGAGATGCAATTCACAACAAAACAATGACAATAAAAAGTTAGAAGACTCTTAACTTGATAGAGTTTTTGAGCCCCAGACGTCTCAGACACTCTCAGGTACAGAGTTAGTTTTAGTTTCGCAAACGGCATACACTGATTATTTTGCTAAGCTCAAAGCAAATTTGGATTGTGGGTCTGATCCAGAGGTTAGTAAACTCTCCAAAGTGTTTCCCTTTTTTCCTTTCTAATCTCGCTTTTATTTGTAAGATTCGATTTCCGATCAAAAAGGAGCTCTGGGTTTTAAGAATTAATTCGATTGGTTAATTGGCAGTTTTGGTTCCGGAACATCCTCAACACACGCCGCAAACACCTTCCTTGTTTACGGAGACGATCACTTCTTGTGTGCTCTTTCGATCTATCTCTTTTTAATTGTTGAATTATGCTTCTTCTGTTTATACCCCAAATTAAACCCCTTTTGCTCCTGTAAATTTGTCTCCTTTTTCTCAATTTTCAGACATAATGGATTTGAATGATTCGATGCGGATCCTGAGTCCTTGGATTGGTCAAGTGAGATTTTGATTCTTCTTGTCATTTATGTTGATCACGAATTTTGGAGTCATATGTTCATATGGATGTATTTTTTTTGTCCCCAACAGATTGTTGATATTGGTCTTGACTTGCTGTGGCGTTTCACACACATTGTTGTGAGCTTATGGCACATTCTCACTGGAGTCTTTGAAGCAGTCGAAAGCCACGCCATATCGTTAGGAATGATTAAAAAGTACAACTCCATCGATATTGAGAAACTCCGGTGTCTAGCTGTTGTGGTGGACATCGAAGCAGCTCGAGATGTTTCCAAGGTTATAGAGCTTCTCCAGTGGCTAACAACCATTGGCGTGAAACAAGTTGGTCTCTTTGACTCTCAAGGTAACATCATGCTTTTCATCAAATACATATATATATATATATATATATATATATATATCTGTGTATCATGATCGCTGAAAAAAAGTCGGCCTTCTTTAGGTTTATTGAAGAAATCAAAGGATATGATCCTTGAAATTGTGCCGAGATCATCAGTGTTGTTAGAGGTATGTTAATCTCATGCCATTTGTTTCAATCGAAATCTTTAGCTTCTCTAGCTCATTGTATATTTTCATTGTTTCATTAGGAGAGTGGTGAGAAGGAAAATTCGCCAGAACCAAAGCGGATTGCTATAGAATTCATTTCGTCTTCAGACAATAAAGAAGCTATTGTGAAAGCAGCCAACATACTACTTGAGAAATACTTGAAATCAAGCCCTCCTGAGGACAATAAAGGGGAAGACTTCTTTACAGAGTCTCATTTGAACGAAGCGTTAAGCGTTGTTGGTCTGTGTTGTTGATTCTCTCATATGGAAACTAAGAATCATTATGTAAAAGTTTTCTTATTTCCAAGAAACTGATGATTCTGAAACTCTGGCAGGTGAGAATGTACATGTGCCTGATCTGTTGCTGGTTTATGGACCTGTAAGGAGCCACCTTGGCTTCCCTGCTTGGAGACTCCGATACGCTGAGATAGTGTATGTGCTTTTTAACCCTTCTTCTCTTTTGTTTTTTTTATGAACTGTTGTCTCGTATAATCTTAAGAGCTAAATCTTAAAGAGTTTGTCTTTTTGTTGATAGACATATGGGATCTTTGAAGTATATGAGATATGGCTCTCTTGTGAAGGCAATCCACAAGTTTACAGGAGTAATCCAAAACTATGGTAAGTCTTCTTTCATCTCTAACATACATATCTATATAGAGAGATTGGCAACAGAAGATCATCAATTCACGATCTTTATACAAAAATCTTTCCATCTTTGACATGCACTGGACAGTCATAGAAAGTTTCCACCTTTGACTTGGATTGAGTCACTCAATAGATGTTTTCTGTTTGTTTGACTGGCTGTTTTTGGGTTGTTCTTGACAGGTGCTTGATGGTGGTGATAGAGAGCAGAGTTTCAGAGAACAGTTTTTGGTTTGTTTTCATATATTTACTGTTGATGAGTCCTGAAGGAAACTTTTATTGGAGAGCTATTAATCCACACAGTTGTCAATTTGTTCACATTTTGTTTCTGAGAGTATTATGTCACAAACTCACTACCCAACCTTACATATGTGTTGGTATTGTATAGAATTAAAAACCCATCTGAATAGTAAACTAGACCAAACCAATTTAGTCTGTGCTCTAAGTTACGGTATTGCTTGGTGATCGTGGGTAAACCGGAATAGAACACAAGAATTCAGACTGTTTCGGCGCCAAAAGAAAGGAAGCAGTTTATAAAAATCAAGAAAACCAAACTGGTTTATGCACAAATGTGAGGTACAACTGTTCAATATTCAAATGAAATTGGAAGCTTTTGAACATTGCAATGAGCTGTCTCTGTGCATTGTCCTCTATGCTGCTGTTTCAGTATTCAGTTTCCAATAGACCGTCGATAAGCCCGAACTCAAGCGCCTGCATAAGAACATAACCAGGATAAATCATATGCAAAATGCAATATTGTTCATGAAGGATCATGAGGAAACATAACAAAAAACAATGTCAAAATTTACCTCAGATGCAGATAGGAAACGATCTCTTTCAGTGTACTGTTGCACTTTCTCGAGAGGCTGTCCAGTAAAAGCTGCATACATCAGGTCAATTTTCTGCAACAAAGAGAACCAAAAGAGATCAACTTTGTAGCTCAAAGACTCAGTCTTTCATATTCTTAAAGCAGCAAGAAGCATGAGATTCAAAAGAGAGAGAAAGAGACTAACTTGTCGGGATTCAATAGCTTCATTCACCTGTCTCCTCACGTCCTCCACATGGCCCTGCAACATTAACGTTCATAAGCTTATATGATTCCAAGTAGTCAATACGCATCTAAAGATTTCTCTTTTAAACAAAAAGAAGAATCCAAGAGCCATACTCCGCAACCAGTTTGAGGTTGATGTATCATGACACGAGTGTTAGGCATCGCATAACGCATTCCTTTTTCACCTCCAGCGAGAAGAAGAGCTCCTTGGCTTGCAGCTACTCCAAACGCCACGGTTCCAACTTTCGGCTTAATCTAAAAGAGCATTCTAGGTTCAGCATTTTGCTCATACATCAAGAGACATATAAGGAGATTTTATCAAACTTACCCACGACATACAATCATAGATTGCTAAGACGGAGTAGGTACTGCCACCGGGGCAATTCAAGTACATCTGAAACAGAGAAGACTTCCTAAGTTAAATATGAGACTCTTCTTCATTGAAAATGTTATTTGGGGGAAAAAGAAAAAGAAGAGCTTTTTGGCTTAACCAGGATGTCGGATTTGTCATCAATAGATGCGAGGGTTACAAGTTGAGATATGACTCGCTGAGCAACCTGAGCGTTGATTGGTTGTCCGATGAAGATGATGCGGTTGCGGAATAACACAGAGGAAAGGTCTAAAGGTCCTCCAGGGGTCATCACTGATGGCATTACAGGGGGGTTTCCCTTTTTCGCCTCTATCACTCCAAATCTAAACAAAAACGGTTAGCACATTGAAAATAGAAAGATTAAGCTATCTATCAACCAATTGTGTGTGAGAGCATAAAGAGCGAAAAATGGTCAATAAGCAAGAGGGAGAAGAGAATAAAGAGCTGACCTTGGATCGATACTACGAGGATCCTTGTTGTCAATCTTCAATTGGGAGCCAGAAACATTACTCGAAAGTCCTGAAAGGATCAAACACAGCTCAAATCTCAGACAAAAATTCAGCATCAGACAACGACACATAGCAAGCAAAAGGCTTTAAAGTTACCAGCTTTAAGAGAATCGCCATACGGACTCGGCAGAGCAGACACTATACGCTTTGTAGAGTTTCTACACAAAATCAAATCAAACAAGTTAAAAAAGGATTGATTTTGGGTTCGTACAAATAAATTATACATGGAACGAATTCATAATTGAAGAGGAACCATAAGCATATGTAAATCGTGTGAGAGTGTGATTGCGTTTCAAAAACAGGAGCTGTACCTTTGATTGTGAGATAGATACGAAGTGGGTTTAGGGCTTCTAGCTCGAGAAGAGAAGGAGAGACCCAGAGGAGGTGAAATTGCCAAACCCGCCATTACCGGAGCTCAAAGCTTTCTGAGTGGTTTTCTCTGTTTAGAGAACCAAAGAGACGATTTTTTTCGGGTTCGAGCGTGGATAGATGGCACTATGGCAGAGGACGGCAAGACTCAAAGGTTGGTTAATGTTTGGACACGAACTGAAAACTGAACCCAACCAAGGCAACGGAGACAGATCTGAGAGACTCTAACTCAGCCAGCAGGTTCGGACCCGATTAATAAATAATCTAATTTTCATTTAACATTAGAGAGGGAATTTCAGAAAAAAAAATACACCAATTTTCTTACAAATCTTTTTTTTTTGTGAAAACTGATTAAACTAATAAAAAAAAGGTAGATGGCCTAAAAAGGTGAAATCGTTTCTAGTCTTCTAACTGTTATGTAAAATTTTCTAACTTAAATTCCATAATGATCCATTACTTAATATTTGACCGCAACACTTTTGGTGAAGAACAAACCAAAAAAACAATTATTTCGTATGGTAATATTTAATGTCCTTGATTTTCATTGACTGATTATTTTGATAACTTTTTGTTCCTCATATAAATCATCTCTTTTTCTTTGTCATCAAATATAAATTCTATCTTATTTAAATGTACTTTTTTTTGTCATCAATAATAAATCCTATCTAGTATCTAGATATTCATATCTGGGTGCAGTGACTAGAATGAAAAAAAAAATCAGATTTTATAGAGCTCTTTGCCAAAAATAAAAAATAAAAGATAAAACTATAGAATTAAGTTTTAAATTTTAAACTATTAAGCCAAAAAATCTATTAATACTTGCCCAAAAAATGATGGAAGCAGAATTGTTAATTGTATATGCGTTGACTGATGTCCAGATAAAAACAAACATACTTTTTGGTTAAAACTTAAAACATTTGAACTCTGTGTTCTTAAAACAATCGCCGGTAAAAATATGGCCAAGTCGTCACCGGCAAAGAATCTGGCCACTACTCTAGAGGATTATGCTCACAGTCCCTTCCATTACGCCGTCGTTTTAGGTGATCACACCGGTTTGACTCGTCTGGTTTCGTCCCTGCCTAAGCTAACCGATCCAGAACAAATCCAAACCGAGTTCGACTCAGTGAACCAAGAGCGAGTCGCCAAGAAAATCTCCGCCGTCCTCGACCGCCGCGACGTCCCCTTTCGCGAGACGCCTCTCCATTTGGCGGTTCGTCTCGGTGACGTTTTCGCGGTGAAGACGATTTCTTCCGCCGGCGCTGATCTCACGCTGCAGAACGCCGCCGGTTGGAATCCCCTGCACGAGGCGTGGTGTCGTCAGAAATCCGAGATCACGGAGACGATTCTCCGGCATCAGCGTCTATCGGCGTGGCGGAAATGGAGACGTAGGCTGCCTCACCTGATCGCCGTGCTCCGCCGCATGAAAGACTTCTACATGGAGATTTCGTTCCACTTCGAGAGCTCCGTGATTCCTTTCGTCGGAAAAATGGCTCCTTCCGACACGTACAAGATCTGGAAACGCGGCGGAGATTTGCGCGTCGATACTTCTTTGGCCGGGTTCGACGGGTTCAAAATCCGCCGCGCGAATCAGAGCTTTCTTTTCCTCGGAGACGGCGACGAGTTTCTCGACGTCTCTCCCGGTACGTTGCTTGTGTTGAACAGAGACGATAAAACGGTCTTAAACGCTTTCGAAAACGCCGGTGATCCGATTAGCGACAGCGAAATCGCCGATTACTGCTCGCAGTCGAGCTTGTACCGACCAGGAATGGATGTAACTGAAGCAGAGGTCGTCGAGATGACGAATTGGCGACGGCAAGAGAAGATTGAAACCGTCGGAGAGTGGAAAGCCAAAGCTTACGATATCGAAAACGTGAGTTTCAGTTTCAAATCGCGGAAAGTCGTTGCCGGTGAAACAGAGCAGAGTTTGCCTTCGGACGATCAGAATCATCGGAGTGTCTCGGAGCCGTTACGGCGGCGAAGGAGGCAGCAGAGTAGTTTCAACGTTGAGGAGAAGGTTGGTTTCTCTTCCGGAAGGAGAAGGTCGGTTTCTATGCCGGAAGCGGCGGTTCCGGTGGCTTCTTCTGTGCCGCGGATCAAAGAAAAGGAGTATGTGAAGAGTTTGAGTCCTTCGGTTTGGTTAACGGATGAGTTTCCTTTGAAGACGGAGGAGTTGCTTCCGTTGCTTGATATTTTAGCCAACCATGTTAAAGCCGTTAGGAGAATGCGGGAACTTCTCACCGCCAAGTTCCCGCCGGGAACTTTTCCGGTCAAGGTACGTAAGGGCATTCTTGGAAACTACTAGTTAATTTCATTTCGGTTTTTTCTTTGTTTCCGTTGTTACTCGTTTTTTTCTTAAAGCGTTTGCATGAGAATTAATTATATCAGACGTGTCGCGATACCATTGGTTATATTCTTAGAGTTAGTGCTGAGTTGGCAACATCGCAATGTCGGAGGAACAACAAACAAACAAAAAAAGTAGAATCGGTTATTTGTGTTTGGTTAAGGCTAGGATTTCTTATTTATTAACCCCATTTTATTTTATTTAGTTTCACTTTAGTTTTTAAGTGTCATGTTATTGGGAAACTATAAAAGATTCAAAAGGTTTAGATATTGTTGAATTGATCATCCCAAACTTTATTTTTGTGTGTTTGGTGGGTTTTGTTGGATCCAGTTGTCGATACCGGTGATCCCGACGGTGAAAGTAGTCATCACATTCACCAAGTTCGTGCCTCTCCGGCCCATGAATCAGTTCTACACACCACTATCAAGCCCGAGTCATCTCTCAGCTGCAGTCGAAGACCAATCCGACGTGGACGATAACGGAAAATCCGACATAAGAACGTTGTCACCTTCACGGTCATCATTCTCAACGCCGTCTTGGCTGAGATTGAACAGGACCACCGGGAGAAACTCACAGAGGCGGCTGGAGGAGGAGGCGGCACAGACTGTGGATCCATTTGCAATACCAACAGGATATAAGTGGACGACCAACTCAGATATATCAGGTAATCAAAACATTCTAGATGTTGATACATAATTCTGTCAATAACTCAACATATAGTATATAGGGTAATATTGGTGAATCTAAGTCGGTAATTTACAACGCTTTTTACTTTTTAGTTTTTACTCTTTACAGTTTGGCTTATTTTGACTGAAATTTGGAAGAAAACTTCTTCTGATTTTCACCAGATTCTTAAGCATGGAAATGATAAACTTCTCCGTTTTTTCATACTTTTTCACTTGTTGATTTGAATTTTCCTTACTCAAAAGAGCAACATTAGTAAAAGTTACTTTAATCTCAATTCACAACAATGGGATAAGTTGTCTAATGCTATTTTTTTCATAGGTAAAAGGATCAGTCTGTCGTGTGGATGCGCTAAAGTAATTATCCGGAAGAAATAAACATCTTCGGGCTGAATGTTACAATGGGCCGATGTGTTAGGCGCTAGATCATTAGTCGTTGTAAACGTCCAAGAATGATGTTTGATGTTTCCGATGTTTATACAATTTTAGGCACTAGACATCAAGGAGGTTATTAGGAGGTACTATGAACTTTTTTTAATGTTCCAAACGATTGATTCCTCCTGCGCTCATTTTTTAGGAACACAATTTATGTTATGATGAAGTTTTTTTAGAACAAGTCTACTAGATACAGAATAATCAAAAAACATTTCACTACACAACTCCTTTTTGGTTGGTGTTACATAAAAACAAATTTTAGTATCAAAATAACATATCGATGGTGAGAAGTCTTTAATTTTTGTCCACGATAATGTTAAGTGGAGTTAGAATTAAAAATGTAGAACAAAGTTATGGAGTAAAACTGAACAAATTAGAAGCTGTTTAGGTGTTTTTATATCTTTTGCCACTTTCTTATGCTTTTGAAAAAAAGTTGAAAGATTCCAAAAAAACGTTTGCTTTGCAAGTTGGAAACGAACTAACTTGAGTTGGCAAGTCCATTCCAGGACAACCAAAATAATCATATTAAAACATTATTATTAAAAACCATTATGACTTTAGCTTAAAAGACGACAATTTTAAACATATATACTAATATTTACACTAACAAAACACTAAATTGACAACCCATCCACCATTTCCGTTTCTTTTGCTCATTCAAAATCTTCCATCTTTACCAAGAAGAGCTCCAAGACTTAGAGGTACTCTTTATTTATGAATGAATTCATAGACGATTTGATTTTGAATTAGATTCTTTAATAGGCAAAAAGATAGAGTGATCATAACTAAATGGCGAGTGAAGCACCGAGTTGGGCGGATCAGTGGGGGAACGGAGGAATTGGGGTGATGGCCGTGGAGGATGAGGCCACTAACGGCAAGAAAAACGCCGCCGGGAAGAAGTCCGGCAAGGCCAAAGCAGGCTTTAACAGAGCTAAGATGGTTGCGTTTATTGGTGTCAATTGGATGAAAAATCTTGTGCAGAGGAAGAAGAAGGATTCTACTTGACCAATAAAAATGTTTCTTTCTGCTTCTTCTTCTTCTTCTCTCTTTTCTTTTTTTCCCTATGGAATGTCTCAAGTTACTATTATTTAATTCATTTAAAATGACTATTTAGCGTTTCAAATGGTGCATACCACGAATGAGTCGAGGTTTGTTCTATCTTTTTAGTGCTCCATCATCTTTACATTCGTAAGAAACTGCGTTTTATATGTTAATATATCTATGAAAGCAAAAATGAAACTGATGTGTTGAAAATCTAGATTATTGATGATTTGCAAAATAAGTTTCTGTTGGACTATTGTCTATTGATATCCGGAGCATAGAAGATTTGCAAGTAACATTTACATAAAATCAGTCCAAAAGCACAATACATTACTTAGCATATCTATCGTCATAAAAGCAAAAACAAAACACACACATAACCTTCAATTCTAAGAGGTAGATGAACCTGATCTATCTAGAATCTATAATAATCTTAGAATCTGAAACAATGTCAGAAGAATCTAATACACTACAAACTAGCAGGCTTTTAAATATGGTTAATCAAACATTCATACATTTCCTTAGTGATCCAAGACAAGAACTCGGAAAATATTCTTCACGCATGATCAACGACAATTATAAAAACGTACCTAGTGAGTGTTCCAATTTGAAAGAGCTTATTCAGGACTTTTCCGTACGCTTATTTCAGGTTTGACTCTACTTAACCAGATTATCGTACCGGATTATGAACCATAAATAATTTCGGTTTGGTTCTTTTTGTAGGCATTTCGGTTTGCTCACATTGAATTCTTTGTATACAACAGTTTTCTTCGTAAACCTTTTTTTGGAACAATGCACACATTTTCAAACTTTTAAGATACATCAGTTCAGTTAGAAAAAAAATGGATGGAAATAAATATAGAGACATGAGAAACAGACTCCAATATGATCACTATCGTGAATTGTTATAGACGATGAGTCGATGAATATGCATACTGTTTTTCCATAGGTACGTACATACAAAATGATAAAACATATTTTTACTTTTTTTAAGGAAATATTAAATAAACGATAGGAACTTAACAAGAGAAGGAAATAAATAGGGAGGGAGAATATTTGGAAAGTTGAGCCAAATTAATTTCGAAATTCAAATGTATATTGGGAGTGGCACAACCCCACCAACATGCCTTTGCTTTCTCTTACAAACCTCATAAATACTCAATTGAAAGCTCGTGGGAACCTTGTTCCTTTATTTAATCCTTATCTATCATACATTCTTACATGTATCATGTATGTATACTTGTATACACACAACATATTACCAATACACAACATTTGTTTGTCGTCCACCACAAATGGATCAGTCCAGTTCATGTAAAAATAGTGAAACCAATTACTTCTTGAATTTTGTTTTGTCTTTTACAAAAAGAGGGAACGAGAACGCGTCTTCTATGTCAAAATCATATTATATTGATTTGGTTAAAAGTTATATTGATTTGGTTAAAAGAGTTTCAAGTGGGTTAGACCACCATATTATGTTTCTAGAGAACAATATCCATTCAATTTGTTAGGCCATTGCGACAGCAAAAACATACAATAGTTCTTGGAACTCATCTATGATTTTATATCTGATACTCGATATCATCGATTGTAAGAAAGAAGAATATACTATATACACACTCTTTAAATGTATACACATAATCAAATATTATTATTATTTTTGAAAAAAAGTTTCTCATAGAAACAACAATTCAAATTTAATAAACCAACCTCCTTTTTGGTATGGGGTTGTTGGTCTAATTTAATGCTAGTCTCTTCTTGCCTTGCCTCTCTTCTTCAACCATCTTCGTATTTATATCTTCTTCCTCACTTTGCAGTCCCATAAACTTTGCAAAACTAGCCGCATTTTATTTTCTCCTTTGATTCTTCTCGTTAACTTTTTTTTGACTACGCTGAAATTAAGAGTTTTGCAAGGATCCGATGATATTCACGGGTAATTTAACATTTCTATTGCCGACATTACTTGTATATATTTGTTTTGATTTTAACAGTTGAGTTATATTTTTTCTGTTTCTTGGGAGTTTGGAGCTAACTATAGAGAAACATGGATGAGAATGGCTATGATGTAAGGTATTGCGAGATATTAGTGCGGTTCAATCAAATAGTCGTGCTCTTAGTTTCTAGAGATCGGTTCTGTTCGATTGAGCCGTGCCAATATCACGCGTTAAACCAAAATGCCAAAGATCGATGGTTATTAAGCTAAAAGGTATATATCAATATTCTCTTTAATTATTGTATTGTTTTCAATTTTGAGTAATATGCAGTTTGGTCATATCTTTAAACCTTTTTCTGTTTTTACTCTGTAGGCTTCAAATGTACAGGAACAAGCAACACAAAGCTCAAAATCCTAGTACAACTGCGATAACACTTCCATTTTTAGGAAGTAGTTAAGGGTTTACAGTTTACTATCGTGACTTCGTGAGGATATTGCAACAAGACAAGAACTTTGAAGTTTTAATTTGTAATTATTTGCACGTTTGTCTATAATTTAATTGTGGAGTAATTTATCTTATTTGGTTTTTGTGAATAAAGGAGTATGTTTATACGCTTTTTTTGTAAATCTTACGAAAACTAGGAAGTCTGTCTTCGGACTGTTTCTCAATAGGGTTTAACACCTAATCAATTTTCATCAACTTGTTCCACATTTCCGGAAGTATGTTTGTGATTGTGACAAAATAAATTTAACCATACAAAACAAAATCTATATTTTCTTTACATGTTCCCAGATGAGTTGTTTAACGAACGTTAGAGAGTAGGAGAATGTCCACTTGTATTTACGTAATCAGAATCTTCGAACTGAAGAAACCTACGAAAATTATAAAGTATAAAAAAATTGAAAGGCCGGAAAATAAAAATACGATTCGAGAGTCGAATATACGTAGTTAATATGAACTCAATATGGTCCCAATGTATATGTAAGAACAAAAAAAAAACACAAAGAAGTCCAAAATGAGATTTATAATGAGAAGCCAAAAAAAAAAGAGGGACATGTGGAATTTAATAAAAAGGCACAACAATAAGGACTCTCTGTCTGTCATAGGACAAACCAAATGTGACCAAAACATTATGTCTTTGCCTCTCATTAAACCACTTCACTAACTATTTTTTGCATACATTTATTAGTTTTCTGACCAAAAACCCTACCCGTACTTACTATAGCACCCCAAAAACAAAAACAGAATTGTTTTCTCTCTCCTTTCTTTTCGATTAATTTGGCTTTACCCGAATTATATAGTCTCCAACTACAATTACAACACCATGTTGGATTACTATTATAGTAATAAACTTTGTTTCGTTTATCTTTTTTAAGAGTTTGATGTCCATAACGCATTTTCAGGTTCGCCACAACGTTCGTGAACATCGGCCATTCTCTCAGCTGACCGACAGATTCCGCTGCACTTCCAATCGAACGAAGCCGCACAAACACTCCCCATCAATGCTTTTAGCTCACAATCTGCATTTGATATTGAAACGGGCCCTAAAGTAAAACCGGTAGCTTCCACCGACTAAAGTCACTAAACCAAACCAAACTAAAACAGACTTTGTGGAGCTCTTTACCATGAGGAGAAGTACTGCAGCAGAGTCGTCTGTCATCAACATGTTCCACGTTCAATCCAATGAACCAAGATCCCAACGAAACATCCTCATTCGCATATTTATGCAGTAAGTTCCTTAATCCGACAAAAGAAAATAAGATCATAGAGGTTTTTTCCCAAGCATTTTGGTCCATGTTAGAAAAAAGCTTACTGGTTTATCAATATGTAAGTAGCTAGATCCTTAGAAATGGCGTAAAAATGTCCTGTTGCATGGCGGAAATACTTGTTCCCGATCTCTCCAAACTTCCAATACTCCGGTTCATGATACTTCACACCCCTATTTTTTTAACCGGTTATCTAAAAACTCTGTTTTCAATTGCCCCTTTTACACGGTACCTTAGAAGTTTTTTTTATACTTACTGTCTGGCTAGGACGGGACCGGACTTCATGCAACCTACATAAACCCTAGGCTTGCTCCGGTGCACCGATAAAGTCTTCTTCAGAGTAGCTGCAAAAGAAGAAGAAAACGAATGAAGACATTAGACATCGTATCAAAATAGATGAAAGATTTTGATTGTTTGTTTACCAAGATTCACATGAACGTCATCGTCGACTTTGATGTAGAATTCTGCGTCCCACAAGGAAACAGCTGTAGCGAAGAAAGTCTTTGTCTTGGCTGATAACTCCATGTATCCTTCGGTATGTTCCTGTTTTGTTTTCTAAAGCCTTAAAGAAAAGGTTGCAAAAATACCAAACTCATAAGAGAATAAAGTTTGAGAGAACCACCAGTCTCAAGAAATCTCCATGTGTTTGCTTCTCTGCTTCGATAGCTTTCTCTTGAATCCCGTGAGATAACATACTGTAAATCAATTTCAAGAACATGAAAAATGTTAGTATTCACAAAGTAAAACAGAACATGAATGATTCTGCTTTGTACCTATGTCCTATAACAAAGCGAACAATGATGCCTTTCTCGTCCTCCAGTTTCTTAAGCTTCTCTCCTTAATGATTGTTTCAAACCCGAAAAAAATGTTACAACTTCAGGTTTGTTTACAGTAGAAATCAAGCAACTAGGATCAGCATTACCTTGTGGCATCCATGTTGACCGGACCGAGTCACGTCTCTTACGGCTACTAAACGCCGTGTTAATACCGATAACCATGAAGTATTTTCGTTTCTTGGCTTCTCCGGATAAAGACTCACGTTCAGCTCTAGCAGCTACTAATTCCATCTCTAAATTTGAAATGGACTTATCTAATATCCTGCAATGTTTTGAATTATTCATCATCAGCTAAACACACACATATATATATATAGCATTCGTTCATGGTTACATCTGGTAAAGTTTCCAAAATGGTTTTACCCAATAGTGTTGTTACCATAGTCCAAAACCTACAGAGAACTCAATATCAAAACATGTAATATCGATTTTCCAAGTGATTTGTTTAATGACAAAAAAAAACGCAGAAGTCTTACACTCTGTTTATGGCAATCACCGGATTTTAAGCTTAGTTTGGAGAGTGTTGATATGCCTCTAGCTTCAGGTACATTATTCCACATCCTGATATAAATGATCATCATCACCTCATTATAAGATTTCGAATTTTTTCTTACTGTCGGTTAATTCCTTACAGAAGCTACAAGAACACATGAGCTAATAGAACTGGCTGATAAAAGCATGTCTTCACCGACAAAATTCTAAGCTTAAACAATCTACTTCAATTGTGAGAAACACAGGGCAGATTTAGTCCCAAGAAGATGAAACTAGTAACAAAACAGAAAACACCAACCTGATTAAAAACATCCTGAAAAATCTAGAATCAGACATGAACAGTGAGATACCAAAGTTTATGAGAATTTGGCGAACATAATCAAGATATGCAACAAAAGAGGTTTTTGTAGTAGATGTACCTGTTGGTGAAGAACATTCCAAGGCAGAAACTTGCGAGGCACAAGAAAAATACAGAGTTTCTAGAAATTACATTTCTTGGCGTAAAATAGTGATCTCATCTGTTCTTAAAAGACATTCTTGATTTGGCTGCTGGAACTCAAATCCGAGAAAAAAGCGAAAGTGGTCAATGCACAATCAAAGACTTAGATTCGAGCTTTTTTGGTTTTTAGTTTTCTTGTGGGTCTATTTACAGTTCTTATTCTGTTTGATGCTCTCTCTCCCACTCTATCTCTCTCTCTCTCTCTCTACCTGAGAGAGAAATGTATGAAGAAAGAATATAACACACAAATTGATTCACGTTTCTTCTTATAACTATAAAAAGGGGTAACGTTTGGGAAATACGATAATGACGTTTCTAATTATAATTTTTGGAGTTATTGAAATACCAAGAACTGATGATATTTTGCTACTAATGTACTGATAACTGCAGCTGCAGATCAATTACCTAAAAGACGAAAGAGTTACATTGATGGTTTTCCGGGTTGTATAGCAGTTAGAACCGGGTCGACAACGGGTCAGATTTGTGTATAAAAGTTTGTACATAAACTTTCCCTTAGCTCTCATTTATTCAGAATTACAAAAGCAGAATCCATATTATCTGTAGTCTGTAGATGCTTTTTGGGAATGTCATAAGAAGAAGAAAGGATCAAACTTTCTAAAGGTATCTCAGAAGCTAATTTCTGTACATGCAAAGAAAATTGATCTTGAAACGTTGTTCCTTTCTCTTCTCACTTTCGCGCAGAGTGATAGAGCTCAATGTACTCAAGTGCAGGACGATTCCATGACCAGTCTTGCTCCATCACCGTCTTGCACAGTGAGTTAAACCACTCTCTACCATCGTACCACGCCGATATCGCCCTGCAGAAAACGAAGAAACAATGCTCAAGATATAAAGAATCAACGAGAATGTTACAGTTTAGATTCTAGTTGGTTTCAGTATGCTTTTTCTTTTGTTTCTCATTACCTATTGAGAGCATAATCCACACCAGGAGCATCAGCCCCGTCGAAGCTGAAGCCATTAGGTTCTAGAACTTGAGCTTCTGCTCTTTCTTTATCATGGTCCACATCAAAAACCGTGTCATAGAGTCCTACATTGGACAAAGATAAACCATAACCTTAAAGTCGACTTGGTTTTGAGTGGAATGAGTAAAGCTTGAAATTTTCAAATCATAGCCAAAAACAGTTACCTCCAGTCTTCCTAACGACAGGAACAGCGCCGTATCTCATGGCTATGAGCTGTGTCAGTCCACATGGTTCAAATATCGACGGGACAAGAATGAAGTCAGCCCCAGCGTAAATCTGAAGAGTAAAATACGAAGAGACTTAGAGCAACACCAACAGAGAAACAGCGAATACAGGTTTTGCTATTGTTTTTACCAAATGGGAAAGAGGTTCATCATAGGTTAGAACAAGCCGAGCTCTGTCACCGTGAGAAGAATGCAACTGATTTGCCAAGTTTACGAAATCGTTTTGGATCCGATGATCCGGAGCTGAACCTAACAACACAACCTGCTTTTCAAGAATAACCAACAAAGAATTGTGAAAAAGTTCATGAAGACAAGAACTTTGTCAGAGTTCGTGATAAGGCTGAATATAAAGAACCTGTCCATTGCGTTCCAAAGTACGCCAGATAGCGTGCTTGATCAAATGTATTCCTTTCTGGTGAGTTAAGCGAGTTATAATTCCTACTACCGGAAGATCGGCACTCTTTAGTCCAAGCCTGTTTTGCAATTCTTCCTTGGCTGCTCTCTTGCCTTCTACGACGTTCTCTGAAGTATAAGGCACCTTAATAAGAACCACACAAAGTGTTCAAACATGGTAAGATATAGCAAGAAATGTAAAGACAGGAAAGAGGAGGATGAGAAGAAGCTTACGGGAATGAAGTTATCGTTGTATGGATCCCATATATCAGGGTCAATCCCGTTTATTATTCCGTGGAACTTGTATAAATGTGGAGAGATTACAGAGTTTCCAGCAACTTCCTTGGCATACGTTCGTGAAACCTAGTAATGTTAATAGCAAAAAGAGTCAGTCATAAGAGTATATTATCGTTTTGTTATAATAGATATCTTAGAGGAGGAACGTTTTCAGGACTTACCGTTGTGGCTTTGTCTGCAAATGTCATGGCTTTAGCAATGGCATTTGCCCCAAACTCCAGATTATGGATTGTGAAGACAACACGGGTTTTGACTAAACCGTAATGCGTGTATTGATCCTTGAATAACCATGAAACCGGAGCACTGGACCAGTCGTGACAGTGAAGAATGTCCTGTCAACGTTGAGACCGCTTAGAAAAGTTTTAAGACTTTCTATTGATAATTCTACAAGAGTACGATGATGAGTAGACGTACTGGATGAAAACCTCCTTGGAGAAGAAATTCAAGAGCTGCGTGACAGAAGAAACCGAATCTTCCTGCATCATCTGCACAACCGTAAACACATCCTCGCTGAAACAATCTGCAACGATCAAGAACAACAACAACTTCTTCATGCCATGGCCTCTAGAGATGATGAATGGTTTGGTGGAAAAAGCTTAAAGAGAAATGCATAAAGCTAACCCGTTTTGCGGATCTAAGAAGTAAACCGAAAGGCCTTCCACCTTTCCATGCCAGACTTTTATCTCTGTTCCTCCCCAGTGATAGCTTCTGTCTAATTTCAAGTCCTTCACCTGATTTTTTTTTTCAACAAAATTTTAAGTACAAAGACAGATATGTAGAAAAGAAAAGGAAGTGAAAGTGGGAAACAAGAGAAGACATCGATCTTACAAAGTTGTCCTTTAAGCAATCATACTTTGGGAAAATGATATCCACATTATGGTTTAATTCTTGAACAGCACGAGATAGACTAGTGACAACATCACCTAGACCTCCAACCTGCAGGTAATGAATAAAACATAAGCTTAAGATGTATATACAATGCTTTTGATGGCTTACAAACTTCACATTTGAGGGTTACCTTTGCAATAGGTGCCATTTCAACAGCAATATGAACAATGTGCAATGGTGGTTCCTTGGAGATACCTCCCACGACAGGTAAATGGTAATCCAGGCCATTTCTGTTATCAAATATTCCACCATCTTTTTTCTCAGAGAACACAAAGTCCATCATGTAAGCATCCAACGGGACATTGGCTGCAGAAAGAAAGAAAAGGGAGAAACATTAGTCTCTGGAATTGAAATCTTTTTACAAACTGAAACCCTTACCAGTAGTCTTCATGTGTGTGCTTCCATCATCTGCTGCTTCCATTTTCTGAGGTGACAAAGGACCCAAGCTGTGAGTCCAACGATTAAAAGAGCCTCTAAACCAAACCTCAGGCTTTCCGTTCAAAACCGTGTTTGATGGGTTGTAGAAAACTGTCACAGGGCTTCCCGCTTGAATCTCTAGCGGCTCGGTGTAAACCACGTCTTTCTGAGATAGCAGAAACTTCTTAAGTGTTCTTTCCTTAGTTTCAGCTTTCAAGCGAGCTGTTTTCTCCATCTGCCAAAAACAACAACAAAAAGACGAAGAAATGTAAATTCAATCTAGCCAAGAAAGATGACAAGAATGAAGACAATATGGTAAAGAGGAAAAAGCTTGAACACTAACCTTGACAAGCATGGCTTTCTCTTTTAACCGCCTCTCCTCCTGAAGTTTCCTAAACATCAGATTCTCTTCCTCTACCCAGTAAATCTCTTCTGGAGTTCTTCGAGGGACAAGTGCGTGGAAGTCTTGGTAACTATTATTGTCGTACAAAACAGCTCTTTTAGGCGGTCCATCAGCAAAGACCCAGTCAATAACTAGAGCACCGTTGGGGACAACAACTGCATATTTGAAATGAAAAAAGAATCATTTAAAAACTATATCAAGAAATGCAGGTTTGTTCAGGAATATTCACATACCTTCAGCGAACCACCAATTTCTGCTCTTTGGATCAGCCTTTAGCTCAGCATCAACAAGCTTTTCAACGATAGACAATCCATCAACCCAGTTATTAAACCCTCCATGTAACCATATTTCTTTGGCATTAGCTAGAGGACCTGAGTTTTTATTGTAATACAGCTTCACTTTCTCTCCAGCCTTGAAATCGCTCGGCGCAATGTACCAAAGATTCTCAGCCGAGACTACAGCTTTCTGAAGAGCCGGTTGAATCATCTCACGTCTCTTCTGAGTCTCTGCCTTTGCTTGTGCTCTATCAGCTTCCATTGCAGCTTTTCGAGCTTCCACTCTTCTCTTCTCTTCCTCTTGCCTTTCCCTCTCAGCTTCTTCCTTCGCTAACTTCTCTTGCTCTCGCCGTTTCTCTTCTAGAAGAAAATTCTCAAACTCAACTTTATCCATCCCACCTTTCACATCTACACAGAAATCTTTAGAGCCATTGTTGTCATATACCTTTTGCCCATTGAAGAACACAAAATCCATCTTATAAGCTTCTTTGGGGGTATGAAGAAGACAAGACCACCAGTCTCCATGAATCCATGTCTTTTCCAATCTCCTCGTGAAAGATTTCCATCTCCAGTCGTTAAACGCCCCCATGATCAAAACATCTGGTTCGTTCTTCAGAGTCGATAGATTCTTGTTGAGAAACACTTCTATGTCTTCATCAGGTTTCGCATTCACAGGATACACAAACATTCTATTACCTCTAACAAGATTTTCCTCTGCAAGCGCTTCTATTTCCTTCCTACGGAGATTCTCTCTTTCAACTTTTAACCTTTCCTCAAATAAAGCATCTTCCACAGTTGTTTTCTTATCCAAAATATCACTTCCCTCATCGATTTCTGAACTACTTAACACATTCCTCTCACCAAAAACTACAGACCCTTGTTCCTTCACATCCAGTTTAGCCTCATGCAACTTAGTAACCTCTGAAACCTCGTTTGTTACTGTAGAAGTGGCATTGCTATCTTTTTCACCGTTCTTCTTCTGACTTCTTTTCTGAGAACTTCCTACTGTTGTTCGTTGCCCAAAACCTCTGGGACCTGAGCTTTTGGATCCTGAAGCAGCCATTCTTCCTTGCTTCTTCTTTGAAAAATCTTGGTAAACAAATGCATCAAAAGGACTGAATCAGTCAGTAACCACAACCAAACGTAATAAACACTGTGGAACCGATTCTTGATTCTTAACCTGCACTTGCCGTGATCTGATGCAGAAACGCATTTGATTTGTATTGTCTTTCCAACGAAGCAAACTGAGAACCAAACGTGTCAATCTGTAGAAAATCGATTATACAACTGTTCAATCACTCAAAGCCAGAAAATTTGCTAAAACCCACACAACCAAGAACACATAAAGCTAATGACACCAGAAGTAACCAAGCTGAATTTTTAACCATTTACAAATCCAAGCCATAATAAAAACGAGAAATTTTCATTCCTACAAAACCATGAATCAATGTGATGGAGATTGTATCAGTAAAAATTGGATATTTCTTACAGAATTAACTCTACCATTTCCAAAGGAGGTTCTAAGATTCCCAATCCAGAGACCCTACCAGTGTTGAATCTCCTTAAAAAGCAATAGTACATTCTCTCAAATTTCGATTCCAACTCAATATTCCTAAGCCAAAAGGCGATCTCTTTATAGAAAAGTAAGCACTTTTCACTTCCACCCCCATGGCATATTACATATATAAGCACATATGCATGTAAACGAGTATCATGGAAAGAGAGAAATTTACAGTAGAAATGGAGCAGGATTTGGGGCGAGGAAGAAATCCAATACAAGTATTGATTTTGAGCAGACCCTTCTCCTGGAAAACCGAGTTGACCCTCGCCGGTCTCTGTATCTGAGAAATGGAGCAAGATTTGGGGCGAGGACGAAACTCAATACAAGTATTGATTTTGAGCCGACCCTTTTCCTGGAAAACCGGCTTGACTCTCGCCGGTCTCTGTATCTGCCAACACACTTCCATGGCTGCCGAGAGAATCTATAGAAGAAGAAGAAGAAGAGAGAGATAGAGAACGAAAGTGGTTGTACTTCAGGTATATCCCGAGAAGAGAGACAGAAAGTTTGTTGTCGGAGGAGCCCTCTCCACTGCTTCACCAAGCCACTTCTTAATCACTGAAACTGATCTCCATCTCTTTAATTTTAGAGTCAATTATTTGATTTTATTCTTAAAATTACAATTTTCAATAAATTCAATAGAGAGAGAGAGGCCATGTGTTGATTAATGTTTTAAGGCTATGGTATAGCGACATCTAGCAAAAACAACAAGAGAAGATTCGCTACAATCGCAGTCGCAGCCATTCATTTTAACTTCTTTCAAACATGGAAGGACATTTTCCTTTGCTTTTCACGCCAATTTCTCTGTAATCCGCCAAAACAATCTGGACGCCTAATTCTTAAACAACGTGTGTGATTTGTTTCTTCTTTCTGTGCATAGCTCGTGACAACGAAATCGCTTGGCCGATGCATTAACGCCACGTGTCAGACAATCCCCCGATTTATAAGTCCACGTCAAGGTCAAGCCTGAGCGATCCTCTTTCCCAATCACTAACCGTTGATTAGAATCGTCAACCGGTCCACATGTACGAACAAGATACGAATCTGATTACATGTCTCCAAAAGGAACCCTCCGGACGATTCAGAAGCTTCCGAACAAATGTGATAAACCATTCGCGCGCGTGGAGATCACGCCCTGCTTAAAGCAGCTCTGTTGTTCTAGTAACGGACCACACAACTCTCTTGCAATCTCCACAAGAGCTTTCATTGGCTACGTCTCTTTGAGGCATTTTTCATTTTCTCCATCAAGAAGAGGACTAACAACAGATCGGAAAATCTGTTCATGAGGTGTAACTCCATGAAGAACCATGTAATCATGAAGCTCAACGACTTCTTCTTCACCGCGATTCTTACTAAACGAAGTAATCAAAGTCCCATACGTTACGAAATCCGGAACAACACCTCTCTCAACCATAACCTCCAAAACCTCCTTCGCTTTCTCATAACAACCAAACTTGCACAAATGATTGATCACAATGTTGTAAGTCACCACACTCACCAATCTCTCACCCTCCTGATTCACCATTCTAGCCAAGACATCAACAGCTTCTTCCACATTCCCGGATCTCAAAGACTCATTCAACAACGTGTTGTAAGTCACAACGTCCTTCCTCTCCATAGCTTCCACAACCGCTTCAGCCGCACCAACCAATCCTCTTTTACACAATCCATTCACAACCGAATTGTAAACCACAAGATTCGGCGTCTTCTTCATCTTCACCATCCCATCATACACCTCCACCGCTTTTTCCAACTTCCCTTCCTTAACATATCCATCAATCAAAGTAGCAAACGAAACAACATCAAGATCCAATCCTCGAACCACCATACTCCCCAAAATCTGATCACCACACGTTACCAAATGGTGCATAAGCGTGTTGTGACAAACCACATCCTCCACCACAAGTTTCTCCTCCCTAAACTTCACAGCTTCCTCTACACATCCGTTCCTGAACAAACCTCTCACAACAATGGCCTGAGTAAACCGATCAATCTCCATCCTTTTATCAACCATATCACTCAACACCAACATAGCTCCTTCAACATCACCTTCCATAAACATCCAATAAACAACAGAGTTACAGATAACAGTATTCGCCACAAGTCCTTTACTCGTCATCTCATCACACAACCTCAAAGCTTCATCTAAACTTCCACCTCTACCGTAACCATCCACCAAAGCACCATAAGTCCTCTCGTTCCACTCAACACCTGACTTAACCATGACAACATTACGTATCCTCTCAGCCAAATCCAACCTCCCCACCTTGCAAAACCCGTTGATAACCGAATTGTAAGTCACAGCATTCGGCGAGACGAAGCTCCCAGACATGACTCCCATCTTCCACAACAGCCTCAACGCGAACACCATATCACCACTCTTGCAAGCTCCATCAATCATCATGTTAAAGCTCACAACATTAGGCCAAACCCCACATTTCAACATCCTGTAAAACACTGATAACGCTTCAAGCAGCTTGCCCTCTTTGCAAAACGAGTATATGACCAGATTAAAGGTATTCACATTCTCAACGTATCCCAAGGAATCCATTTCTCTGTAAACCTTCCAAAACCAATCAATCTCGTTCAGATTCAGTAAACAACCCATGAAGTTATTCAAAGCGTGAAGAGAAACGCAAAAGCCCTCTGCTCTCGCCTGCTCAATCACTTTAGAAGCTCCTTCAGCATCGCCGTTCTGTGTGCAAGCTCTAACCAATGAATCAAACACATCGAGACTCGTGGAATCACAACAAGCTTGGTGATTTCGAATCAAACCCGATAAAACTTGTAAAGGGCTCAAATTTCCACCTTCCACGGACATCAGATTCGTCATGATTGATAAAGCGTCATCGAACTTTCTCGAATCGACCAGTAATTGAATCATCACACAAGAGGCTTCGAATCGATTCTCCGACGAGTTAGCAGCCGGAGTTTGATTCTCTAAAACCCAGTTGTAGAACTCTAGAGCTAGCTTCGGGGAGGTTCGAAGCTCGCGAAGAACTCGGCTTATCAACGGATTTGTGAGGCTTGGTGAGAATTGATTAAGAGTGTTCCATCGTCTTTGCTTTAAATTCAAGCAGAGAGCACTAAAGAGAATGTTTTCCGGGTCAGGATTCGAGAATCTCTTAGCGGCGTGAAAGCAACGTACCAGGAAGCTCGTTCGTCTGGAGAAAACGTGAGCGAACATACGTTACTAAAGAAATCAGATAACTGTAATGACTCTAAACCCTGAATCTAGGCCGAGGTTTTTAAAAGTAGAAGAATTCGAAGGCATAATTCTCAGACGGAAAAGCCCCCAATTGTGGCGCTTCGTAAAACGCGATTAGTATGCCCGGCGGCGGCGGTGGCGACGCCGGTGTAAGCTTCTGTGGCAGAGAGGAAGGTAAGGACTTAACGAGAAAACGGTACAGATAAAGACAAAGGGGTTTGTTTAATAACCAGCTTGATGACCGGTTTAGGGCAAACCGAAATTGGTCTGGTGATACATCTTTGCTTTTTTGTCAAGGTTTTGTGATGCTATTAGAAAAAAACGAATTTTTTTGGGCTTCTCATTAAAAATCTCATTTTGGACTACTTTGTGTTTTTTTTGTTCTTACGTATACATTGGGACCATATTGAGTTCATATTAACTACGTATATTCGACTCTCGAATCATATTGAGAGCTCATCTCCCTCTAACTTAGCTAAGAGAATCACTTGTATTCAATCATAATCTTAACATATTTACATTTACACCATAACATATACGTTTTCATTTTTCACATAAATCTAAGTTATCATCCTTTTGTTCATTGCAAAACATCTTGCATAAACTGATAAACATCGAAGTGTGAATTTTTGGACTTTCAAATTTATGAGAAAATCGTGAACAAGCTATCACCGAACGCTAGTAGAATTGTGGCACACCTATACGGCTATACATCTCTCCTTGAATCTATTTGCGGATTATTCTCTTACAGTGCCTTCACCTAGAATGTGAAAATCATCGAAGAGGGTAAATTGTGAATTGAACCGTGTGAAGTACAACTGTACAAGCTATTAGTTTGATTTCATGATCGATCTCCTCCGTAGAGTCCATGTAGAATATCTTCGACGAATATACTTTTTGTTTGTGTTTTAGCATAGTTTTAAGAAGTTGGATCTAAGTCCAATTAGGCCCCCATGACATCAGTTTATATTAAAATTAACAACTGATATCTTTTATTTCTTCTTATGACCCCCCATTGGGTATCAATGAATCACTTGACCTAGCCATACACTTGCTTCACCTTTCCTCTATTGGCCAAAGTTTCACAAAGTAATGTCATATGGATTGATTCTTCAGGGTTTCTTCCAATCCTGTTTTCTCTGTCGGATACTATACTAAACAAATTAAATGCTTTCATTTATCTTTTTTCGAATGGATGTTTCTTTTTTATTATAAGAAGACAATTACAATATATTTAATTTGTGATTTTTTCTAACAATGTTGTTAACTGGAACTTAGAACATTCCTGAATTTTCTATATTAGTCAATTAAGGTTTTTGGATTTGTATATATAAATGCTAGGAACCAAAGAAAGGAATCAAATTATTGAAAGAGGAAAGAGAGAAGAGAGAAAGAGTGGTGAACGGTGAAGAGAGGCTTTGAGCGAGATAAGAGTGGAAAGAGATGTGTTGATGAGCCCACAAATGAAGGCCATGATGTATACCTTTCTCGATCAAATTCACTTTCAAAGGTCCTTTCTTGCAAAAGGCAAAGGCATAACTCACAAAGGGGATCACAAACATTTTGACAAACTTCCCTCTTTTATGCTTTACCACAACACTCTTTAACCTGCGTCACTTTCTTTTGACCCCAACTCAGACCCTACGTCCTTACCCTCCTCCATAATCTCATGTCCATATAATTTACATTTTTCTGTGTGTATGTGTGTGTGTGTGTGTGTGTGTGTGTATTTCCCTCGAATTAATCCATTTAGGTAACATCTATAGACTATAGTTATATACTGTCAGAATTAGCTATTTCATTAATCTCTTCGATGTTAATTATAAATTTCAGTGACGTGTGTATAAGTGTTAAGAGTCTTTGTATATATAATAACAAGATGCCATTTCATGAACCATAATGATTTTTGTTTGGAAAACTAATTGAAAAATAGTGTCTTTTTCTTGCTCGTGAGTGCCCACTTTGAAGTGGATTCTTTGGACAGTTTACCTGTGGACACAATAATGTTGCGAGGACACATCTGTTCTCATTAATTATATACAAACTTCCCTTTCGTAATCATGTCAAACTATCTCTTAATTAATCGCTAGACCTAATACTATATTGATACATTCATCTTTTACAATTGTAAACTATATCGGTGCTCAATCATTAATATCCTTGTTACGTACGTAGCACCTGACATATGAATTGGGTTTTAACATTTGATATATAAATTAATGAATTGCTCCGAGGAAGAAAATTGTATAACTAATTCACATTCGTCAGTTTTTGTTTTCTTCTTTCCTTATTTAAAGTTTTAAGAGTGTTCATGCATGTCATGATCCTTTATGGTCCACAACTAGTTTTGATGATATTTGTAGAAGTTGAGACCATTATTTTTCAATCATAGATTCGAACTCGAAAGCAACAATTCAATCAAGTTCCTCTCAGCAAATTATTGTTGAACTATCTGCCTTCGATTGATAATCCTCTACTAACTTCAGTTTTGGTGATACTGAAATTGTAAATCTCCATTTCATACTTTGGGGATGTAATACAGAAACTAAAATCCTGAATAATCAAATACAAAACAGAAAAAAAATATACACAATCACACATACTACATGAGGTTCTTGAAAATGATCCCACAAATAATTTCGAGGACTAAAAAGAAAAAAACATCTGCATGGGAAGAAAAATAGGTCTTACACATCTCACACTTGGGATTCAAGAAAGTTTCAAAATTAATTCTACACCCTGACAAAATAAGTACTTCATTTTTTTCTAATCTTTGTTCGTAGTTGAAAATTTTAAAATGTTTTTTTTTTTTCAAACTATATATTACTAATTAGCCGTAGAACCCAGTTTGGCTCCAAATCGCGTCGCGAACGCGCCTTAACTCTCGTCCTTTGAGAGTCCTTCCTACTCCTTCAAACACCGACGCGCCGCCGCCGCCTCCGCCGCCAGATTTCCTGCTCCGCCTCTTTTGGCTCTTCGCCAGGTACTCGTGCGGAGGCATCATCCCGGAGTCTTCCTCGTCCTCTTCCTCAGACTCGTGTATCGACTCGACCGAGTTGACTCGGTAGATCTTACTCCAGTCCGGCACGTTCACCGGCGCCGACGACGCCAACTGTCGCTGGCTTTTCCCTCCTCCTCCAGCACCACCTTCTCCTCCTCCTCCGCAGCTTATCTGGTGCACGATCCTCGGCGAAGATGACGTGTCCGCAATCGCCAGGGACAGACCACCACCACCCACGCGGCCGTTCCTCACCACCGAATCGCGTGAGCTCCACGCGCCGAAAGATTCCGGAATCTCCGAGCGATCGTCGGCGCTGTGATCGACGGCGTGAGACCAGATGTCCTCTTCCGTGAGCTCTGATTCGTCGGTGACGGAGTTACCGTTACTGTCACCGTAAATATAGTTGTTTCCTAGATACCTCTCGCTCTGGCTCATCGTCAGCTTTCGACCCCTTGCCATTGAAGCTCCGACGTCGAAGGTCTAATCTCCACAATCAGTCACTAATTATTCAATTAATTACTTTTTAATTATTATTTTTAAGATTAGTAATTAGTGATTTCGCTATAAGTTTTAAACAGAGCGAAATGGACGACTATATATAGCATTTTTCCGAGCAGAAGAGTCCAAGAGAATGTGAAGTGAGTAATAAAGAAATATAAATCTCACATATGCCACCATTATTAGCCATTTCTTGCAAAAACACCCCTGAATATATTTTTATAACGTGATAAACCCCAATTTTGTGGTCCTTTTATTTGATGGAGTTTCCACCGTTAGTTTTTTTATTAAATATATAAACCAACTTTTGGATGGAAACAAATCGTAGGAAAGGTAGTGTATGTGATTTCGTGAATGTGTTTTAATATTCTGCCATCTAATAAGCGCAACGAATTTTTAATTCAGACCATCTCTTTTGTCTTTGGTCAGATCAAGTAAGAATCTATTGTGATCTGATATATGTTAGAATCTGAATAGTAAGGGGATCGTTGTAGGAAAGATGAAATATACTGAGGACTGAATGTGAGTTTTGGTAAATATAAAACGAATAATTTTTGTTGTCTGATTAATGTGGATAAAATAGGGCCTCCATTTCCCACACGTAACAGTTAACAGATAAACAATTTGGATACGCTGTAACAAGACGAGACATGCCACGTTACGCGCTGCTGGGAAGCGCGTGTGATGCAGTCGATAGTCTCTCTTGTTTTCTTTTTGTTCTTGTCAAGAACGTACAACTTGAGAAAGTCTATGGAAACACTTATTGTCAACTTGCCAAATTGGGGAAAAAAAGTTGCGAATTTTAAATTACTAGTTTTGGTAAGAAAATTTGTTCACGAGAAGTTTTTCTGTTCACAATATTTTTTAGCCAAATTGTGCAGCTAGGTTTCGGGAAGACGTTCTTAGTTGACCAGAACTGATCTAGTAACTTTTGTCATAAAATGCTCTAAGTGTGATTGATTTGCGAGCATAACTATTTATCTTGTTTGTTTGTTAATTTGCAATCCTCTGTTATCTTGGTTCACAAGGCATGTGGCTTGTAGTCTTCGAATCTTTCCTTGAATGATGCAATTTATTCTCAATCTGCAGCTTATCCTGAGCATGTCAGTCTCTTTCATCTTTCCTGGAGACTATGATTCCAGTAACATATCTTCTTGTGGTTTCAGTTTTTGGAAGATGATTTCCCCTCTAAAACAATGATCATAATCAATTTTCTTCAATCAAGTTTTTTCTTACGATGAAAAAAAGTGACAATAATTATAAATTTTGGTTCAGTTTTTGGTAAGAGATTAAACTTTGACCAAGTTACTAATGGAATCAAATCATACACATCTGTACATTTTGATTGGAAACTCAAATCTTTAAATCAAAAGTGGAACCCAGAGAAACTAAAGTATACTTCACACTATAACCATTAATAAATATTTTTTTAAAAATCATTAATTAATTAGTTATCTATTGATTGTTAATCAAATGCATAGATAAATATTTAAAAGCATGTCTCCACTTGTGAGATGACGAACTATAGTACAAAGAGAGGGAAAGGGTCCCAACCATGTCCACATTGAATGGTTGAGAATGAGAGACAGAGTAAGATACACACTTCGTATTGGTAAACATAGCAGCTACGAATTATTTTAATGGATTTGTCTTTTTTCGTTAGACTATTTTCCTTAATTCATCAGATCATAGGTATACTAATTGAGAAAACATGTTAGTGTTTGTATTTATTCACGAATAATTAGATCAACATGTGAAAAAGGGACTTATTAATATTTGAGCGTCCTAAAACTCAAACATCATGTTACACTTTGAAAGAAATTTTTTAAGTTTGTGAATCTATCACACATATGATATATCTAGAGATGATGACTTATGAGTGGTGACAAAATTATTCCACTCAATAATGCGTAAGTGAAAAACTTATAAATACCTAAAAATGAAACATATATATAAGCAGAGATACAATAAATATAGTGAAAAGTACTATAAAAACAAAATTAGAACGATATTACTATATATTACACGTCCAAATCAATGTAGGGATCTATATTTTTAATTTGATGGTTTTTTGTTGTCCAATAATTTGACGAGATTATTGATTGGAATAACTCAGGTAGTTGTCTTTTAGCGAGAGGAACAAGTCATTATGTTTGTTCTCATTCACTACCCCCACAATATAGACCCCTACTACCTCTAGGGAAATTGTACCTTACTGTATTTTTAAACCATCTATGTAGACTAATTAACTATTTATTTAAAATGCACCAAACGATTGAATTCATGATCGTTTTTATTTATTGAAAAAGAGTTTAACTTATACCCAATGTAGTTTCTTTTAACAGTCTGAATGTTTTTATCTGCTTATTATCTTATGATAATGGAAATGGAATCTTTCTCAGGTGGATATATCATATACTATCTATCTAAATTTTCAGTCAACTGGGAAATGGAATTTTGAATGTACGACGAGCTTAGGCTTATTCTAGTTTTTAATACTATTTTAGTACTCAATTGGGAAATGGAATTTTGGAGTTGGAAAGTTTATAAAGAGAATAACATGATTGGCCTTGTGCACTCGTAACGCCGGTAAAAGATTGGATGTATAGATTCCATCGATCATTAGCAACCAAAAAACAGAAAATAGAAAAAATTATATGATATTTATTAAATATATTTATACAGACACAAACAAAACAAGTGACAAAAGAAAAATTATATCATGTGGAGGATTCAACAGTTGATAAATGTATGTCAACAAATTTAAAAAGGCATCCAAGAGAGACTGATAACTTTTCCTTGGTTATTAACCGATACATGTTTTGTTTTACTTTAAAATGACAAGTTTTGATCACAATGTTTAATCATCAGACACAAACTCAAATCTCTCAAAATCCATCTTATCGTTAGCAACTTCCATAGACCTCGCCGTCTTAATCAAACCTTCACATCTTCTCAGCCGCATCTCCTCAGTTCCTCCTACTTCTCTCGCCACATCCAAACACTTCTCTAACTCATCCACAAACCAATTCATCTCCTCATACTTTCCTTGCAAGGCAAGCTTCGCATCCATCAACTTAACCCTAACCCTTTCCTCCCTCCACATCTCAGCCGTCTGCACCATCTGCCTCTCCTCCTCCATCTCGTCCCATACTCTCCTTGTTTCCGCCTTCAATTCGTCGATCCTCGTCACCAGCTCCTCGCAGACCTTCTCCATTGTGTCTCTTTCTCTCCTCAACCGATTCTCTGATGATTCCATATCCAACAACTTCTTCTTTAACCTAGAGTTCTCAGCTTGAGCTCTTTTTCTTTCTTTCCTCTCTTTTCTTAACTCTTCTTTCAGGTAATCAACAAACGGATCCGGACATTTTCTTTCGGCCTCGAGCTCTTTGATTCTAGATTGAGCCTTCCATAACTCGGCTTGAAGACGAGGAACGAGGCTAGCGTCTCGAACATACTCGTCTTGTGTAAATTCCTCATAAGGTTCAACGGAGTAGTACGTTCTGAGTGATCCAAAGTCCCACTTCGTTATGCTGCTCTCCATCTGCAATATTAATATCGTAATTATTATTGTATTTTGTCACCAACTTAAATAGTGGGTCAAATACTATACCTATCTCACAACTCATAAACACATAATTTAAAATCCAAATTATGACAAAGTAGCTCAATCAAAAGGAACCAAAAAAATAATTAACAAGATCTGGGCTCAATATTGGTCGGACCATGACAAACCGGACCGGCTTAACAAAGCATTGCAAACAGATTATCAAGTGTATAGTATGCTTTATATTCAAAAATTGCAAACCAAATTGATCACAAACCTGATAGCTAAAATCGTTCTGCTAAATAACCTTGGCCTTGAGGAGGACACTTTTGAAGCCTCGAAGCAAGCTTCCTCGCCGAAAATTTGGATCTTTTTGATTGAGGTTGTTGAGTGAGATTACGACGTAGGTGTCTCTGGTGGTTGGAATACGCGACGGAGGAGATGCGTTTTCTCCGGCGATGAAGAGAGAGTGGCTCCGTGGCGTCGGCAACGCGAGAGAAGAAGACGTTCATAAGGGATACAATGACAGTTAGTATTTAACCATTTTCAGGGACATACAGTATATAGAATTTTCAGAGACATACATCTGCATTTTCATTGAATCATAGGATTGCTCAATATCAAGAAAGAATTTCGAAAGCATTTAAGACATTGATTTGGTACCAGATTTGGTCTCTTTCCATCTATTTGGCTTTTTTTATCACATATATACTTTGGTTTAATCGAATGTTTATGATTTGTTCTAAAACACATTAATTTATACAATCTTTTCATACAATCTGATATACTCTGACAACGTTTGGATATTTTCCCATATAGATACTACAAAAAAGGTGAATATACTACAAAAGTGAAGAAAGACGATTTTACTACAATAGTTTATTTCCAGACTACTATCAAATATTTTCCTCTAAATTTAGATTTTACAAATTATTATTTTTTGCTGTGCTTTTTGACTTTGTCGTTGATGACTAGATACTGTAGATGTTTTGGTTTACTTAGAAGTATGCTTTATATTCAAAAACTACAAGTTTTTCTTCGTACGTTGCAAAGATATTGGAGTGTGAATGTGTGATTATACGGAATCTAATGCTGTTCTTCCATTGGACCATTACACTAAGCGAGCGTAAACCAAAGAAGTTCCGCATCAAATCTCCATTTATATTAGAACAGTCGCAGAAGCAATAAACTTGGAACGCTAGAAATTAAGTGTCAACTAAAACAAAAGCAACAACAGTTAAAGAAGCAGAAGAACAAAGCAACAACAAAACTAAAACCAGAGAGGAACAAAAAGCAAGCAGAAGCAAATAGAAAAACAATAGAGTTGCAATACCACCTTAAACCTGTTTCTAAGAAAGCTGGCGTCGCTTGTAACGCACCATCACTTTCCCTTTAACGCCAACAACCATAGCGTTCCAGTCGATCTCAGGGAACGGTGAAGCCAACTCAAACTCAAAGTTCCTCAACAAATGACTCCATATGGCTTTGATCTGCAGGTAAGCAAACGGCTCTCCAAGACAACCATGCCTACCTCCACCGAACGAAATGTACGAAAACGCTCCTGCGGCTTTGTCCTCTTCTCTTCCCGCTGAGAATCTATCCGGGTCGTAGCTGTCCGGGTTTGTGAAGATATGCGGCAAGCGGTTGGCAAACGCAGGCGACGTCGCAACGATGTGACCCTTTGGGATATCATAAGTTTTCCCATCCTTGTCCGTCACGTTGAAGTCACTGTGCGAGGCTCTCATGAGCAAGATCAGCGGAGGGTGAAGCCTCAACGCTTCCTTGATGCAGCGGTAGAGAACATCCATCTCTGATAAGATATCGTGATCGATCTTGTCACCATGTTTCTCAATCAGCTTCCTCTGCTCGTCAAGAGCAGCTGAGCAGTGCTCTTTGTATTTCATCAGGTAAGCGCCAGTCCACGTGGAAGTGATAGAGCTCGTGTGTTGTCCTGCAAACAGAGCAGCGATGAGCAGACCTGTGACTTCGGAATCAGTCGTCTGTCTACCGTCCTTGTACTTTGACTCGATGAAACACTGTAACATGTCGTTCTCTGATTTGCCAGAGCATTTTCTCGACCCTATGATCTTTGAGAAGATCTCAGCGAGCTTTGCTCTGGCCTGGTCACGACGGCGGTGAGCTGGAAGTGGGAGGTATGGGAAGAGAACACTGATTGGAAGCATCCCATTGTCAAGGTCGTGGAACAGAGCAGAGACGTCATCGAAAAGCTGGTCACGAACTTCTCTACCGAGTAGACATCTACTTGCAGTCAAGATGATGAGTTTCTCTAGCTCATCCTTTATGTCCACTTCACCACTCTCTCCCCATTTCGAAAAGTAATCCTGCCAATTAACAAGAACAAGACTTTCTCAATGAAACTCATAAGTGCAAGCAAAGAAAAATCCCATTTTGATAGTTTTCTACCTCAGCTTCAGTAACCATCATATCCACATAGCCCTTGAGCTTATTGACTCTGAGTGCCTCGGTGAAGAACCGGAACTGCTCCTGGCGAACGGAATAGTCGACGTCGAAGACAACTCCGGGGCCAAAAGTAGGGACGTTGAATTGATAGACTTCTTGCTGGCTGAGATCGGATTCAGGAGCTTTGAAGAAATGTGCAGAGACTTCAGGACCGATGAGGAAAGTGATCTTTTTGTGAAGGAGATTCACAGTGAATACACTTCCAAGCTTTGGATATTCCTCTCTGAGCATAATGATTGGTCCTTTCAAGAATTTGAGAAGGCTTCCGATCAAAGGAGGCCATGCTTTAAGAGTCGGAGGAAGACGCTTCTCCTTTGCATCGGAAGTGAGGAAGGAGAAGATGAGTTTGGCCACGACGAGTGTCGCCACTATACCCAAACCCGTCTTCAACAACTTGTTCTCCGAATCGAATAACATTTCCATCTGAGAAATCCATCAAATGAAAAGGCAAAATCACACACACGAAAGAGAGTAGTGAGTTTTGTGATTTGAATCACGATGCATAGTCAAATCAGATCCGGATTGATTCCGATTGAATCCTGAGTGATCTAACCACTTAGATTAAGAATTTCTACAGTATGACGAGAACAGCTAGTGAAGATCCATATTAAAACTTGGAAATGCGAAAAGCACTATTGTTGGTGTGAGAGAGGAGAAATCGAAGAAGCTTACTTACTTTGAAGGAGTCAATCGATGACGATGATCGAGTTTCAGAGACAGCGTGTGACGAAGAGTGAGGAAGAAGAAGAAGATGAAGAAGAGAAACGGCTCCGGAGATTTGCTCTCACGATGGAGAAATCGTCGCTTCCAAGTTGGAGCTGCTTTCTCTCGCCTGATTCACACAAATTATTTATCTAGTTTTTTCGACTTTTTTGTTTTTTTGCTGTGATTGTAAATACACACGTGGCATTTTTCCGTTGATTGGATTTGGATGGTAAATGGTTTTCTTTCTTACAACAAAAATCAATTTAAACTAGGGCGTGACATTTTCTAATTTGTACTACGAATTCGGTATAGCAAAATCAAATATTTTCTGGGCCTAATTTCCAAATACGAGACTAGAAAAATCAATGGAAGAGGATTTGTCTGCAATGCCTTGGCGGAGAAAACAAAGAATATCTCAAACTTCTTAAATTATGAACAAAAAAACAAAGTGACTCAGACTCAGTCATAGTGAGCTCGTGGCCACAACACATGCGGCCTATTTTAAAGAAAGTTAGTGCCCAAACTTTGAATATTCCTCCGAGTTTGATCTCTGACAAGACTTGTATTATTATTATATTTTCATCCTTTGTTCATAGTGTCGAGTTGGGTTAACTTCAGCTATGCTTTGAAATACGATAATTGTGTGTCGAGGAAACCACTTGTGATCTTTTTACATTTACGCACACAGTTTTGTTGCAAAGCGAGTAAAAACCAGTTACCATGAGAAAATCCGGATTAGCTTGTTTTCCTGATAACGTAAAAAAAACCTTTTTAAATCAAAATCAAGTTCATGAACAACTAAAATTTTATATAGTTTAAAATTTAAAGCATTCTACTTTTTGTTTACCATTCACACCAATAATCAATATTAATCATTTTCCTATAATTTAAAAATTTGCTGAAAGCCTAAAACTGTAACTAGTTACAAATTTTAGTCATGCAACGAACTAACTTTACAACGTTTCATGGCTAATTTTTTGAAAATGTTGTTCAATCGTAATTTCGTTTTCTTCCAACTTTACACACCAATAATCTATTTTTCATACATATAAATAAAGTTAGAAATAATCAATAATTTTCTCTCAATGTTTTGCAGGCCAAACTTTTAGTGTCTGACAAGTCACATCACATGACTCAGATACTGACACTTGCTTATCTGTCACTGGAAAGAAGTGTTCGTATTCATTATTAAAATGACTCTCAGACACAAAAATTCATCATCGATAACAAATCATTGCTCAGGAAGTCAGGATAACGGAACCATATTCCAAATACATTTGTGCTTTGTTTCTGCTCTGCAGCAGCAATTCACCACCTTTCACGCCCAAGAGATTCCAACTTTGATGTATTGGGCTTTTATTCAATCTGAAGACCCACTTATCATCTTCGGCCTGATTACGAATTCCATTCTCGAATTTTATTTAGCTTCGACGAGGCTACAACAGATTGACCAACACACATTCCGTACTATCTTTGGACCGAGAACTAGAACACATTGAGCTAACAACGTCGGATTACAACTATTATTTTCATCTTCACCAGATCTGAATCTCTTAAATGATCCATCGAAGTTGGAGACGTACGGTGGCTTAACGTTGAAGAAAACCAGCTCGATTTTATTCTATCGTAGTATCGGGTTTTAACTGGACACAGCCACTCGCACAGCATGGTTATATCAAAACCGACTTTCTAGTCAATTGGTGTTTTTCTTAGATCATACCGGTGCGGCCAACCACGATAGTTGTACGTTGACCACGCCGCATCAAGTAGGTTTATCTTATTTATTCATGATTCTTGAAAATCTTTTATTGTAAAAAATCTTCATATAGTAGAAGCATATGGTATAAATTTATTGATCAATGATGCATGATGATTCATTTATAGATTCGATTTTATTTTATATCTCGTCCAATAAGCTCTGAATATTTTGGTAATGTAAGATGATATAGCATAAACTTTTTCATGCATGCATATGTTTATTAGACCATTTGGTACACACACACACACACACACAAAAACCAATTTTAAGGATCACAAAAATTTAAATGTTAAAAAGATATGGTAATGCCTTAAGATAAGTTTATGCTATAGTGAGAATCACATTCACATGGACTTGCTTTCTTAAATCGATTCATTTCATTGAATGTTTAACTAATGTAAATAATTCATAGATTACGATAAATGTATCCTAACGTCCCAACAATCGATATCGGATATATTGGATTAATTAGACGAAATATAGCTGTCATTGTGCTACTCTTTACTAATTAACCGTAGAAAAAGATTCGAATGTATCAAAAATCTAAAGTTCCAATTTTATTCATGTGCTTTTTCGAGTTTCAAGAAAGGTTTAAAAATCACCCTAACAATAAATTATTGAAACTAGCTTCTTCATTACTTTTGTAATTTTGTTTCCATAGAGTAGCGCGTTTGGAATAAACAAAAAAAACAATCACAATTTTTTAAAAAATCGCAAATCTTAAGAGAGATATTCCTCAAAATATGTGTAATGCATAATCTAATGATCAATGCTATTTAGAGATTCTACGCAACCGAACAGAATACTAGATACACATATTTATTGATTATACTATTACGATGTTGGTAGTTTATGATTTTTTTCATTTTAGGGATGTAGTATATTTTTCTAATGCGGTTAAACCGATTCTTACCAACGAAACAAATACTGAGTTGAAGGTAAAAATACTTTCACATACGATATCTTTAATACCTAATTCGAAAATTAAAGGCATTTAACTATTGCTTTCTTAAATTAACCCCAAAATAAAAGTTTATCTTCGCACCAACTCAACATATTAAAAGGCTCAACCTTATCTTTAGTAATCTATCTATAGGAGTAACAGTGTATGATCCCACGAGATTCTCGAGTTGTATACAAATAGTCGTTGAATTGTTTACCTCGAGATACTCGACTCGAGTAGTAGAATTTAATTATCCTAATATCCCGCAAGAATCTCGACTTGTATGCAGCACACGTGTTGACATGTATAACAGAGAGGCATATATGTTCACATCTACACATTTAGTTGTATTATTATCATCTCATGCTCGACTGGTTGTTGGAGAGCTCTTATAATTCTGTTGATTGTAGGCTATAGAAAACAATTTTTTTTTTTTTTTTTTTTTTTTTTGCATAAACACAAAAAGTTGACTAATAATGTTTAGAGTTTATTCAAGAATATGTGTAAAAAACTCAAGTTTCTTAACTAATTGCCGCTCGTATGTTGAACGCAAAATTTCGGCTCGTTTGACTTTGACAACTTCAGTTTTTGTTTCTTCTTCTCGTTAGGAAATGCATATGTATTCCGATGCAGACAACTCTAGTGCGGTTTCACATTTATCGAAAATCAAATGCTAACAGTCTGAATTTCCGATAAATTAACATCGTGATGAATTTTAACCTAAAAAGAAAAACGTCGTGATGAATATCCCCTGATTCCCAACTATGTCATGTTAAACTTCATTGCAACAGAAAAATACTGTCATATGGCTGTGAACGAGTATGTCAATGTCGTTTTCATTTAAGACTGTCCCGAACAACCAATGTAATTTGTGTTCATATTAATTAAGGAGCCTTATAGCCGTATAGTCGTCTCGTTATGTAATATACTGTTTACATGTATACGATTTGGGGTCACAGTGTTACACAAAATGCATCATATCTGACGAATTAGTCTTAACCAAAAGTTTTAAACTAAAAAAGACGTATACACTTGACACATAATTTACAGTTTATACATGTGCGGGTGTACCTACTATATCCAAAGCGTAGATATCATGACCCGTAATTTAATCTGTTCTCATTGCTCTATCTATTTTATTATTGGTGGTTTCTTAAGATAATGATTGAAAGAACTATTCTTATCTCCTAAAATCTTGCCGATATATCTTTTCTGAAAATGACGTGTTAAATACTAAATACGAGCAATAAACAAAATTATAAAATCTTATACTTTCACATTACACTGCGAGTCTGCGAGTACGACGACCTTCGTGTCATCGTGTGTGACTGTAAAGTGTAAACCAATCGTCCGTGTGCTTAGCGCGCTGTGGAAGCTTCTAAAGACTCATCTTTTTGTCATTTATTTGGGCGTTTTGTGAACTCACCGCGTTTGCGACTCAAATGTCAACGTAGTCTGACCTTCCAATAAAAGCACGAGTTTGGCATGTCCAACGTGGCACTTTTTTGTACGTCACAGACTCGCAGCTTCTTTACGTTGTTTTTCTTTTTTTTCTTCTCTACGTTAAATAATTTTGAAACTTTTCCTATTTCGGTTTTTTTTTGTTTCTGGAAAAGGACTATTTCGTTTTTTTTAACGGAACTTATCCCATTTTCTTTTCTTGTTTAGTTAGTTATATTTATTTTACAAAATTATATTGATCCCGTTATTTATACTTTGCACTTCTTTTTTAAATTTATTTATTTTTTGTAAAAATGTTGCACATATTGTTGGTCTAGCTAGTGGCTGATTCAGTGAAAACTAATTCGTTGTACGTCAAAATAACCAGATTGAGTGTTTAAAATATTGCATGTGATGTATTTGTTAGTTTTTGAGAAGTCTTTCTTGCACACAACAAGTTATAAAAAGATATCAAAATATGAGTTTTTTTGTAAATTGAATGATCTGTCACGATTTATCTAAATTAAGGTATACGTGTGGTGTAAATCAGATATTCGGGTTTTGAGTTAGAAGTATTGGTGACATTGAATAATATATCACATGCATGTAGCATGGTAAGAAGAGCCGGGAATCTGAATGTAAATAAATGGTTTATGTTGGAAGTTCGAAGTTCGAACGCTGATGGGTTGCAGACTTGCAGCTGTTACATTTTATTTGTCGGCAACCCACAAATCAATCTACCGACGCTATGCTTTATCAAATTTTAGCTCTCGTTCAAACTTGAGTTTTTATTTACATATAGTATTTGGATTTACACACAAAAAAAAATGGTTTGTGGCGAAAGTATAGATACCAAGGGTTGTTAGTTTCCTCTTTTGATATGTTTCAACTTCGATCTTGTAGTTGGAGTTGTTATTTCTTTTAGATATAAACTGGATAAAATATGGGATATATAATTAATATTGTGCAAGTTACGTGTTGTGGGAACCATATGTCCATATCCATAGTTATCTTTGTAAAGTTGCGAATCTTATATGGTGGTCTATATTTTTCTTCTCGATCTCATCCGTATTCGATCGGACTGCGCTTCATTTTCTGTTTTTTTTCTGGGTTCTTTTTAATTAACAAGGTAAATTATTAGTATTCGGATTTTTGGAAACGAGTCAACCGACACACAACAAATCATTATTCTCCGTTTAAAATTAATAAATTGACATAAATTATTGTTACTTTTTTTTGTCATCATAAGTCATTCTTCTAACTATATTAATTTATGAGTAAAATTAGGCTTGATATTTTGGCGTACATATATATTATGTACCTAATCGCGCGGCCAGTCTTATAAAAGGAAAAGTAAAGTTGGAAGACGTAAATTTTCTACAAGATACTACTATTAAATGTATAGCCATGTGGTCATCGTAGAAAAAAACAGACCAGTGACTCGTTTTTTTCCATAATTCCCACGATTGCAAGTTTGCAATAATGATACCAAAACGAAAAAACTTTAGTGCAATAACGTGATGTGTAGTTATAAGTCTGTAAAAATGGCCAGGGTCTGTAATTCTATCATCTAAAGTATTGTGGTGATGACTCACCATATTGCCGGTAAAACTACAAACAAAATTTGCGAGTTAGACGAAGATTAACACCTGCGTAAGTTACCGTTAAGTAGAAATTTGTGGAATTTTAAATCGAAGAGAGAGCAGAGAAGTTAATCTTATTAAGAGTAAAACAATCGGGAGAGTAATAAATGAAAATTTGCCCTAAACGTAACGGAGGGTTAAAATTTACTTAATTGGTCTCTTGACTGTCGAGTGCGTGGACTTTATTTCGGGAATGGACATCTAAATCACGTGTCGTGCTTCGTTTTCCGCGTTTTATCCATCGGAAAATAAAATCTTATCGTTAAAAGTTTAGTACTAGCTTAGTAACTATTGTATTCACAGCTGGTATAGACAGGCGATTAGCCATCTTTTCCGTTGGTTTTTGTTTTTGTTTTTTTTTTTCAGATTTTTCATTCAAATTGGATACTGGTTCATTATAAATTTTATACGTTGGTATAAATTACACCAAACCGACTGTAATAATTTCAGTTACCTTTATCTGAAAACTTGAATAATCCGAATGGAGTACACAAACTACAAAGTAATAAGATCGAGTGAGGCGATGTCTGTTTACGGTAAAAATTTAATTTTCTCCATTTCTTATGGTCAACACATTAGTATATGAAATAGATGTGATATTAAATAAACAAAGAGGTGCAAAAAAGTTAAATTGTCTTTTTCCTCGTTTCTTCTTGTTCAGCTTTCTTTTCTCTTCCGTAATTAAAAAAACAAAAATAATCCGGTCAGTAGACACGGCAACTTTGCCTTTATATTACAACTCCTCTGAGCCAAGTCCCAGAAAGATACAGACTCAGACAAAGAAAGAGAGATTGTGAAAGAGTCGTAGAGACATATTCATCTTCTTGATCTTCCTGACTTCCTCCGATCTATTTTACTACTTCATTGCTGTTTTTCTTGAATTTAGTTTTCTTTTGCAAAAATGAGTTCGGAAGCAACCGCCGTGGACAATCTCCAACAACCGTTAATCGAGCCGATGAAATCAGACGTCGATTTCAGGATGGAGAGCGTCTTGACGGACAAACATTTGCCCTATATCCGACGACTTTACCTCGCGACGTTGATCGAGCTTAAGTTTCTCTTACACCTGGCGGCTCCGGCGATATTCGTGTACGTCATCAACAATGGCATGTCCATGCTCACCCGTATCTTCGCTGGTCGTATGGGAAGTATGCAACTCGCCGCCGCTTCTCTCGGAAACAGCGGTTTCAACATGTTCACTTTCGGTCTCATGGTACTTTACATGACTAAACTCAAATCGTTAAGACAACAAACAAACAAAAAGTTTTGTTTGATAATTTTTTAAAAATTTATTAATTGTTTTTTTTTGTTTTTTGTTTTTCTCCGGTGACACAGCTTGGAATGGGAAGTGCAGTAGAGACATTATGTGGGCAAGCGCACGGAGCTCACAGGTACGATATGCTCGGAGTCTACTTACAAAGATCAACGGTGGTTCTACTTCTCACCGGACTTCCGATGACATTACTCTTCTTCTTCTCCAAACCTCTTCTCACATCACTCGGCGAGCCAGCTGACGTGGCGTCAATGGCTTCTGTCTTCGTCTACGGTATGATCCCGATGATCTTCGCTTACGCCGTCAATTTCCCTATCCAGAAGTTTCTCCAGTCGCAGAGCATTGTCACGCCGAGCGCTTACATCTCAGCCGCCACGCTCGTCCTCCATTTGATCTTCTCTTGGCTCGCCGTCTTCAAGCTAGGGTGGGGCTTGATTGGTCTCTCTGCGATTCACAGTCTCTCGTGGTGGATCATCGTCCTTGCTCAGGTTTTGTATATTAAGATGAGTCCGAGATGTCGCCGGACTTGGACTGGGTTTAGCTGGAAAGCTTTTGATGGTCTTTGGGACTTTTTCCGGTTATCGGCGGCGTCTGCCGTCATGCTCTGCCTTGAGTCTTGGTACTCTCAGATTCTTGTTCTTCTCGCCGGACTTCTCAAGAACCCTGAAATCGCCTTGGATTCTCTAGCAATCTGGTAAATTTTTAAATTTTAGTTTCATTTCAAAAAGTTTTATATTTTGTTTTCTTGCCTATGAAGTATGAACACATAACATTATTAACAGCCATAAATAACAATAATAATATATTTTGATAGAATACTTCCAAACTTTTAATAATCTATAGGAAATTTAGCTTGGATTTTGTCATTTTGATATTAAAAACAAAGTTAAAAAGTGTTAATTGTTGATAACTTCAAGACACAAGTTGTTACTAAATTATTACAGCGACTAGTGTTTGCAAACATGCTTATTAAAGTGTTTTACTAACTCTTCGACAAAAAAAGAAGTAATATCACTAACTCTTTTTATGACTTGGCCATACTTTTTTAATATCTTATTTTTGTTATTATTTCCTTTTCTTTGCAGCATGGCAATTTCTGCAGTCTCATTCATGGTATCCGTTGGATTCAACGCAGCTGCAAGGTTGGTGTAAAAAATATATTTTTTTAAAACATTTTCAGCTAATTATGCAATACAAGTGGTATTAAAATATCCCATATTTAAAAAAAAAATACAGTGTGAGAGTTAGTAACGAATTAGGAGCTGGAAATCCAAGATCAGCTGCATTTTCAACCGCAGTAACTACAGGAGTATCGTTTTTACTGGCATTGGTTGAAGCCGCAGTGATCATGTCGTGGCGCAACGTCATGAGCTACGTTTTTACAGACAGTCCAGAGGTTGCCGAAGCCGTAGCCGATCTCTCTCCTTATTTGGCCATCACCATAGTTCTCAACGGAGTACAACCTGTTTTATCTGGTAAATAAATGATCAAACTCTTAAAAACGTAACTAATCAATGATTAACTAGTTAATAAATGATTGATTAATAACAAAATTAATTTAAAAAAACAGGTGTGGCCGTTGGATGTGGATGGCAAGCATTTGTGGCATACGTTAACATTGGATGTTATTACGTTGTCGGGATTCCAATTGGTTATGTTCTTGGTTTCACCTATGATATGGGAGCTAAGGTAGATTTTCCTTGTATATGGAGTAATTTGTATATTAGTCAAAGAATAATGACTGGTTGGTGTAAAAGTGAAAATATAATTTAAATGGTTAATGATTTGCTTCAGGGAATATGGACAGGCATGATTGGAGGCACACTCATGCAAACTGTCATCTTGCTCATTGTCACTTTTCGAACTGATTGGGATAAAGAGGTAATATATTAACTAAATCATTTGTTATTTCACAAGTACAAATTCATTTTGTTTACTGTTATTGATAGTGATTTTTTGTTCTTTCTTGAATTTTAAATTCAGGTGGAGAAAGCTTCAAGACGATTGGACCAGTGGGAAGACAGGCAGCCGCTTCTTAAGCAATAAACAAAGGAGAGCTGATTTTTGTTTTCACAAGAAATTTAGCCAGGGGGGGGGGGGGAGATTCGGATGTCAATTCCATTTTTTTTTCTTTTTGGTTTTTCCCAAATTGATTAAATGGATAAAACCCTAGTTAGTTAATCAGTAGATCTAGCAATCTCTTGATTAATGAATTGGAAAACTGATAGTTTTCTGAGGAGGTAAGAGTGGAGAGAAGTAAGTCAATGTACATTTTTTTTGTAATACTGAAAGAAGTGAAAATATAATACTGAAAGAATGTTGTATTGTGTGGAAAAGTAAAGCTGTAACCGTTTCCTGTGTTGAATTAATCAATAATAAAACATTGGTTCATGGTAACCATTCGAAAATGTAAGAACAATTTGTGTTACATTTCTTTCAATCTTATAACTTTACAAAGTCGTATAGTTTATGTTCAGTTATCTATCAATTCATCAGCATACAAAAATGTATTCGTCATGTAATGCGCTTTTGCATTTAAAAAAAAAAATCTGTTTTCTTGATCTACTGTTTGCAAAATTTAAAATTTCCAAACGAGCGATGTGATAATTGTAAAATAAAAGTCAAATTTATTTGTTTATATCTTAATTTTTTTTTTCAATAGCATGTTAGTCGACTAATATGCAAAAAACGTTCATAAGACTAATTAATGGAGTATGAGCTTAAGAATATCCTCACACGAATGTTGAAAGCGAACGTGTTTTTTTCTGAAATTGTCAAAATCTGCTTTGATAGATATGAAAAGGTTTTGGCGAATTTTCTTATATTATATTAAACAAAATTTTATAGTTAAGTATTTGATTTGATTTGTATACCCTAATAATTTAGATCAGTTATAACGTAGTTAGCACTTCCTGCGTAGAGTGGGAAAGCACCACCCATGCATTCATACTAAAAATGTTTACAATAATACTTTTCCATTCTGCTCAAAATGATTTCTAGATATACACTAGATTGATATTCTTATGAGTTCTGACATTAATCATTGTTGTTGTTGAAATGATTAAATATTACGGTTGGTAAGTAACTCACCTCTTATTCGTTTTGTTGTTAATTTTCGATCAAATCCCACTCTTTATTTCCAGAGACAAACGAAGAGAAAGATACTAATTGATGATCCACACGATTTAAGGACCAATTATATGGTAACTCGATAGTATTATTTAGTATAGTATAGACAGTTATTGTTCCTACATGATATGAGTCAATGACCTATATGTTTGGTCTATCTTCTTATAAACCAACTAATTTTGTCTCGTGATGGAGAGACGTGCTTTGACGAAAAAATAATAAAAGATGCCAACTTGTACATCAACTTTAGTTGTTTTTGATTGGATAGGCATGGTAATCGAGCTCGTACGATTAGAGGGATACAAAATTGAACAGAGACATAAACTAGGAATCATCTCAATTTGGGGTATCTACGGATCCACTCACTATCACGCTTGTTTTATATGGTTATCTTCACCCCCTCCACTTGTTATTTGTATGAGTTTGTGTACGATTGGTTCAAAACTTAAACATGTAGGTCCGGATTTATGATTGTCTCTATATTTGGAAAATGCAGAACTAAAAGTTAAAAACTTTTTTAAAATAGAAAAATAGAACCTTTTAGAAAACATTATATAAAGTGGCGCCACTAGCAGCAAAAAGACACGAAGTACATTTCTTTTATGAATGGTGTAGATATTTAATTAGCGAAAATAGTGATCCACCATAACTCTATTAAAGAAAGAAGCAGCAAATTCTGAAAAATCAACCCCGACAAAAATTGTTTCAAACCAATCTGAACATGAGTAATACACATTATGATTGTTTCGCTTTTATTTTTTCTAGTTCCCATTTTGAATAAAGTACAAAATTTAGTTCAAAGAAGAAGTTCTAATAAAGAAGATGAACAAAAATCAATCAAGCTCCATATCATCTGATTTTCTTCTTCCATGCGACCCATTATGTTCCGATTTCCCGGGAGGAGAGTTCGATTTGCCAATGTACTTGCACGTCCTGTAACACATTCACATCACATCCATTTCATCATCATTTATGACCAAATTTTCTTTACGGTTTGAATAGTGAAGATAGCTTTGAAGAGTAATAATAATAAGAGAGGGAGAGATTAGACTTACGCGTTAAGAGCTTCGGCTTTTCTCCTGATTTCACCGGATTGCAGCTCCTGATTAGCTTCATTGGGTGAAGATTCCAGTTCCGTGGCTCTCTCGTGGAGCCACCTCTCAGCTTTCTGACATTCATCGAGAACCTGAAAACACGAAACATATATCAAGCTTAGTCAATCATATAGACAAAGTTAGTCGTATTCTAATGCTAAGAGAGTGAAGACAAACCGCGTTCTTTCTTGGAGGAGGAAGAGACTCTGCAGCCATTCGATTCTCTGCAATAGTTTTCAGAAGATCTTTCGATGCTTGTGCTCTCTCTTCTCCATCTTTAAACCGGTTTTCAATGGGATCGATGAGCTGCTCAGAGATTGAAAGTTATAAATTAGGACAATTATTCTCATCTGCAGACACTAGCCTTTATGTATACAAAACTTGGAGGGAGTAACGTTACCTTTTTGATATCGTTGAGTTTCTCGATGTAAGCATTTTCAGATTCGTCATCGCCATCTTCGTACAGCCAGTCCTCTGTTTCCTGAAGATTTTTAGCTATGCTTTCCCGTTCTGACTCGGTTGCAGTGTTCTGATATGTATTCAACATCTGCCAAGTATGGAAAAATGTTAAACTCTTTCCAGTGATAAGAGGGAGCCAAACATGGTATTATTTTTACTGAATATTAAAGGTTGAAACTTTGGGTCTACTTAAAGAAGATTAGTAGTACCTTGTCACGCATCTCGTAAACATAGGATTCAAGAGCATTTTTCTTATCCTTTGTTGATTCCATCTTCAGATCTTGCTCCACCAAAGAGTTCTCTCTCTGTTTGGCCTCAGATAGCTCATCCTTTGTCAGTGCTCCAGAGACGGTCTCAGCAACTGGAATTTCCATTCTTTTGATTCCCTTAGGATCATTACCCTACACAAGAACAACTAATCTCAGGATCTGTGCAGATTAGCATGTTTTGGAGAATCTCCGGATCAGATTTTTATATGTTGGTCTTGCAGCCTTCTTACGATTGAACAGTTTTTATTTATGCGGTGTTAAATCATACTTACAGTAGAGCCTGATGAAGGGTCTAAACTGTCATCCTTTGTTGGATGGTTGTTTTCGGATATCATATCTTCAGAAGTCATATTCTCCTTATGATCTTCTATTAGCTGTTGTTCAGAAAATGAAAGTTTAGGCTAAAGATAGGGTAGACACATTAAGACTACCATCTGGAGAGGATTGATATAAGATTATACTCACAAAAGCTGAATCGATGGTGACAATTCCATGGAGATTTAGCTGAACTCTTACTTTGACACGTGCTGCTTCTCCATGGGAATTTTGAAAAGGACCAATCTACAAATCATTTACAAACAGACTAAGAAATCCATAAAATATGCAGAGCCTAATAGTGCCATAACTATCCAATGCGTACTCAGAGCTCTAATGCCTGAATGTAGATACAGAAAGGGGGAAGCCTGAAAGATAGCATACCGTAAAGCTGGTTATCCGATTTGGTGAATCCGAAGCTACTTCGTTATGGCTTGCATAAAAGGCTTCCAAATGGAAAGTGTTTTCTCTACGTAAAGTAAGAACCTTCACACTTGGAAAGACTTGACCTTTCGGGAAGAGCATTTCATTCGATGCTGTGTTTATGGGACCGTTGTCAGATGAGAAGCCAACCGAGAAAGGAAAAGAATCTTGAACCTGAATATAGGGGAAGCATAAACAAATAAACATCATCCATTCATAATCATAGGAAACTAATTGATATACACGCCATCATGCTTTAATACACATGCCATACGCTGTAACCGTTACACTAATCTATTCTTACGTATAGAGAAGAGCGTACCTCATAATCTCTAACTCGGAAAACTGGACTGAGCATTGCACATTGAAGCGCACATCCACGAGCTACGCACTCACTTGCGTTCACGGTCCTGCCTAACTCCCTCTTGAACAACGAGCTTAGCATCTTAGATATAGCTGGAATTCTGGACCCAGAACCAACTAGCTCCACAGAATGGATTTGATCCAAACTTACACCAGAGTCAGCCAAAGCCTTTTGACACGGAACAAATAACCTCTCCAGCAAGCCTGACGACAACTGCTCAAACTGTTCTCTCTTGATGAAACTCTTCACATCCTTCTCCTCCATCAGACATTCTATATTCAGCGGTGCCTCAGCATTTGCACTCAAGACCTTCTTCACTTTCTCACACGATGCCCTTAACCTAACACACGCCTTGGTATTTGTATACACATCAATGCTGTACTTCTCCTTGAACTCAACAGCAAAATAGTTGAAGAGAACCTCATCAAAATCTCTCCCACCCAAGTTTCTATCAAAAGCATGAGAAAGCACTCTCATGCTTCCAGACTCAAACGACGCCACACACACTTGCGTATCACAGTGACCAATGTCGATGAACACAATGTAAGTAGGGCTCGAGTTAGCCGCCAAGTCCGTCTTGTATATCCCATACCCAAGCGCAGTGGCTGTAGAATCATGCATCAACCTCAACGGCCTCAGGCCAGCAATCGCTGCAGCATCCAAATACGCAAGTCTCTGTGAGTTTGTAAAGTAGGAAGGAATCCCAATGACACAGTCCGAAACAGGCGTCTTGAGACTCTTCTCTGCTATCTGCTTCAAATGTGACAGCAACATGCCTAGCAACTGCACCGGAGTGAAGCTCTGCATCTCACCCATGTAACGAAGCCGAATCTGAATCCCACCATCAGAGTCTTCGGAAGTTTCGAAAGGGAACAGCCTCAGATCATTCTGAACATCAGGCTCCTTGAATTTCCTACCGATCAGTCTCTTCAGCTGCGAGATGGTTGATTTGGGATGCATAGTAGCAGAGGCAGCTGCAGCAGCACCCATGAATCTCTGCTTCTCGCCAAATGAAACCATTGCTGGATTTTCTCGGTTCGATTCATCGTTCAGCAAAACATCGATCCCTCGTTGCTTCGCAACCGCAATCACACAGTTCTCGTTCCCAACATCGAACCCCACCACACTCATCTCGAATCAAACTCCTTCCTTCTGCATATAAGACACCAAAACCACAATCAGGGACACAAATCTCATACGCAAAGAGAATCTATCAATGTATTGGAAAAATCCATTGGATCAATGTGCCATAGATTTCATTCAATACATGTATGCCATAAATGGCAAAAACAGAATTTCATTAGACAGCTCCGACGAACAATCTGGGAAACGACGCAGACATTCACGAAATTTGAAAAGAGAAAAGGAGAGAAACTATCATCAACTTCACGAGAATGCGAAAATTTGAGCACGAAAATCCTTAGACTTAAAAGTATTGAGAAATTTCTGCTCTATTGTTCGAGATTTTCGAAGCAATTTTCAACGAGAGATCTTAGATATGTAGACACGCATTATAAAATTCTTAAACATTTGGGAGGAATCAAATCATGAGAGAAGAAGAAGAAGAAGGGATGAAGAAGACCTGACGATGATCGAAACTTCGAAAACGTGATGCAGGAGGACCTCCGATGACTTCGGATGAGGACAACGTGAACGAAAGACGATGAGAGAAAAAAATGAAAAATGAAAAAGGGTAACAAAAGGAATTAAGAAAAAAAAAAGATGCAAGGGAAAGGGGGAAGGAAAATAAATTATTTGCAGTTAAATCCTTACCAATTCCTTCAGATTCATTTTATTACCTAAATTATTTTGTTGACTGAATTGAAGATGTTTAATTAAATTTTGTTGTTCTTGTTAGAATCTATTGAAGTATAACAAGTTAACAACTATATATACTTTCCAAAAAATTGGTCAGATACAGTAATATAATTTCCTTAATTTAATAGTAATCATGTCTTCACTGAAAGATGTTTTTACAAAAATATTTTGTTGGAAATTTGTAAAACTAGTTCGATCACAAATTCCATACCCCAAATTATAAAGAGCGATCTGCAATGTGTTTTATCATTATTTTTGCATAATCATATAAATAAAAATGGCTGTTACAATCTCAAGATTTCTTTCCCCTTTTAAGAAAGAATCAAAATTCACGATCTCTTCGTATTACATTTCTTGATAAACTTTTTGTAATAGAGATCAACAGAAATCTCAAGAAAAAAAAAACACAAAACAAGTAAATAAACAGAAATCAAACTTCAAGAGTGAAAATGGGCCTAGGTAGTCTGGTGGTTGCACCACCGTGGAACAGCTTGTTCAACGCTCTCACGCCGCCTTGAGAGTGCTTTCGAATTCCACCAAATCTGACAGCGAATACCACGCTGCGACGCAGCTTAGTCAAACTTTTTCCGATCTTGACCTTCAAACGGAAAAGCTTCAACCGTAGAAACGACGACGAAGGAGAAGAACGCCGAGAAATTAAGTCGACTTCTTGGAGCGTTTTGTAAATCAAGAACTTGGCTCGTCGTTGAAACACCTCTTCTGGGTCCTCCTTGTCCATCTTAGAGTACATACACGGCCTTTTGAAGAGGGCCATTTTCGTCTTTTTCTGTTTTCCGGTGATGAGCTTTTGTGAAGACAAGTCGAGATATCAGAATGAGGAGAGGAGTTGAAATGAGAATGTATTTGTAGTCACTGCATTGAGCAGTGCTGGTGCACTAACTTGTTACTTGTATACGTGTTTTTTCCTCATATTTTTGTTCCAAGACTCCAAGTTATATAACTTTTTTTTCAAAATATCTTTAACTATACAATTTAACTTATACAAGTCAAATCATTAAGACAATAAAATAGGCTAAGATATTAAGACGGTGTGAATTTCCAGCTACCACTTTTATAATTAACGCCTGTAATCTTTGTTGTTGTTTAGTTTGCAAAATGAGGTCATGCCGTATGTACGTATATAATATATACTTATAACTAAGATAACATTTTCAGACTATAAACATTTCAATTTATAAGTTTGCCGCCCAAAAATACATGTAAAAAATAATATTATCGAATACTTAATCATATATCGGGCATATACCTTAGTGTCAATGTTGAAATAAATCAATACAAATTCTTAAATTATAGGGTTTCGACATTCTCAAAACTTTATTTATTGAACTATTTACCTCATTTAGTGAGACAATTTAAGAAATATAAAATTATATAACTCGGTTATTAAATAGGTTAAAACTTAAAACTATATGAAAAGTGGAGAACATACAAATTTTTGGTTTCAAACTTAAGATAATACTTTTGCAACATGCATAAGTTAGTCAGATTTTTTTTTGGTTCTGTGTCCTTTGGGTTGGACATCCGGTCAATGGACATTTCTAATTTAGTTCTCAAAGCTTAAGTTATGTGAGTCCATATATGACTCCAAAAGATTCATAATTTGTAAGATATTCAAACTTCGAAGACAAATGCCACACTGCCTCTACGTAGATCTCTCAAGACATTTTTTTTTTGTCTCATCACTTAATCAGAGATCTCCAACTGTTCAAATGCTGGAGATTAGTTGTGTTTAAGATCTATGTTCTGATCCGTTTTCATCTTACTTACGAAAGTATTGGTTCTCTTGACCAATCGAAAACAAAACAAATTAAATACGGTAATTAATTTGTTTAATTGCTAGAGTAAACTGATCAGATTACAGATCCTTAATTCGTTTTAGATATTTTCTCCGATTTGCCATAATATCCAATTTTTCTTCGGTTGGACAGTTCAGTAATAGCCACTAAGCTCGGTTGCTTGGCATTCAAGAGTCCGACTCTTCTTTCCGTTCGTGCGACACAATATTTGGGCCCTCGGCTCATAAGCAGTTAATCACTACAATGTACGTATGTGAAAAACTTAATTATTTCTAAACTTTTATGATCTCAATTGTAGATGAAAATGTGCATCTTACTTCTTTTGTATCCTCTCGGTAATCGATATAAAGATGTTATGAATAAAAATACACAACACTTCATTGCATTTTTGTTTCTGTAAATAATCAAGCTGTTGAACTTGTACCTACTTGCAAGATGAAAAATAAGTGGTAGCACATTTGTAAGGATAAAAGATTAAAAGTTAGTGAAATTGAACATTCCTCTCATTTGTAACATTTGAATAAAAAATAAAAATGTTTCAACTCATTCCATTCATTTTTTTTTTTCAAAATGGATTCGACTAATTTCTTTACTATTTTAGAGGAGAATCTATGGAATGAAAGTTTACTCAATTTGTTTTTTCTACTAATATATATTTTGTTAGTTATTTTAGTAACAAGCATCCAAAATATAAATAAATAAACATCTGCATGATGTACACCCCAAAATTAACTATCCATGTCAGTGGAGATCTCTCTAGAGTCTTTTCTTTTGAATATTTGAAGAAGTCTCCTTACGTAACCCAACAAGTGAATCAAGTTGTATCTAGATATAAATCAAGTCGATATGTCATACAAAGGCCATTACCTATATGTAATTCTTTATTGGACCTCTTCTACACCTCGATGGTATAACTAGTACTAAACTAGTTCCATTTTATAGGAATAAACTGAACGGACAAACTTTGTTTAAGTAAGTGGTAAACTTGTAAATGGTCAACACTAATATAAGATTTTGCTGTTCGGCAAAATCATTTTGGTTTTTTTTATCATCAAAACGGCCAAACCCCATAAATTGTATGTAAATTAAGTTGATCATGTCATACAAAAATAAAAATAATGGTTTTTATATTCTTCCACGCTAAACTTTTATACATAAAGCTACTCAGCAAGGTCACTATCTTAATTAAAGTATCTAAGGTCTTTGCTTGCCAGAGAACAACAAAAGTAAACTGCCTTTTTCTGAAGAAATAAATCTTGTAAATAAAAGGGAGGATACTACGATTGTCACACTTGATGCATTTTGGTCGAGACGTACGATCGTTAGGAACTAGTCCATACGTACTAATCATCATCCACCACTGTTTCCAACCAAGCTTGATCCGCCGCTAATTGTAATGCATCGGTATAATTTGCATGACATTGAGTGTCACAAAAGGATTCCTCCATATCAGAGTTAGAAATCTTGTAAAGCAGGGGTTGTTGGCAACGAGAGCCGCATGAACCACATATTGGTCGCGACATACCATCGTTGGGAACCAATTCTATTTTTTCCCCCACTTTAGTATTGAAGACTTGTGGTTTGGCATTCCATAACTCCCCGAGCACACATTGAATATGACAAACGACTCCACAATCGCCGCTGCATGAGTAAAACCATTTCTGTGGATCTAAAACGGTTTCACAAATCTCACACCAGTACTTACCTTCCCTGGCCTCCTCACCAAAACACAAGGACATAAAATGGTCATCGCACCTGTGCTTAATCTTTTTGGGTAGAGTAGCACACTTGAAGTCCAGGGAGAAGTCACATTCAACGCAATGCAGCACTCTTCTAGAAGTTTCAAGACATCCCCCACAAGTGTCCCTGTCAAGCGTAGTGAGAAAGAGGGTATGCGGGTGACATTCGTAATCACAATACCATGAGATGGACGCACATCGTACATCTAGGGTTATATCACCACACTTGTAGATGAAACCATTTGATAATGTTTCGCAAGCACAACACTTGAACAAACCACGAGCGGTGCTGACTAGAGTAAGCGGCTTTCTGCAAAGCCCATGTCTTTTCTGAAGAGGAAGATTAGCGCATGTTTCATGAAGGAAAAATTCGCATTCCATACAGCTGTAGTGCTTGTCAGAAAAGATACAGCTTGTGCAAGCTTCGCACCGTATGCTTTCATCACGATCAGTAGCATCCTCCATGAGCCTTAAGTTATGCTCATCGTGGGAGAAATGGTTAATGACTCCGTCTTCAATCAATTTGAATGGCGAGACATCTACAAACTCTTCAGGTACACCTTCGAGTTCTACCCCATCCCACACATCATTTCTAGTCGCGCACTTGGAGTGAGCGACAAAATCAGGACACTTGGAACAAGAATAAGCGCCGTACCTCCAGTCGATCTTCCGGTGACAAATCTTGCATTTCCAATCCCCGAAACCAAGAGAATAGGTGTGAGAGATCCGATGGTCGTGGCGGTTGATGTTTATGACGTGTGGCAGCGTGACACAATCCCCATGGAACATGAGAGCGCAGGGAGCGCAGACGTAAGGGCATTGTTCGCCATGCGTACCACAAGCGTTGCAAGTGAAGGTGTCGTTTCTAGCCATAAGGGTGAGTGCATGGTTGTGGCACCTCGGGGCATCCAAAATGAGCGGTGGGGGGTTGTTGGAGCACCTCACATGGAGGCTGAAATCGCATATCGAACAGTGGTGGAAAAAGCTCCTCAGTGGCTCGTGGCAGGTTACACATTTCCCGTCAGAGTAATCAGGTGGGCCATCGATGATAAGCTTGAGCGGATGGTATGGGTGGAACGGGTGGTTTATTTCTTCAGGCGAGCTTGGTATGCAATCAAGGTGCCACTCCTTGTCGCATAAAGGGCAATCCAAGGCACCACGATCACTGCCACGCCGAATGGTCTCCACACACTCATCGCACTTGAACAGAGACAGTGAAGCATGTATTTCATTTATTCTAGCTTTCCAAATGATCCTCTCTTGATTACAGCTAGTATCTTCATCGCTGTCATGGGCGTGCCAGAAATGCGTATAAATTCTTCCCATGGCCAAGGTTGTAGCTGAGAAATTATTGAATACGGATAATTTATAAGGTGTGTTAATCCATTGATCATCATAGACTGTAAACAACTAAGCAAACTTGTCGAGTCTTTTCATAAGAATAAAAAAGTCTCCTAACATTAAAAATAAATCAACTAGACTCACGTATATAATCTAAGTCAACTAGAAATAACTATACTCACAGATGCCAACCGACAACTAAATAATATTTTTGAATTTTGTTTTGCTAAAATTTTTGTTTTGATTTTCCTCGACTATATTTATTTATTTATACGTTTTCTCTTTCGCTGTCAGCAACTAATTAGGCAAAGTTAGTTACTTGTTGTCTCTTTCATCAAGGTAAAGTCAATGAACATTAAGTATCCTTACTTACAATACTAATAGCCAAATTAAAGAAAGACTAGATCAATCAGTCGAATTGGTCATATCGCATTGTGCAGCACAATTTGTGCTTATCTGTTCTTCTTGGCTCGCAATCCAAAGGAAACGTGCATCCAGCACAACGCACCACGCCTTCTCACGAAAATAATAAGTTTGTAGTTTTGTACCAAACGGACTTTGTCTTATATATTCGATCCAGCGGTATACTATATATATATATATATATAATACCCTTACATAGTTGTTCTGTTACGAATGGTTCGTAACATTTCTTCATAATTTTCTTTATGAACTTGATATAGAAAGATATATCATGAAGAAAATTATAGACGACACTAATATTCATCACATCTTCTTACAACACAGCTATTTGTATTTCTAATTGTATTCATGTCTGCATATCAAAATTCTGGTTGCTTTTTGATCAAAACATTTTTATTCAAATGCTTAAATCGCAAACTCACATTTTTATTCTAAGTCAGACACTGTCTACTTTCAAACCTCAAAGCATGCTGCAAAGGAAAAAGGAAAAATAATAAAGAAAAGCAAAAGCATCGCAAAACATTATTAAGAGTCAAACTCTTCACACCCCTTTTAGTATCAGTATTGAGCAAAAGAACTCAGAGAGAGAGAGAGAGAGAGAGAGAGAGAGAGCAAACAACAAACGGTGCAGCTATGAAAACTCCCGCAGCTACTAGTAGCTGAACCCGACTTGTTGCTGCTGTGGCGGTTGCTGTGGTGGTCGCTGGCCAGCCTGTGCCGTCTGCTGATACCCGCCAGGGTATCCTCCATAATATGCATTAGGATCTTGCGGCATCGAGTACCCATAATGTTCCTGTCCTTGTCCATACCCACCGTAATAATACTGACTCGGGTCCGCTGCTTGTTTCGACGAAGGACTTCGGCCCCATGAAAGCCTGACGGTTGTTCCACCCAGTTGCATTCCATTCAACATTCTAAGAGCTTCCTCTGCACTGCTTCTGAAATAAAACGAGAGATAGTCACAAAAACACATAATTATTAAACTGTGAGTTTGATATTCTAAAGAGCCTATTAAAAAGTCAAATTGACAAGAGACTTCTAGCAGTAACAGCAGTGCACTTACTTCTCGGAAAACTGAACGAATCCACAGCGTTTTCCGACAGGTATCTTGACATGCGAAATCTCACCATATTGGCTAAAGACAGACTTCAGATGATCATCCGTGACAGAAGGATCTAATCCACCAACAAAAACCTGTCACATAAACTCAAAATGTGTCAGAAATAACCCATTTGGAAGGTAGAATAATCTAGCGTGACACACAGATATTCAAGATTGGAGCATAAAACCCACAGTTGTGTTATTTGGATCATTATCAGTTGGAACCCCTGAACCACTCTGGTAAGAATCTGCATTTACACACAATAAAAACGCTAAGCATTATGAAAGGGGTAACTATCTCTCAATTCCACATGCATTAATGTAGCTGACAAAAGAAAAACAGTAAATAACTTAAAATGAAAGCAAAATGCAAAGAAGTCATTAAAACGTATACAACAAACCCACCGAACTCCAAAAGGAGAAGCAGTAGTATTCTCTGTCTGTAGGAGACGAAATTGCAAAACATGCAAGGAAGTCAATAATATATCAATCATGTAAACAATGAGAAAGTATCTGAGGAGTGACAATCTAAGAGGATGAGCAATAAGACAAACGACAATGAACAATTGCATCATCTTCTCCCAAGGTTTTCAACTACTCAATGAGGGTATATCAAGGTGCTAAGCTAACAAGGTAGTGGAACAAAATTGAAATGCCGATTTGTGGACAATGTATAGAGAAATTGTAAAGGCCACTACTGGATAAAAAAAAATCAAAGCAATGTAGGTCACTCCAGAAACTGTCACATCTCAACAAACCCATTATAAACAGGGTCAAAAGAAATCTTTCTAGCACCTAGACTCACAGAAGCAGTAGAAAGGGAACTTGATCTACGTATATAAGTAAATCAAGTGAAAGATAAGAACATTTAAGTAGAGTGGAATGAAAAAGAATAGTATATACATAAGAAATGACTTGCAAAAGTAAGGAATTGAGAACTGAAAGAAACGTTGTATTGAAAAGATAAGGAAAAGGGCTGAAGTGAAAGGAAAGGGCTAATAAAGGACAACACATGAAACTTTACAACTGACCTAAGCATGAGGACTCAATAAGGGGATAACCGTTTCAGCTGAAATCAGTTCCAGGCCTCAAGATGATAGAGAGCCTCTTGACTCCCCTGCTTTCAAACAAACATTGTGCTATAAGAGTACTATCTTTTAAAAGGTTTTAACAGAATTTACTGCGGCCTGAGCGGTAAATACATGATGTGGCTTCAGAAAATTCAATCAAATACTCAATCTTGACTAAACTGAGGGCCATACAGTGCAAAAGGCTACTACATCACACAAATCTAAACGTATCATGGGAATGCAAGAGCAAAGCAGTTCTAAATTAACATATACTTCATATCTACGCATACCTCTTTGACCAGTCACACCTTTCTTGCTAGCTGCAGGCCCAATCCTCATAGGTCTAGTAGAACAAGGAACACCATTCATCTCCGTCATAGCACGAATCTGCTCACTCTCATCAGAAAACCTAACAAAACCATATCCCTTCGTACGTCCGGTGGCTCTGTCAATCACAACCTTCGCGCCCTTAACCGATGGATAAGAGGCTCTAAACGTCTCGAGCAAGACGTAATCCGTAACATCAGCAGCCAGGTCACCGACAAATATGGTGTGATCCGGCGAATCGTCCCGTTTATCTCCGGAGCTCAACGAGGCCCAGTTCAATCTAAAGAGCTGATCAGGAATGTTCGGGATTGGAGTGTTGTTGAATGTCTGTAGAGCTCGCTCAGCAGCAGCGTGAGATACAAACTCGATGAATCCGTATCCTTCGACCTGATTGGTTTGCTTGTTACGGATCACTTTAGCAGAAACAACCTGCGAACACAAAATATATAAACTTTGTTCATATAAATATGAGAGCTTGATCGTTTTATCCATAAAAATCCAATCTTTCAATGATGAGAACAGAGGAAATAATGACACAAAAACAACTTATCAAATTAAACTTCAATCTCCTAAGGTATTAAAAAAGGATTTAAGAAGTAATCACGAAGAAGTGAGCAGATTCAAACACTGAGAAATGTTACCTCTCCGGTATGAGCAAAACAACCGTAGAGGAAAGCCTCGTCCATCCAAAACTGCAAGTCTCCGATCCAGAGAGTCCGGATCTCGTCGGCGGTCGTCGGCTGAGTTGATGGCGGCGCAACGGCTTGCGGATTCCACATATGTGGTGGAGGAGCTCCGGCCATTCCGTAAGGAGACGGTTGCTGGTAACCGTAGTGCTGCTGCGCAGACGGAGGAGGAACGTGATGCGGAAGGATACCTCCGGGTGGTGGCTGCTGCATCATGTTCGTAGAAGAAGAAGAAGATAGATAGATAGATTAAGATCTCTCTGAATCTCTGACCGTAGAAATTGAGATGAAGAAGATAACGAAATGCTATCTGATTGGAATAAAACCGTGACTGAGAGAGAACCTTTGCAAAGGTGGTGTGTATAAAACAATAGAATAAATATACACCAATAGAATAAATATACACTTTGGACCTATTATTTCATCGGATCCGTGGCGCAATGGTAGCGCGTCTGACTCCAGATCAGAAGGTTGCGTGTTCGATTCACGTCGGGTTCAAAACCCCGGTTTAAACATGATCCTAACTTTTTTTGTTTTTTTTTTGTTTTCACAATTCATCAGAACCGTCCGTATTGGTGACTATTGATAAAGATCGAAGGATGATGTACGACTTGTTAAACCTTGAAATTTAATTTTTAATTTCATCAAACCGTCAACCGGTTTAAACCCCTCTCTCTCTCTCCACCGTCGTCTCCATTTCTTCTGAAACATCATGAACCCTAGTAATGGCGTTCCTCTTTCGCATCCGAGCATCGGAATCTCTTTTCCGGAACGTGACTCAATTCCGTTTCGTATCTACCAAGACCTCGCTCACTAACAAGCAGAAGAAGAGCCGAGATGTCCTCTCCCTTCTCAGAGCCGAGCAAAATCCGAATCGGATCCTCGAAATCTGCAGATCCTCTTCTCTCATCCCCGATTATCACGTCGACCGTATCGCTCTCTCCGTCGCGATCGTGACACTAGCGAGAGAGAAACACTTCGCCGCTGTGTCGCAGCTTCTCGACGGTTTCATTCAGAACCAACCCAATCCCAAATCCGATAGCTACGCCGCCCGCGCCATCATCCTCTACGGCCGAGCGAATATGCTTGATCGATCTCTACAGACATTCCATGACCTCGAGCGATACCAAATCCCAAGGACGGTGAAGTCTCTAAACGCTCTTCTCTTCGCTTGCTCAATGGCAAATGATTACAAAGAAGCGAATCGAATCTACCTCGAGATCCCGAAGACGTACGGCATTGAGCCTGATCTCGAAACGTACAATCGAATGATCAAAATCTTCTGCGAATCCGGATCAACGAGCTCATCATACTCCATCGTCGCAGAGATGGAGAGGAAATGGGTAAAGCCAACAGCTGCTAGCTTCGGGCTAATGATTGCTGGTTTCTACAGAGAAGAGAAGTACGATGAGGTCAGGAAAGTTTTGAGGATGATGAGAGAGTTTGGAGTTCATGTAGGCGTTGCTACGTACAACATCATGATTCAATGTTTGTGTGAGAGCAAGAGATCGTCAGAAGCAATGGCGTTGCTTGATGGTGTTGTCTCTAGTAGGATGAGACCGAATTGCGTGACGTATTCCCATTTGATTCATGGGTTTTGCGGTGAGGAGAATCTGGATATGGCGATGGATTTGTTTGAGGTTATGGTGAGGAGTGGATACAAGCCTGACAGTGAGTGTTACTTCACTCTGATACATTGCTTGTGCAAAAGAGGAGACTTTGAGACTGCTTTGTTCCTTTGTAGGGAGAGTATGGAGAAGAATTGGGTTCCGAGTTTTAGTCTCATGAAATGGCTTGTTTATGGACTAGCAAGTGTCTCCAAGGTTGAAGAAGCTAAAGAGCTGATTAAACAAGTTAAAGAGAAGTTTGCTAGTAGAAATGTTGACTTGTGGAATGAAGTTGAAGCTGAATTGCCTCAGTGATCATGTTCCTGGTAAAGTATCAATCTTTCTTGTAACTTATTGTATACAGAACGTTGTTCACTTATAAGGAGAAAATAACTCAAATGCAAAGAAAAAAAGTAACAACTTTACCAAAAAGGATTCGAATTTCAAACTGATAAACAGTACTGTTTGTTCTTCTTCTTGTCAACGCCTTGAAAAGCCTGGAACTTGAAGCAAGCTCGGGACATAGTAGCAACCAGAGCCACCAACCGAAGGATTCACATGAGAATATTCAACGTTTTGGCACTCGACATCTTTCCCCAAAATGTAAATCTTGATAGAATTTATCTCACGAATCGATAGCACAAGCTTCCCGTTGCTGTCAATGAAGTAGCTTGCATATCTAGGAGACATGGCGGATTCAGGTAAAGCAACAGTCATCACCTTGCTCCAATGCTTCTTCATCACCCATAAGTGTACCTTACCTTCCAAACGAGACCTATGCAACAGAGAGAGCTTCTCTCCTCTGAAAACACCTAAAGAGAGAGAATTTCCCAACGTTGATGACCCAATCGTTGAAGGAGGAAGAAACAACGTCTCGAATCTCTCTTTCGAGAAATCGAAACTCTGTATCGTCGAGAAAGTTTTGCCATTTAGATAACCTCTCCAAAAAGGAGTTCCTTTTAAACAAACACTCGACTCTGGGAACTCTGAGAAGTCATCAAAGCTTTTATCAGCAACAACCCTCCAACGATCAGATTCAAAGTCGTATACTTTAATCCTTGAACGATCTTTATCATCATCAGAAGCACCACAACGAAACCTAACCATTTTGAATGATGTTGATTGGTTGCTTATGTATCCAATCCCGTACGCATCCACGGAATGGTCAAATCCATTGCCACATTTGATCGATCTTGCTTGTTTCAAAAAAGGATTCAAGAGTAAGAGATTGGTTTGCAAGACGAAAAGCAACAGACCATCGCAATGATGCATGCTCTGCACCAATATGTTTGTAGATGCAAGAGGTTCGATGATCTGCAGATTCAAATTAGGTTCTTCGAGTTCGTTGAAGTCGATTCCCAAACTAGCAACTGTTGAGATCAGTGAAGAGGACACTTGGGAGCTGGAGACGTTGTTGAAGACTGTGAATTGTTGCTCACGGCTACGCATGTGAGACAAGTGCTTATTGACGAAACTCCGCTCTGCGATTAGGGTTTCCCAAGTCTTGCAAATGGATTTCATTCGTGGGAGACTCTTAGCTGGAACCCACGAGAGTATCTCCTCCACCAAATCAGCCGAAACCTCCACAGCCATCGTCTGATTTTGGTTTCGATTTCGATTTCCTTCAGAAAATATTTGATTTTTGATTATATAGACGACGAAGAAGTTTCGCAAGTTTGAAGAAGCTATGTGGACTGTTTAAGCTCATTTTGTCGATTTAGGCCCAACATCAACATAGATCCATCATTTATCTTTACTTTCTTACGAAACCAGATTAAAATGGGTTTCAAATTTTAACTAAACATAAATACAGCTAATTGGCTCACAAAATAGAATCTAGTAATTTCTGAAAGATAAAATTCTCTAAAGTTTGTTACCTTTGGATTAATCATATAGAGTTATTATGATTAAAAAAATATCTAAGAAAATTTAGAATAAGAAGAACACTACTCAAATTCAAAGTCCAAATGTTAATATATATATTAAATATCTATCCACCTTCTCGATCGACAGTATACGAATTAAATCAATATTTTCTTGACGAAACAACTTTTTGAAAACTCATTGACCAATTTCAAACATGAGGGCGGACCATTTTCTCAAAATTTTCTTCTTCCTAAAAATGGAAGAAACATAATGTTTCCATTCTTGTCACTTATGCATATGCATGTCAACATCAAAATAAATGTTAATGGATATGGCATGATTCAAATCTTAAAATTAAGAAAAAATTGGTAAAAACGGCTATGGTTAAACTACACATTTGGAATAACATGTTTTTTGTTTTGTTTAAGATTTTTAAATCGGAAGTATTGTTAATATATCGAGCCAAAATCATTACATTTAAATTTGTAACATGTAGACTCGCATACGATACAAAAGCAAATAAATGAGCTCAAGGCTTGTACAAGTTTAAACTTCATCACAAAGGGAATAATGGATTGCAAATATACCTCAAAATGACTAACTAACTACCGTTCACTTTTTACATACGTCAAAAAGAGTTTATTTTTCTCATGTAACTTTCCCTAAAATTAATGCACGAATGGCCCAATGACAGGCTTGGAAGGTTAGAAAATTTATGCTACTGTAAGAACGATAGTGTGCCCATTAAACACACAAATGACACGTACTTTCACCTTCTTTCTTCAGTATAGATTATGAAAATTTCGATCCATTATACCTTCCGTTTTTAAGAACACTCAGTACATTAGTTATGTCAATTCTAATGCCCAATAAAACTCAAACTCGAAAGAGTATTAACAGGATGCTTTGCAATCTAAGATAATCTCGGTTCGTGTATATAACTAGACCTTGCAAAAGCTTTTCTATAGGATAACAAAATATTAAATGTTTTCCTATAGAAGTTATTGTTATTTACCGTACCACTTGGCTGCCCCAACATATTTGGGTGTAATTTAAATGACCACCTCACAACTGACAATTTCATTTAAATTTGGTTGGTTGCGTCAATTTACCGCTTTCATTTTTGTACCAAAAGAAAACTTATAATCGAAATAAGTCGAAAATAGAATCTAAATATTAATTCTCTTTTGACTAGACTGTTCACCTACGTGAACCCTATAAATATAACTATAATTAATCATTTATCATCACTCATATTGGCATTAAAATTTCAAGTAATTAATGAACAACTATACCTACAAACACATGAACCGACCGAAAATGCATATGATTATACATATTTAACATTATACAGTAGAAACAGAAGCTATATTGGAATTAAATGTAGAGATAGTGACAAACGACACTAAAAGTAGTAAAAGATTAATGCAGCGTACTTACCATATAATTATTAAATACCACACACGCATAAGAAAATAGACATATCATAAACCCACCCGATCCAATATCCATCAAGTCCTTGACAGGATCCGGGCTTTGAGAGAATTTTTCATCACGACGGTAAACGCGTAAGTCTCAGTCGGGTCGGGTGGAGAGTCCGGCACCGGGATCCATTTAAACGACTGGATCATCCTAGCAAGCATCAGATTGATGTGATGAACCCCCAAAGACCAAGCCGGGCAGATCCGACGACCCGCACCAAATGGCAACATTTTAACGCCACGTGTCCCCGTCCAATCAGCATCATCACCGTCCCCACCGGTCAAAAACCTCTCGGGTCGATACTTACCCGGATCCGACCAGATCTCCGGGTTCTCAGTTACCCACGCCGTGTAAAATTCCACATATGCCCCTGCTGGAATATCATACCCTCCTAGCTCCGTATCTTTCACGGCGGCGTGAGAGAGAAGAAAATGCGACGGAGGATGTCGCCGGAGAGTCTCTTTCACAATAGCCTCCAGATACGGCATGTTCACCACGTCATCCTCTTCAACGACGCCGCTTTTGCCCACAACTCCAACAACTTCATTGTACAGCTTCTCTTGAATGTTTTGGTCGGTCACTAGATGAAGTAAAGCCCATTCAAGTGTAGTCGCGCTCGTGTCCGTACCGGCGGAGACAATCTCCGAACACAGAGTCACAATCTCTTCATCTCCGAGCTCACCGCCTCTCTCGATCAGATTCAAACCAAACAACGAATCCACATAAGCCGCACCAATCGGACTCACCATCTCTTCGTTAGGGCTCTCCTTTGCGTTAACGAACGCACGTCGGTTTCTTATCAACGGTACTAGACACTCGAGCTGCGTCTTCCTCAGCTCTCTCGCTTCTCTAAGTTGACGACGAAACAACGGAGTGAGAACCGGCAAAAAGTCCGGTAGAGTCGGAGAAGTCATGAGCATAACGTCCTTGAGAACATTCTCAATGTTCTTAATCTTTTCCTCGCTGATCTTGGCGCCGAAACAAAGACAGATCAAGATGCTACAAATCGTCAGCCTGCACTGATTCATAACCTCGACGTAACCTTGCTCAACGTTCTGCGTTTTGATCCTCTTCATGTGGTTCGCCATAGCCCAAGTCCTTATCCACGAGCACTGCTTCACTCTCACCGCGGTCACTAGCTCCGTCACGAAGTTCTTCCTCAGAGTCCGCCACAAAGATCCATACTCCGATGAGTTTATAGCGCATTTCCCGACGCTAAACATGAGCCGGATCGGCGAGTCCGGAGGTCGTGAGGCGAAAGTAGGGCCGCGTTGGACTAGTGCCTCGTGGATGAGCTTCTCGTCCGTGACAATAATCATCGTACGTTGTCCCATTTGCATGGTGAATATTGGACCGTACTTCTTACGTAGGTCACGCATTTGGAAGACGAAATGGCGACGTTGGGATATGACTTGGAGTAGGTTTCCCACTAGTGGCCATCCTTTTGGTCCGGGGGGAATGTTCAGGCGACATTGGCTGCTTCCGGCGGGGGAGAAACGGCGCCACCATAGGTTGATAAAGTAGAGAGCAAACAAGAATATGATAGCGTCAGTAAGATCCATATCTGTTTTATTATTAGAGAGAGAGCGATGGGAGATAAAATGAATGAAGAAGTGTACTATTAGATGGAGTTTAGGGCAAGTATATATATGGTGAAGAGAGATTTAGGGTTCTTATATAGAGAAAGTGTACATACATATGTATGTGTGAGTGATGAGTGATGAGTGATGAGTGAATCTTCCACATGAACCTAAAGAGTAATTGATCTCACCAACCATCTGTGTGCATTTACTTCTTACTGCCTACTGCGCATAATTGGTAAATGGTTTAAGTTTATAATTATATTTAGTTAGCAGTATGAATGTATGACAGTGTTCTTGATCTAATTAAATTCTGTTTTCGGCAACATTAATTAGGGAGATGCATAAATATTTTATCATCTACAGTACTGTTTGAAAGCCTCGATCGTGTCTTGGACTCTTATTAAAATATTTTAGTTTTTATAGTTTTTAATGTTTAGCTTATTTGAGGGGTAAACCAACTTTAGTTGTTATATTTAAATGTCTTCTAGTTATAAGGTCACAGAAGAAGCTACAATATTTTTTCTTCAATGAAGAGAATTACTAGAAGACATTTAAATATAACTAGAAGACCCAATGAATAATTTAATTGCAAAGAAGGATAATAGAAGTTACAAATTATAGACCTTTCCACCCGTTTTGACATTTTCACAAATTATATTTCTTTGATATTAACACGGACCAAAAGTATTATGTTAACAATATAATCAATCATTCAAACGCATTCACGGAAAAAAATAAAATGAAACGCTATTACAAGTACAAGACATAGGAGTTGGTTCGTGTTATAGTAGACAGAGAAGCCTCTGAGTCTTAATTACTCTCAGTAGAATTTAACAGAGACGGGTGGGAGTTAGCTGGCCAAGTGTTAATGTCTTCATTGGGTCAACTTTTTTCTTTTCAGTTTGATTACTATAATGTACTCTTCATCTTATTTCTCAGAAGATAAAGCTAACCTCTAAGCCTACGTCTTCTAAAATATACATCTCGATATAGACCATGCTTATAATAAAATTTACACGTACTATATGAAATTTAATGTTTGTAGTCCGTGGTTTCGTAGAGCATTGGATACGTTTCCAGAATTAACAATGATTTAACCCGAGAAAAACCACTTCAGCTACTTTTATTGTTGTACGAAGACGACATTCAATATATTTTTCCACTAAAAAGAAACTTCAGTGGTTATAGCTAGACTTGTGGTAACAATACACGTTTTTGATGAAATGTTACATAGTATCAATACTAAAGAATTTACCATGGATGATGTCCTACTATAGTATCAAAATTCAATCGAAAAAATGTCCTACTATAGTATCAAAATTATCCATATCCAGATTCATAGAAAACTACACATTTTTAATAAGTTCTTTTTTTTTTGTTAAACACATTTTTAATAAGTTGAAGATCAAGACACATAAGAGCGCATTCATTATATTTATTTTCAGTGATACTTAATTACTTATTATCTCATGTCTTCCAACAAAATGATAAACTCTTTAGTATTGTGACTATCACATGGATTTATCGTTTACCACTTATTTATTTATTTTATTGATGATGACTTATTTCAAAATTTGCTTGTACAGTAATATTTCATAAAAAATGTGTGCTTTCCGTGCATTTTATTTGTGTTGCTAGTTCTAGAATTGCTATATTGCTATCTGCTTTTAACTTCTTTGAATCTGTGTGTTTCAGACCAAGCGCAAAAGTTGCACTCAATCATCCTTTCTTTTGTGATTTGAAGACAAGAAAGAACTTTCTACGCGAGATAGGATCCCAAATTCAATGTAATTCGTGGAAGAACACACAAAGAGAAGGTGTTCTGAACAAATTGGCAACAGCTGCTGGAGTTGATAATTGGCCGAATAAAATAGATAGTACTTTGTTAAAGAACTCCTACATCAGTCCCAGTCCCACTTTTTGCGAGTTTCTTAAATTCATTCGCAATACAATCGCGCACTGGGAATCCCTTCCAACCACACCGGTTTGGTTTTCTTTAACTTTGTTGATTAATATTTGAAATTATGTGTTCTTGATTGATTTGTTTGATCAATTTCCTTTCTTCTTTTGATTTGATCAGGTTTTGGTAGGGCAGCATTGTGAATATTTTGATAATTTATTCCCAAACTTCTTTATAGAAGTTTACAAGATGGTGGCTGCAGATGTTCACTGCAAACAACATGTGCAACTAAAAGACTTCTTAGGTGAGTTTAAACTTAGAACTAAACTAGTACTTGCTTCAGATGAGCTAGATTTAAATCAACGTTAGGTGTTATCAATTAGTAGTATATCCCACTTCTTAGGTGTTATCAATTACCATTTTAGATCCGTTAGTAATGAAAACCGCTTGCCAATTAGTAGTATATTAACTTCTCTTATCGCAATTGTCTTATATCAGAGAGCTGATTCGAGCTGATTGATTCGGGTGAAGGCATGACAAGTTGTAAGGAGAAGGAGATGGTGTAGCTGTAGTTGGACCGCTGATGGATAGCGGTTTTCTTTAGACTCTGTACCTCTTTCTATTTATTTATTTTCATTTTGGATTATTATAACTTGTATGATTCTAACTTTTATCAAGTGCAAATGTTTGCATCCTTCATTCATATGTCAAATCCGCAAAGGCCAAAGGCACCACAACAATTTCTCTTTCCTTACTTTCTCCGACGGAGGCGTTTCCACAGCCGAAGACCGTCACCACCGGTCCGTGAATCTCATTACTAACGGATCTAAAATCCTGTCGGATTTCATAGAAGATAATCTGAACGGTGACTCTCCGGTTACTTGCTTGGTCTACACGATTCTTCTCAACCGGGCTCCGAAAGTGGCGCATAGGTTTCAACTTCCCTCTGCTCTTCTCTGGATCCAACCGGCTTTGGTTTTTCGACATTTATTACAATCACTTTGCGGGAAACAAGTCTGGTTTCGAGTTTCCGAATCTTCGGCCTCTCGCAACCCGTGATCTTCCTTCTTTCCTCGCGAATCAGTTAATAAGGATTAACCAAGAGATCAAAGTAGTTATGCACTTTGGCTAGACTCAAAAACAGGGTCCTCTGTTAATTTACGTTTCTTTTGGAACAATGGTTGAGCTGTCTAAGAAACAGATAGAGGAACTGGCGAGAGCACTCATTGAAGGGGAAAAAGCCGTTTTTATGGGTCATAACTGATAAATCCAAACAGAGAAACGAAAATAGAAGGAGAAGATGAGACAGAGATTGAGAAGATAGCTGGTTCAAGACACGAGCTTAAAGAGATTGGGATGATTGTGTCTTGGTGTTGGCAAGTGGAGGTTTTAAGATACCAAAGCAGAGGAGGTTAAAGACAAAAGATGATTGTTTGGCCTCGGTTTATGACAAAAATGTTGCTAATCTCGTCATATTTTTCCCTTTGTTTATCACTTTCATTGGCCTCGGTATACAAGTTTCTGTAATTTCTTCTGTAAACACAACAAAATTCTGTAATACGGTTTTCTTCAGGTAAAATATATGTACTAGTTGCATAAAGTTATATGCTTAAACATAAAATCCCCCAGCAAAAAAAAGACATGACTGTTAAACTGTGAGTTTGATATTCCAAAGAGCCTATTATAAAGTCAAGTCGACAAGAGTCTTCTAGCAGCAACAGCAGTGAACTTACTTACATTCTGCTCGGTTTGGAGAAATGACAAACGCATAGAAGCTACTTTCTCATACTCTTTCATTAGAACATAACAAGTCCAGAATGTGAAAACGTAAGCCATCACTAGGTGAGTCCAAAACCTTCAAATATTTAATAACAGCCATAAAACTTCAAAACCATAGAGGGAGGAATAAGAATTAATCATAAGAGATTTTTTTGTATAATTTGCAAACCTGTCTGATCCTCCTTCCATATTTGAGATAGATAACTTATCAATATCACTAGATGTTACATTACGTAGCTTTGCTA